GTTCAGCAGACTCATCCTACTTTACACTCATGTCCAATCAATCTAGGAAGAGGAGAACTGACTTTGTAGACATAGATCCTCTTATAGTTTAATATCAAGGCAGCAATTTCCAACTTAAGACCCTTTTCAATTTTGTCAGCTGGGTGTTTAGTATAAGAGGCAGGGAGAGTATGTAATTGATGAGGATAAGCAATAATTGATAACATGATAAAGATCAAACCCAGCCTTCAACGAAACTAAGATGGCACCTATGCAAAGGCAAGAAGAAAGCCACTAATGATGACGATGATGTGAGTGAATATAATGCAGAGTGAGGAAGATAATGTACAAGATTGCAGAAGGTTGCCTCTAGTAGCAACATGTTTAAACTAAATACACGACTGGTGCAGGCAATATCAATAAAGAATAAAGTGGCACTTGAAACTGAACAACATGATGTGGTGGTCACAGCTATGAAGATTGGAATGGAGAAAATCAACATCCTCACAATCACAAATATGTTAAAATTTAGAATATACAATAATAGGCTGAAGAATAACACACACATCAACAAAATCATTGTATTGTTTGACAAGAATGGAATTCTGTGGGAGATGCAGACAAATGCACTTATATGATCAAAACAGAAAATATCTGTGACCAAACTCAATATTCCCGACCTCCAGGGACCCTGGGACCATCACCAATCAATTTCTATGTCTTAAAAACACTGGAACCACCATTTATAGTATTAGTTTTGAGTTAAAAGTGACTATAGTAAGATATATGGGGTAGGAGGGGTGAGAAGGACCTTCTATATCTCAACAAACTAATTTTTCCTGACAAGATGGGCTTTACCATTGTATCTGGGGACATCAAGAGTACTCTGGAAAAATACTCCTAGAGTTCAAGAAAGTCATGGGAAGCCTAGAAAAATCGATCTTTGAGGGGGGTATCAGGAAAATTCACATATATCTATTTTGTGTGATGGGCATACCCCTGTAAACATCACTCCATCCCCCCGTTCATAAAAGGAAGTCCATCATGTAAGTGGCTGTCCTGTCATTTTTCTTTTCTTTCCTATCTACCATTTTTACCCTTGGCACTGTCAGCATCACCCCATTACTTTCCTTTCTGAGGGCATCACCCTGTCTAAATCACTTCTGGATGTATCATCCCCTCACCTAGTTAGACTTTAAGGCATCACTCAATCATCCTCATCTGATTATAATTACTTCAACCTATCAGGCTAACTTATCTGAAATTTCAGGCATCACCCTGTCTAAGTCACTTGTGATGAACTATATTATGAATCTCCAGCAGCTTTCTGTGAGCTCCTTCTGTGAGGACACTCTTTACACTTGTATATTTATGAGTTCTAAAATGAAAACTAGGCTGTCATGACTCAGGTTACAGCAGGATCATTTAAAAACTTGCTTTCGTCTTGCTATTGGCACTTTGAAGAACATAATCAAGGTCGTGAATGCTTCTTTTGTATTTTTTTCTCCACACCATTACCAGCGACTTTAACCTGCAGATATGGATTATAATATACCATAGAGCCTTCTATTGTACTGCTCTTGTTCATCACTATCCTGAAGTGCATCAGTTTGAAGTCATGTGTCGTATATGATTCATGAAAAGATATTGTTTCATTTGATGTATCCATCACTGATGATTCAGTCAGCTCCAGGTGTCATATAACACATGTATAGAAAAGTTGAGCACTGGTGAACAAGCTCCTTGACTTATTTAATCATTTTATTTTGGACCATCCTTGATTTCTGTCATATCCCATATATCTTCTTTTCTGGACTTCAGACTCTTAGATCTAATCTGGTCCAATACATAAATATACTTTTCATCTGATATATAATAAGCTTCTTAATTCATTTTCTGTTCATATAATGTTAAACACAGCCTATTTGGTATTTCCTGTTCCCAGTATCTTAGTTATACTTACTACCAGTATGCTTACTGATCCATTAACCTATGCTTCATTTCTGACTCGTGTTTGATAAGCTTTACATATGCTTCATACATAGCCTCAGACCTTTGCTTATTGATCCTTCTGTTATTCTCTTAGTATATAAAATCTTGTATATGTCCTGTAGTACCTCAATTTGAATATCATTTTAGTTTGTCCTCTTTCTATCCTCTAGACTTGAGTCTCATCAGCTCTTGTGAATCTCCGAGACTTTGGATTGATTCTGATAGTCTATACTTCTAGTTTTATCTTCAGATAGTCTATACTCTGTTTGTTTCTAGTCCAGACCCATCTGGATTAGCCTTACACATGTTTCTGATATCCAGAAGTCATCCGAATAATACTATGAGACTCATCTAAACCTCCGGACAGGTTATTGTTAGTCTCTGAAATAAGGGACAGTACTTGGGAAAGGGACATAGCATATGAGCTGAGGCCAAAGTCCTTTGGATCTGATCCTATGAGAATATGACCTTAACACATTGGGAAGCTGTAAAGAGGATCATATACTATTTGAAAAAGACAAAAGACTTGAAGCTCATCTTAGGAAACATGGACAAGAAACTAGAAGCATTTTCAGATGTAGACTGGGCATTACAGCCACACTAATACTGCATATTAGGATGTACCATCATATTATATGGATTGCTGGTTGCATGGAGTATCAGGAAACAAACTATAGTTATCCTTTCAATAGCTAAAGCCAAATATATTGCTCTAACATCAGTAGCATATAAAGTACTTTATCTGCAAGCTCTCATCAATGAGCTTTATGAGACAATGAAGATGCCAGTAAAGATTTACTATAATGATCAAAGAACAATTACATTAGCTTCAAACAATAAATTCCATGCACATACCAAACACATTGATATTCAGTATAACTTTCATTTAAGCACTAGTCAGGAATGAAACCCTATCCCTCCAATACAAATTCATGGATAAAAATATTGCTGACATATTTATGAAAGCTTTTCTGGCACTGGCATATCTTCAAAAGTTGAGAGAGAAGATGGAAGTAAGCTATGCTTGAGAGGAAGTGTTGAAACCAGACAGACATGCTAATAGTATGAGCACAGGAGTAGAAGCTGACTAAGATAAGAAAGCATGACACAAATAGGGAACACCAATAACTTGGAATAGCTGAAGTGAACAACATTTGCCAATATAGCATAAAAGAGAATCAAGATCAAAATACAGACTTTTAGATTAAACACATAGAATTAGCCATTTGATAGTATATATACTGTACAAATATTTACATTGAAATTCAGTCTTTATAACAAATATCATACTCTATATCTCATCTCTATCCTAATCAAAATCACACAATCATGAGCCCAGGTGTCATGCTGCATATAGGACTGTTTTTTTTTCCTAGGAAATATCTAGTGAATTATGTATCACTTCTCCCATAAAATGAGGGCAAGGCCTGCCCTTGGAACCATGCTCCACCTGGAAAAAAACATGATCCTAGTGTGTACTAAGACAGTCTCATGTGCGTCAAACATGATTTAGCTTATTTTGATGTCTTCATTTGCTAATTCAATGTTTCTAAGGCTAATATTGACCTTTAATATCTTGCTACACTCCTCATGTCTCATTGTTCATTATGTAGATAGTTATAAATCACTCAAATATGTCTATGCAATGCAAGATATTTGTATCTATATAGTGCAATAAGATTATAAAAACAGTGTGATATATGAAAATGCAAACACAAGCCAATCTAGTATGGAGTCTGGAAAAGACATTTATCAGGATGAGAAAATGAAACAAAAATGTGAGTTGAGAGGAATAGGTTCATGATAAAAGTGTAAAAGCATGAAAGTGTTTAAAACTAGACACAGTTAACACCAGGTTCCTTTCCAGCCGCGGTGTCGAGAGAAGAGGGAGTCATCCGAGTACAAAAGAAAATAGAAAATAATATTATAAAATCACGTGCATATTGAGATTTCCAAATGCAGCCCAAACCTTATCCCTCGTTCTCTCTCCACAGTGGCTGGCAGAAAACATTTGTAAACATTGTTCAGCCACCAAAGCAAACCCTTCAGAACTTGAAAATCAAATGGCAACTTTGAAAACTGAACTTAGGGTTTAAATATTTCAGATTATGTAACATTACCTTATTCCAAACTCGGTGACATCGATAATTGATCCATGGTGCCTTCTCTTGCTTTGATTCGTGCGCGGACAGAGGAGGTATTTGGATGCAGGGCTTGCCTTTGGCAGCTCAAAGTTGCTGAAGCTTTTCTGCTCTGAGATCAGTGATATCATTTGCATTGCTGGGACAGGGAAGGGCAAAACTCTCACATTCTGGATGCCTCTACTATTTGATTCCACCAGTGTACAAGTCAGTGATTACTCCTTTGAATTTACTTGGTGAACAAAATGTCATGGACCTCAAAAAAGCGGGAATTTCAGCTATATCTATACACGCAGACACTGCCACAGCACATAACTTTCAGGTCAGCAGGATGGTATCAATAGTACCTAGTAATTAATAATCATCTATGTACTAGGCAATAGAGAACCTCGAGTATCGAGTTGTCATTATCAGTCCTGAACAGGTTATGAAGGATGGCGGAGGATTCAAGAGGCTACTCAAAAATCCTTTGTTTGTGTCCATCAGTGATTCAGTGGCAGGCAACATGGTGTTCGCTGTCTACTTTATGGCAGCACTTTGGTCGTGCAGTTTGAAATATGTCGTTGGAGGGGACTGCAATACTATTTGCTGAGAAGGAGTACTTTGATGTATATAAAGCAGAGAAAGAGAAACGGAGAGTGGAGCGAGCAAAAAGAAAAGCTACATCTTCAAAGAAACAGCGCATCAGGCAAAAATGGTCCTGTTGCCACCATGAACATTCCAACAGGAGAAGAAAGATCTGATGACAAGATAGAAATAAGCAGCACTCATGTTCAACAAACTCACACCAGTGATACAATGGATACCTGGCAATTACGGGCGAAGATGGAGGTGCCTAGAGAAACAAATATTAGCCAGCCTCAACGGAAGACCTCCCAACAAACTGGACTTGAGCCAGCTATGGACTACTTCATTAATGCTGATATGCATCCTAGGATTGGTTGTCATCATAAGGTACTGAACATGTTTTTCAAGAACGAGGAAGTGGGTGCGACTTACTTTATCTGGCTTACTTCGAATTCCCCCGGCTGATTCATTGTTTAAGAATCTGATCATCACAAATGCGATGCTCTTGAGACCCTGGGTTGTCTTCGGTGTCTCATCACACAGTCCAACATCTGTTGCAATATTCACACTCCAACATATTTTGTCCCATTCATCTCCACAATCCCAAAACAACAAAAAGGACCTTCATGCTCGCGGCTTGCCAAGTTTTACATGGCCCTCCTTGATTCGAAGTTGACTGACACGCTTGATGGCTGGCGGGAGGAAGCGACTATCAAGCTCTATGGCCATGCTCATTTGCATGATCTTGGACCCGGGGTCATAATGCCTAATAGTATTCTAGATCGCATTGTTGAATGCGCACATTTCCTCAAGATCAAATCCACAGCTGACTTGGCCAAAGAAACTCGTTGGTCAGGAGCCAACAAACATGGAGATGAGATTATCGCATTGATTCACCAAGTCCACCCACTTCCTATGCCTTTAACATCAGCCCTGCTACAGCCTCGTACAATCTCGTCGAATACTAATGCAAGTACATCAGTCCCTCATAATGCAAAACGAAAGATGCGATGTAGTGCTTGTGGGGAGGAGGGCCATAATGGTGCGTGCTTTACTAGTAGCTCCCTTGATATATACTTACTACCACTATCTATCAAGCTTGTAATCGCCACTGTCGAGAGCATCCTGCAAACCAATCATCTGCCACCAAGGAAAATGCTGGCACAACCTGGATTATTATGTCGCCACCACATACAGGATTATAACTCTCCTACAACGTCTTCAGTTGTAGGATGCTCTACCTCATCTACTATCGTACCATTGTCTTCTGTACCTATTCCCTTCCATCCTTTCTCAAATAGCTCATGCCCCTTGTCAAGAAGATCCGGGACTAAGTAAGTGCTTTGTCGTCCAGGTGTATGAATGTGTGGAGATGATGATCGCATCTTCGTTAGCAGTCCTTCAAACATTTTTTTCATATCAGGTGCAGCCTGCAAACTCATTCTCCCAGTATGCATGAAATTAGTTTTGATGACGGAATGGGCATTTTGATAGACTTCAACCAGAGGCGACTCGAGAATGACCCTCGCGACACTACGGTTCGAGCCAGTCCCTCCATTTTTCACTTTGATGAATAGATTGTTGAGCTCTACGCACCAGTCGACAGCATGGAAGCGTTCAGGTTTTCTGGTTGGATTGACTAGCCAATGGTACCGTATTGCTTTCCTGTCAAAATGTTAGTACTCGAGTCAATGAAAAGGTGTGCTTCTTACTGCAAACCCATGGGATAATTGAAGTGCAAGTTTATCAAAAACTCTGTCATGCATGTGGCATATTTATGTTTGCCCATTGCCTTGAATATTAATGTCCATGCGATGATGCAGGTTTCAATGTGCACAATGTCTCCGATGTTCATCGCATAGGATAGCTCCTCATACAGTAGAAAATACTTGTTAATCAACAAGTTGTTCTTGTACTGTTTATCTCGTCATTGATCAGGCTGCCGACGAACTCGTGTTAGCCTGTAAGTAGTGATATATTCTCGAGCAAGTCTGTTGGCAATCACCTTTAGTTCCTTTAGGCTCGGTTTTAAAATGGCAAAGTCATCGAGCGTTTTGTGAGCATTGTTCATTTTTTCAACTTCTATCTGCCAACAATCCAAATGCCGACAGATCCCATCATGGCCAATGAGCTGGTGCATCATCCGTAACCCAGGCTTGGATCCAAAAATCCCTGTTTCACGTGGCCGTAGCTGTGCAATATCGTGCATCAGACTCGTCTGGTCCTGACACGCTGACATTGGCTGGATTAATGCCCTCCATATTGCATCTGCAGCTGCCATTTTCAAGTGGAACAAGCCAGGCACAAAGACTATGTGTTGGAATTGCCACCATGGAGTTGTTTCAATGGACCGACACTGCTGCATAGACGCGATGTGTTCGCCCATGCCCAGATCTCCATGGACAAGCACCACATACTCTGTAACATCAGGCGACTCGCCATCCTCCACTTCCACTGGATCAAAGACACCACCTTGCGCCATCAATCTCTTGATTGCCTGAATGTTTCCTGTGACTGTTGAGTTGTTGACATCCATTGCTGAGGCTGGTATGATTGGAGTTTTTGCAACTAGTATTTGTTCTAACACTTGGGGGGCTGATATATTTGAGACTGAAACTGTGCAAAATATGGCGGTCCATGATGGCGAAGTTCATGCAAAAACTTCCAAGAGTTAAATTGGTCGTGTCGAGAGAGACCTGAAGAATGCGAGACATCTTGGTGTAGCGACAATAAGTCTTTCCAGGTTCATCCAGTGGAACAATCACTTAGAGGGTTGATTCGTGATTTTCACCACAGCTCATAGGAACATTTTAGGTCATCACGAGTGACTCCATGTTGTAGGGGAAACAGTAAGCCCGATGTCAGATGTTTCAGACTGTTGGTATATTTTTCTGCAGTTGGAACGGTGGACTTCAGGTTGATGTCAAAATTATCATATGCATACGCCGCTAGAAGTGTTTGTCTAAGATATTGTAGTGCATGACTTGATTCTGCAGACAGCAAATGGACTGTATCATGAATTGCATCAATGGATATCGAGAGACCCATCTTCGCCATTGTTTCAATGACTTTCTCCGGTGCATGTGTTGAATGCAAAAATATTCCAAGTATACTTGACAGCGAGTTGGCTTTCTGATTTGTGCTTTTCTTTAGAAGCTAAACAATTACTACTTTCCGCTGGACGAGGTCTGTTTAGATCAAGCACAAATTTTATCTATATTTTTCATACCAGCATCATTGTCGCACTATGTTGAGATGCGAGGCATTCAGCTCTCAATATACAATCACCAGTAATGCCTTCTATAACACCTTCTAGGTCATCTACTTGAGCCCAGTATTCTGAATCCTCAGCTTCTTGTGCATCCGATACCAACACTCTGATCTCTGTGTGCCCTTGGCTTTTGATTTTCATGACTTGAAGAGCTCTTGCGGACAAGAGGGAATCAAGCAGGGCCCATAGCATTGGTGCCTCTCCCACAATCTGTAGAGCCATATCATCAATTTTCAAAGTTGCCATTTGATTTTCAAGTTCTGAAGGGTTTGCTTTGGTGGCTGAACAATGTTTACAAATGTTTTCTGCCAGCCACTGTGGAGAGAGAACGAGGGATAAGGTTTGGGCTGCATTTGGAAATCTCAATGTGCACGTGATTTTATAATATTATTTTCTATTTTCTTTTGTACTCGGATGACTCCCTCTTCTCTCGACACCGCGGCTGGGAAGGAACCTGAGTTAACACTAGTATAGACATATACATTAGTGTCTAGTTATTGTAGCAAGATGATGAAATAGATGTACCCTCAGTCTTAATGGAATTGATTGAGGAAAGAGACAATACAAAGAGACACAACTATATATGAGAAGTCTGATGTAGTAATACAATAATGGCTAAGTACTACACAAACTAAACATCCAACAAATAAATATGTTGTGGTCTTATATAGCCTAGTCTGCTATACTTACAAAACAAGTGTATTCAATCCAGGGGTTGCTATTTGGTGAAGTCCAATAGTTAGTTATGTACATGGAAAAATAGTGAAACTTTCAGGTTAGATTGGGAATATATTAGAAATATAGGAAATGCAGGGAATAATGAATGTTAAAATACTTTCAGATGTTTTAGGGTGTTTTAGATAATGACAGGATGATATTTTGGAATTCAATAAAGAACTACTGATATTAAATGACCTTTATCCTACTCAGAGGTAGGTAAATTCATGATAGATGGAAGGTATGTGGAATATAGTGTCTATATAGAATTTCAGGATGCTATAGGTGAAAGTAGTAGCAATAATTTTTGGGTCTGATGTTCTATGTAATCAGATATGAGGTACTGTAGACATATAATAATATAGTCTATAGCAACATGGAAACAACTAACTGCGCACCTAGTGGAGATAGATATAATATGATAGTATATATGAAGGACATTTCCAATGGGTTTTCAATAGTTATTTAATAGGTTAACTGTCAGGTCCAATGTTGCCAATTGTTAAGGTCAATGAATGTCTAATTAAACAGCTAGAAATTAGGTTGGATAGAATGACATTGACAGACTCCATAAAATATCATAATATGGTCCCAACACCAGTTATATCATTACACCAGTTAGAATTCCTATTAGTCATACTCTGCTAAGACATCACATTATTACATACACCTGTGCACCAACAGAAAACATAGAAACAAGTCCAACACATCAGCACAAATAACTACAAACTTAGATGAGAGGAATACATTGTCTTCAACTTTTGATGATAATGTGCAATTTCTAATGCATTGCTTATAAAATATATCTTGTCTTTCTTTCAGTATGAGTGTCATTCCATATGATATTTAAATGCAGGATATTCTAAACAAATTTCACAGTGATAGGGGTCGGATGTCTTGCTGATTGCAAAGCTAATTATGCTTTTGTCTCTAAGCTTAATGTGATATAATTCTTTGTTATTAACTTGAGGTATGGTGTCACTATGTGAATATATAATTGTTGAACTTTTAATGTATGAATTATGCAATGAGTAAGGTAGAATAGTGGTTGGAGCTGTTTTTGCTAGCTATGCTAGGACTTTAACACTAACTTGTTGAGCAATCTAGAAATGTGTAATATGAGGTGATTAGTACTTGGTGAAAACAGGAAGATACATCTTTGATGTGAAGCTTTCATTTGTTGGATTGTAGAGTACTCTAAGTCTACTACTAATGGCCCAAGGTTCTGGGTCTGTAGTTGCCCAGTCAGCCTTGGACTTGTGTGGAAAATAAGCTATAATGACTTATGCCTAGTATATCATGAGCTAGGCTATTAGATTACTCAAGTGTAATTTATCCATGAGATTAGTGTTTTAATCTCCTGTGAAGTTTATATGTTCTTCAAACATTTAACATGAAAATGCTTTTAGAGGGTTGGTTGCTGCAAACCACAGATGCAGAGAAGGAAGCCATTAGAAATTGTGTGGGAGCATTTGTGAGTAAGGCAAACAATAGTTTTGGCACTGGTAGGTGCTCATTAAGTTTGGCATCATATTCCACTGACTTTTGCAACAACCAGATGTTGCATTGACAGGATGAGGTCCTCAAGTTCATTGTGGAAGTCCTTAGGCAAAACTGAGGAACACTGGCTGCAACAGGAGAGACATATGTCAAAGGCTATTGCATTGAGCCACCAGTGCCCATGCCTAAGGCAGACTGACAAATTTTCATGGAAAGGCACAGAGATGAGCTATATGACTCATCAGATCTGTTTAATTATTTTTTGCATGATGTCAAAATAAATGAAGATGCTGGGACAGCCACTGCTCTGATGTTCATGAACCCTGTTGTGGTCGACATGCACATTAACCACTTTTACTGCTTTTAGACAAAATGTGCTATTGATTGTAAGGTCAAAGAATGACCCTCAGGGACAAAGTTTGGCATACACTTCAATGCAAACCCCTTTGCAGGTAACCAGTGTAAGATTCAGAGGAAAATGGAGCTAGCTTATAATTCCCCCATCTATGGAAGAGAGTTCAAGGCACAACTTCTGGAAATTCATCTGAAGGGCCTGTGAATAATTGCATCACACACTTTAAATGTGATTCTCATTCTCATGTTTTGTAGCCAGAAAATGGCAAACAAGCGCAGCAAGCCAGCTCCATAGAAGCCATGGAAGAAGGAGATTTACCTGCCTCAATCATTGGAAGAAATGACTATGCCACTATCATCCCTGAAGCATAATGCAACCCTAGCTCCCTCCATACCAATGCACCCACAACCGCCACCTCTGTTAGAAGGGCCATCATCTGCTACTTGCTACCTGCAGCAAGATATGGCTGCTGACAAGTTGCTGAACTCGCAGATGTGTCTTGCTTATCAGGAAGGGTTACCAGTGAATGCAGGCTTTTATGGTGTGAACATATACTCAAACCAACCAGAAACATATTACATCGGATAAATATGGCACCGTGGGTCAACTAGTCAGATGCAGCTATGATATACTCTTTTGTACACCAACTCATGTACATTTAGCTTGGAACTCATGCAATCAAACATTTACGTTCAGCAGCCCAAAATGTTTGGCATTTGCTTTGAAAATATGAAACAATAATGGTATGTCATGTGCTTGCTTTGAACATATGAAACAAAATATCATGTCAAATGTAAATGTTAAGTTCAATAGCCCAGAATATCTGGTGTTTGTTTCAAAAGTATGAAACAAAGGCCAGTGCGAGGCCAGGTGCAGTGGTCAGAGCAGAATGCAGCAGAACACAGAAGACTCACGTTCAGTGGTAACAGATGCAGGCTTTGACAACTTCACTCAGCAACTCTCTGGCTGCATCAACATCCACTTCAAATCCCTGCTTCGCAAGCCATGAGAGCAAAGCAATAGTGAGATAGAGCTGGGTAGCAGTTCAGTCCAAATAATCAGCAGTATGCAAGTCGAGGGCAGTCTGAAAAAGAGAGATAGGGATGTCTAGCATCTTCCACCAGCTTGGCAACTGACAAGCAGGTGGAGAGTTGATTCCTGAGGTTACTGCTGCTAAAAGTGCATAGATGGATTTAGCCAGTGCAAGCTCCACCTATTTGAACTATTTGCCACCCAGTACACCAAAGGCAGTTACTAGGTGATGTGGGTAGAGCTACAAGCACTGCCCGATAGTCATAGTAAATAAGTATGGCAGATAAGCAAGCCAATAACACCATTACGTGGTTGTTCATTATTCAAAGTCAGCTGGCAAATTCAGGTGATGTGTAATCAGGTGGCCCAGATCACCAAAATTACCAAATCCAATTTGCAGTACCTTTACATAAGTGGTATTCAAAGTAAGATTTTGAAACACACTGAAAGTGCATTGAAACTTATGTTGAAAGAGCCATGAAACTTTTTCAGTGTGATTTCAAGCTCCAGCTTGATTACCTTAGACATGATGCCTCGACAATCTGTGTGTCATGACCTCTTACACCAGCTAGATGCTGCCTCAATGGAAGTTGTGATGGCTCATATAGAGCACACTAGATGTGAGTTAGATCTTGATGAGTCCAGTTCAGGCTCCGATAGTATGATACCGAGTCCCATGATCATATCCCCACTCTCCCCTATCTCACCAAATATATCAGATACTTCATCAGACAATTCGACTGACAGTTCGAGTACCGACTTCTGCAATGTCAATCTACACTATCTGGCCCTTTTGGGGGATATCGCAGCACTTCGTGATGAAGTAGAAAGAGCACGAGTCCTCCATCGCCCTGATGAGCCCCCCATGCGCACACCACAGATTCAGCTCTTACCACACTTTGCTGCCCATCGCCCAGATCTTTTTTGCCAGAAACTGCATGTCTACCCTGAAATTTTCGACAACATCCTCAACTGTATCAGCAATAATCCCATCTTTCAAAACAATTCCAATAACCGCCAGCTCCCCATTGCCCTGAAACTAGCTATTTTTCTCAATTGCACGGGCCACTATGGCAATGCAATATCTAACGAAGATGTCTACCAATGGGCAGGTGTTAGCATTGGCTCGGTCACTAATTGTACCAATTGTGTCATGATTACTCTACTTGAGCATCATGACCAGTTCATCTTCTTCCCAAGTCTCAATTCTAATGATGCTGCTCATGTCCGAGAGTATGTCTCAAAGATCTGCCCACAATGGTGCAATGGTATCTTCACTACTGACGGCTCTATGATCAATCTTTGTAACAAGCTGGGGCTCTATGGAGAGACATTTTTCAATAGAAAATCCGACTACTCCCTCAATTGCCAGGTAAGTATTTCTCATTTTTTTCTTAAAACATTCAACTAATATACGTCTAGGTAGTGGCAATGCCTCATAATCTTCTTATCATGGATTATTTGATTGGCCACATCAGTAGCGCGCACGATGCATATGCTTTCCACTCTACATGTGTTTTTCAAGACCACAAGGTGCTCCTCAGAGACAACCACTGGATCAGGGCCGACAGCGCGTACCCTTTGGAACCATGGTGCATTATGCCATTCAAGAAGCCGCGCAATGGCACACTAAGCAGGGTGCGAAAGAAATTCAACTATAATCTCTCTATGGTATGTATACTATCTTTTTCATTGTATCTATTTACCAATTTTTGGGGTTAGGTCTGCGTTCACATTGAGCATGTCTTTGCGGCACTCAAAGGCCATTTCCAATCTCTCCGCAAGCTTCGGCATCTGATACAAACTGAGAAACACCTCGAGTATACATTGTACGTACTGGATCATGTGCTGCTTGATTCTCCACAACATGGTCATCTGATTCGAGGAAGAGCGCCACATATCTACTACTCAATGGGCCACAGGGCAGGATGGGTTTGAAGAGGAATGAGAGGAGGATGTTAGTGAGGATGGAGCCAATGACATGTTGTATGATGGAACACCTGAACAGGCATCTCGCAGTCGGTTGATGGACTACTTGCTTGAAATGCTCGAGAGGAGGCAGGGTAGGCAAGAACAAGGTATGATGCATATCATCAGTGAAATAGAACATGTAAGGTACACTACACGTACGAAAAATGCACATGACTTTGAACATGAATACATGAACAAGTGAGTCCAACGCAAATGGCAAATGAAAGCTCCAACACGAACAAGTACAACAACAGCTGCAAGTGAGTAAACAATAAATTAAGTCTCTTTCAATGACGACCCTTCTTTGAGAGTGATCAACTCAATTTCAAGGCGAAGAGCCGCTGCCTTCTCTGACTGAACTTTGGCCTGGGCTTCGAGAAGATGAAGCTCGAGTGCCTTTGCCTCCTGTGACTGCTGGTGCACTGAAGCAGCTTCATTGCGCTCAATTACACCCTGCTCCCGTTGGAATTGTATATTGCGCTCATGGCAGAGTGCATTGACCTTGGCAATTTTGTACTCGGAGGCAGATTCCTTCGCAGAGTAGATATAGCTCATATCATTGGTGAGAGAGCTTACTTGCTCAAGCACATCTGACGTTCCTGATTGAACACGCCCTAAAAGGCTGCGCTTGTGTGCAGCCTTTTTCCAGCTGGGTCTAAGTGAAGTCTGCGAGTCTTGTGATACCATGCCGGGTGATGAAGTAAATGTCCACGCGGATGCGCTGGGGGTATTCGCCGACAAGGACGACATAGACACTGGCTTTTTTGCACAAGGGGAGCCATGCTCCATGGCACGAGCAACGCGAGACTTGCCAGTGAAGGCTGCTTCACGACAATCATACTGTGGGGTGTGATGTGTTGGCTTGAAGGTGTGGGATGGTGAGGGGGACCTTTGGTGTGGGTGTTTATTGCTTGGGCGCTGAGTGTTATCCTGTTCCTTGTTATCCACCTCCATCTCCAACTCCTCAGCGCCATCATCCCAATTTCCGGTGTCACGCTCCTCAAGTACAGGGTCAAAGTCGTCGTATGTATGGTCATATGGAGGGTTGTGCCCCCCAATAAAGGTAGCAGGGAGCATGCCTTTGCCAGGCGAATTGTCAGCGTACATATCATTGAGGTCAGCATCCATATTGTCGAGGTTAGAGTTGGTATTGGAGAGATCTTGGGAGGCGGTAGGATGAGGGGCATCATTGGGTTCAAAATTTGGAGCCCTCCTTTTCCTCTTTTCTTGTGAGCACACCATGGAATCATCTGCAGCAGCACTGGAATTTGCAGGATGAGAGGCAACCTGCTTGCTAGTAGGGCGAGAGGTCTGTTTGTGTTTAGGCTGTGTTAGAGCATGGAGGGCACCAGCGCAATCATTTCCAGGAATGGAGGAGAAGGTCTTTGGGGCAAAAGCAGGGTTGTCCTTCCACAGCGCATCCAGGTCTTCGAACCAGGGAAATTCAGATGATACTTGCGCTGTAATGGTTCTAGCTTGGTCAGATAATTTAAACAATTTAAAATAAAACTTGCCTTGAAGATTTACTTGAGATAGAGGGTCAAGAGGGTTGATGCCAGCGCCAGTCATCCAAAAACGATTGGTTGCAGCCTTATACTTCCCCCTGAGACTAAAATTTCATTAGTGAATATATATATAAGGAGGAAGATGCACATACTATGCAAGATGATTGGCAATGGCTTGTTTGAACTTTGGCTGGTTCCCTTCTACAGCATACCAGGTCCCATATGTTGGGTCATTTTCGAATACATGTCTGGCGATTACAAGGTAGATATTGGCTTTACTCTTGCCCAAAGGACGATCAGTGCCGATCACTGTGCTGCAATTCTTTTTGTTATCGGAGAAAAGTACACGACAGTCGGCTGGATGTGTGGCGAGCCAGGATACGAGGATTGTAGTGCCATCAAAATCGGTGGTGTCCCACCTGATCTTGGCAGGGACAAAGCTGGTGTCATCCTCATGAGTTATAGACCAATCTTCAGGGTCTGTAATGTTGTTGTTGTCCAGATCAGTTGCAGATTGATGTTGGGGGGGATCTGGATGGTCGGTACCTCCTCCTCCTCCTCCTCGTCCCCTCCCACGAGTCACAGTAGCACCCCTTACTCGCCCCCTAGCCCTAGCCCTCCCCCTGCTACGCGAAGATTCCAAAGGTTGTGATGGCTGTGGTGGTTGTGGTGGCTGTGGCAGCAGTGGCAGTAGTGGTGGTGGTAGTTTACTCATATTTAGACCAGCAGATATTTTGGAAAGCTGCTTGAGGTGTGCTGAATGCCTTACAGTGGGTGAACATATTGGGGGCATCGTGCACGTGCAGCATAAAGTTTTGATTTCAGACTCTGATACCTGCTGCCAGGGTTCTGAAAAGTTTCCATGTTTGTTGATGCTTTCAAAAAAGTTTCAGGGAAGTTTCAAAACCAGCTTTGAATCCCATTATAGTTTAACCAGATGCTGCACAGAAAGTTTTTTTGAATTTAATCTATGTATGCCACCTGTTGTACTAGTGGTCATGGTTGTGCAAGTGCCTTTATGATGTTTGTAAGTGCCTGAATAAATGCTATCTGATTCCATTTCATGACTTAGCAGGAGTACTCAGTATCAGTTACCATTATTATCCTATCTCAAGCTTTACAATCCTGACTAAACTCTTATAACCAACCCTAGAGAGTAGTCTTATTGGTAATAGCCTTAAGTCAAAAATGGTGGCAATGCTTTTTGAGAATTTTTACACTCATTTTTGAACTAAAAATGAGTCTCAATAAGCACTACAGTAAATTATGAAGATTAACTTCAGCAACTTACATTGACAAATATTTAATCTTATGCTCTGCTGTGAACATATTAGCAAAACACTATTACAGCAATTTGCAAAATGGTTGGCACTATCAGACATGAGGGAAAGATTAGAAATGAAAATACTTCACACCAAATATAGCAATTAATAGTCTCCTGAGAGGCGTGGCTTAGTGCACGTCCACCGAGTCACTCTTCCATTAACCTTCACCAGCTTCACGATCAATGGTGTCTCAAACATACGACTCAATTTTCGATCCTAGTGCTCTGTCTGACACTAGTGCAAGCAGAATATTTTGATCCTGGAAGATCCGACCCTCCAACCCTGTCCAGCATCCGCCCCAGTGTAAAGAGTTGATTCCTGGTGGGCTATACAAAAGGTGTTACCTTAAGACTCAAAAGTGCGAGTGAGATGTTTGTCCCAAATAGACTGCCTGTAGGATTATCTCTTGATATAAATGCAAGGGATATCATATTAAGATCGAAGGTGATAAAAGAGAATGATACCTTAAGTACGTTCAGACTTCCGAAGAATTGTCCAAAGTGTCCGGTATAGGTCTGACATCAAGAAATGAAGGTCCAAGTTTGTGTGAAGCTTCTGGCGAGCTTCCGGTGAAACAGCAAGGTTTCTGATAGAGAATATGGTGTTTGTCAATGTATAGAACTTTGTGAAGTATGACTAGCGAAAGTTCATCGAAAGACTTAAGGATTTCAATAGCAAGATGGCAGCAGTGAGGCCAAACAATCATTCTGAATGGACAAAGATCGATTGTGTGAAGTACTAAAACCCAGAAATGACTACTACTAACTATGACTCGAGGCAAGGGAAGTGAAGTGAGTTGCGAGTCTCCTAGCAAGCCAGAATATATCCTACAATGTGAAAGTCCGGAATCTGCATAGGTGAAAACTGTAGCGAGATAAGACATCCGAAATGTAATAAGACTCAAGGCGAGTTGCTACGAAGATATACTTGTAATAATGCATGAGGTGCATATCTATATGTATTAGCAAGGGTTTTTGATGTATGTGCCCCTAGATATAATCAATAACAGATAATCAAGTGAAAAACGCACCAGCGAAGTCAAACAGACAAGGATAGGACATGGTATGGAGGATCAGAAAAGCTAGAAAGGCTTCAGAAAAGGGTGGACTACCTTCGGACAACTCGGACAAGCACACGGAACTTTCAGAAGATCGGAAGTGTGTTGAGGAATATAAAACATGATTATCACCAGATACGTGCCCAACACCAACACAAGTGTTACACCAGGTATGACTCAGTGTGCCAGCCACTACAAATAAACAAACATGCTGCCACAATACAAACATTCCAGCCACCACAGCTACAAATAAACAAACCCGCTCCGCTTGGACTGTATGTCACTCTTTCCCTGCTCCCACCCCTTGTGTCTCTTTCCTTGCCCCCGCCCCTGCCCCTTGTGTCTTGTTTAAACTGTTACAGGTACGCTATCTATCTGTACAAGTAATTTCTCCACTTCTTTGTCTTGCTATTTACTGACAATAACTATACTGCAGTACAACCAGTTGCACGATGCAACTTCTAATCACCTTGCTATGCCTACTACACTACTCAGGTTCATGCTGTCTATTCACCATGTCCAACACACCCCCAGATACCCCTTTCATGAAGCCAGACTACATACCATTTTGTGAACATGGCCATGGTGAACTCCAGTGGAGAGTTACGAAGTCTGATAAGAATGGCAACCATGGCCACTGGATGATTTCAGTGCATCCTGCTATGTGAATCTCATTAACTATCATTTATTTGTTGCTTTAGTGCCCATTCATAGGGCTTGAAGGAAAGTGCAGATATTTTCAGTGGGGTTCCAAGAGTCCTACATCATCTCCCAGTTGGGACCTCTGCCATTCTACAATTCTAGTACTTGGTGTTACCCCCTTTGGCTTTAATAACTGCTGCAATCCTCCTAGGCATACTTTCTATCAATTTCTGACACTCCTCTTTAGCAATCTTTTCTCACTCTGCTGCAACTCTCTCCCATAGTTCAAATAGCCCCTTTGGAGGATCTTGATAGGCAGCAAGTAGTCTTTTGAGTAATTCCCAGAGATGTTCAATGAGATTCAGATCTGGAGACTGTGTTGGCCATGATAGAACATTGATATCATGGTCTTCAGACCATTTTGTGGCCAGTTTTGAGGTGTGCTTGGGGTCATTATCTTGTTGAAAGATGATGTCTTCTTCATCAATCCCTGACTCCTGCATGTTTTTGAGTAGACACTCCTCTAGAGTGGAGATGTACTACTCTGCATTCATCCTTCCTTCTACCTCACAAAGAATTCCCACACCATTCCATCCCATACAACCCCATACTATCATGTTTCCTCCTCCAAACTTCAGTGTACCCTTGACTTCTCTTTCTCCTAATGGTTCTCCTGCCTTTTTCCACACATATTCCTGGCCAACTGACCCCATTCTATTGATTTTTGTTTCATCTGACCAAATAACCTTCTTCCAGTCTTCCACAGTCCAATGTTGATGCTTTAAAGCAAAGGCTAGCCTTCTCTTCCTATGAGCTACAGAGAGAAGAGGTTTTTTCTTCTTGGTTACAGCCTTGAGATTGGCTGCCTTGAGGGTGTTTCTAACAGTTTGGGTTGAGACAGGAGTGGAGATGATGGAATTGATGAACTTGGTAGCTTGAGTAGCATTTGAAGCCTTGCCAGATAGAATTTGGTGAACAATAGCTCTTTTGTTCTGTGGAGTAAGCTTGAGGGGACATCTCATTTTATGATTTTCCTTCTCTGGCATGTGTTCCTTTATGACTGTAGCAATAGTGGACTTGCCAAGACCAGTTTTGAAGGCAATTTGCCTAGTAGATAAACCAGAGGTGCAGAGAACAAGGATATTATTCTTTTGAGCAGAGGAGATGGGTTTCATGATGATTATGTTGAATGTCATAATCTTATGTGGGTTTATATATTCAGATGATATTAAAATCAGACCATATCAGTATTATGACACCACTTTAATCAAGAATATAATGTATGAATGGTCTGATTTTGTAATTTTAATAAAAAGTCAAAAAAGTGTCTGAATGAGTTATGTATTTGAAATTACCATATCTTGCCCATATATGATTTGATTCTCATGTTGAATATCTCAAATTCGAGCCAGGATATAGGGCTTCTAGATGTGTCCCTATATTATTTTGTTATTATTGAGTCCTGGCTTGCCATTGCCCAACTACTTGAAAATACATAAATATTCAGATACTTTTTTGAGCCACTGTATGTGCAGAAAGTACTGTTGGATGTCTGGCGGCTGTGATGCAAAGGGCCATAATGCTCCTGGACCTGCTGGTGAGGTACTACACCTGCACCCACCACCTGAAGCTACACCTACGTCATCCATTGCTAACCTCACTGTACTTGTCCTACCACCACCTGCCATCAACCCTGCTTTACTTATATCTGGCACCATACTTCATCCTCCACCACCTGTCATTGATCTGGCCTTACTTGTATCTGATGCCATACTTTGTCCTCCCTCACCTGTCATTGACCCTACCTTAATTGACACTGCATCATCATCCTCCTCTCAGGCTCCCATTGCCGGTCCATCTACACTACCTACCCCAAGCTAGGTTACAACAGATAATGGAAAAGGCCATGCTACAGTTCCTGCACCTGATGTGGGTTTCTATTCTAATCCACGCCTCCCATTACAGCTACCACCTATCTTCATAGATGCATATGCCAAGTAAGAGGTAGAGCATCTGTGCAAGCATGAAGCACAGTCTCTCAAATGTGAGCTTGCCCTCACAGCACAGAACACTGTTACTGTATTTGGCTGGGTAGTGGTATGTTTTTTTTACTATAGCAATAAGAGTTTAATTTAGAATGTGATTAGGATGGAGAGATGCCTGCAGTCTGCGAGTTTCAAAGCAGAATCATTCTGCCACATTTTAGGGTCACTGTGGAGTGGCTTCACAATCTTGGACTCTCCATTGATGATGGCTGTCACTACTTCAATGCGACGCAGCAATGCTGGAATAAAATATTTGTTGGTTATGTCCTTACCCTTCCAGGCAATCACGTCTACTTCAAGAACCTCAATGTCAAAGTTGCGCTTGACTTTGACAAGTATTACATCAATCGGCAGCCACAGACTATCCCTCACATTCATAACAACCTCAAAGGCGAGTGAGCCCATGTCCGCAATACTACCAGCAATCTTCATGTCAGCACCACTAGCTCTGATAGTGAACAGCAAACTGCTATATTACAAAAGCGGAGGCCACATTTCTCTTCTAATCATTCCCGTTGTAGGGATTCATTTCTGGTTGGGCTTGTAGAGACTGTTTTTACCTTACCTTATGTTGGCACTTTTGTAGCTTACATAATGAAGCAATCTTTTCACCAGTTACCAGTATGAGTCTGAGAGATCAGCAAGTTTTTATGGTATTTCCTCTCCTCTGAGCCTTGAGCCTGGTCCAGAAACCCTTTAGGGTCGAATAGTAGCTAGGTTCTGCAAGACCCAACATATTGTTCAGACTCACCATCTGAATTGTTGTACCTTCAACTGGAGCCCACCGCGAGGGTTTCTTGTGTTTCTAGGCTCTCCAAGCTCTCCAATCATCCCCCAAATTCGCCTATTATCCAACCACAGTCATTCATTACCAGCTTCTCCCACATTCCCACTTTTCAGCATCTCCTCCTCCTCCCCAGCACATTGATAAGCATTTTTCCCACGCGTTTTTCGAGCGGATCTCTCGCAAACTTAGGGTCGTATTCCCCACGTCCGTACGATCATTTTGAGCCCTGGCTCATCGAAATTGGAGCAGTAGTTGTGGAGATATCGAGTTTTTGGTGTTTTTGAGAAGTTGAGGGGAGATAAGGGTTTTCTGGGTGCTCAAAGGCCTGTCTCATCTAGCTCTTTTGGCCATTTACCATCCCTCAGTGGCTCTGTCCATTTCCCCAATCCGCTTTTTGATAGGACCAGCCCTTGTTGCCCTGTACCATACCCCTTCCTTCTCTTCCCTCTTGCACCTCCGCACTTTTCGCACTTTCACCAGCCCAATTCGCATCGAAACCCCATCGACCCTATACCCGTTTTGAAGCCCTCGTTCATGGCTTTCATTCGCGCATATCCGCGCCTTCGCGCGCTCAGCCGTTCGCTCGTTATTCGCATTTGCGCGTTCCCCCCTATTTTTTCGCCCCATTTTTGCGCTTTCTTTATATCTCGTCGCCCTGTGATCGCGCGCCCATCGCCTTAGGCGCGTTCTGACCGCATTTTCCTGCTCTTTCCATCCATCCGATCAGATTTCCGATACGCCCGCCCGCGCCCTCGCTACTCGCCATTTTCGCTATATTCGCGCATTTTCACCATTTCCTTCATATCTCCCTCAGTTCTCCACCAAACCTAGTCAACCCTATACTCATTTCGAAGCCCTCGTTCGCCTCTTTCTATCCGTCTACTCCCCATCGTCATCCATGCAACCATCATCGCATTTATTTCACTTTAGCATCGCTGCTCCTCCAGTACTAAAAGCAAAGTCTGGAGGATATCGTTTTATTGCATTGCCTGACCCTCACTCACTGGCGCAGTTTACCTGGCATACGCGTCAAGGAAACAAAAGGTGTTTGAGGACCCCCAGGTTAGTTCTCTTAAGTTTAGCTTAGCTTTGGTTTGCATAGGTAGATGACTGGGGACAGTCATGATTTAAAGTTCCCATGAGATGTAGGGATTCATTTTTGGTTGGGCTTGTAGAGACTGTTTTTACCTTACCTTATGTTGGCACTTTTGTAGCTTACATAATGAAGCAATCTTTTCACCAGTTACCAGTATGAGTCTGAGAGATCAGCAAGTTTTTATGGTATTTCCTCTCCTCTGAGCCTTGAGCCTGGTCCAGAAACCCTTTAGGGTCGAATAGCAGCTAGGTTCTGCAAGACCCAACACATTGTTCAGACTCACCATCTGAATTGTTGTACCTTCACCGTCATCAATGCCGCATCAACTTGGATTCCTCTGATGATACTCTAGAGCTAGCACATGCACTGCCAGCAACTCACCCCATCCTTCATACTACTATCAAGCATGAGTGATCCTCTGATGAAATAAGCATCTCCTCCAATGATTCAATGGATGATGAGATGCAACAACCAGTCCCAAAGCCCCTTCATGTCAAGTGGGAGCCATCCATTGATGTCATTAGCATTTCCTCTGACTAAGCTGCTCCTGACAATGATAGGCCCTCTCCTGGAGTGTCGTATGAGTACCCGATTGAGGTTGAAACTACTGTCGTATTACCACTCTGGCTGCGATGGTACTATGCAGTTGACATCAATGCAGGTTCTATTTCTATGGAGAATGCAAGGAAGTCTGGTCACAGCGTCAAGGAGGCTTTTACTCATGTCTTTGGAGATGTTCCCTATCGCTCCCAGACTGTCAGTGATGATTGTATTTGCTGGCAGCAGGCAGGACCCACAGCAAGGGCTGCATTTATCGAGGCAGGTGCACTCCTGCTGGCTTATGGTCTGCATTTATGGCAGCCTATCCTGCCAAAGGTGCTGCAGAGAAAGTGGCAAAGAAGTGTCTTGCTCATGCACTGTGACCTGTGGTTCTCTTACTGTATACTATTTCTCAATACTTGGGCATTTGTTATTTTATATGCTGGTTATATTATATCTCGTACATGTCACACAATAGCCATCGCAATGTCATTATTTACCTCAGCAGGCCACCTAACTGTGGAGATTGCTGACTCTCTAGCATAACATGCACATATGCTCCTTCCCTGCCTCTCCTCTCCACTCTTCTAGTATCCCGCTCAAAGACTTTCTAGTTTGAATGACACCGGCAGCTCCATAGGGATATTTGCATCTGATAGAGCTGGAGATGTTTGTTTAGTGCCTTCGTCATCCACGTCCATCATTTTCTCTTCACCATCTTCGTCGCAGAATGCAGGCATAACTTGATACTTCTTGGCAACCTTTACAGCTGGAACACCTGTGCCAGTGTCATGAGCACCTATGCCACCAATATTACGGAGCATGCTGCTTGGACGACCATATTCAAGCACAGCACTGATGTGTGCTCAAGGAAGTGAGCGAGGGTCAGTGAGAAGTCGTCAAGTTGGATGTTAGTGAATAGCATGCCATGTAAAAGAACAAAGAATTTGGGTGCATGGGCGTCAGGTTACCACCGTCATCCTATTTTACAGTTGACTTTTGCCTTTCATCTTGCTGGTCATCCGCATTTATTTGCTGCGTCACTTATGCAAATAGTTCAGTTCCTCTAGGGTAGATCTGTGTGAGATCTTGTGAGCCCAGCATCGGTTTGCTGTGATGTGCATGCATTGTGATGCGCCAGTTGGGCACGACCCAGCAGATAGATGTTCACATCGGGGAGAGTACGCGCAAAATTTATGCCTTACTCACTGGAATTCTAGATGTTGTGGAAGGGTCAAAAGCCAGTAGTCTAGAGCATTGTCCGGACGTTGACCCTATCAAGGGTCTAGACTGGAAGCGCACATTCGGTTTACATCTGTGGTTCTCTGAGCTGATGGATGCACCAATATCACAGGTCTTTGAGTCCTACAACTGATCACGACAAGAATTGCCTTTTTGTGTCACCCCTCCACTCCCATCATACCTCAAGCACTCATCAGAACCATTGCCATTCAATGTTCCTACCCCATCACCTTCTGACACTCTCTTTTCTTTAATTCGCCTACATGCAGACCCTGCATGCTCATTATCACAGGCCCTCTCCCCACTCTCATTTGGGCCTTCACCAGGCGATTACTCACTCTCGTGGCATTTCTTAGCGGCTGAGCGATGGTAAATATATGCCTATGGGTCCAGAGTGCATACCCAGTACCCAGGGCACCCTTGGGACGCCCAATGAAAAGTATATGGGTTCATCAGGATATCGCAAAACAACTATCTACCCACTCAATGGCCAGTTAGCAGGACATCTGCCCTCCTTTTCCAGCTTTGCCCTTGTCAACCTATTCTTTGTAAGACCATCTCATCAAGAAAAAATCTATACCTGTGAACTATCATCTCATGACAGATGGCATGATATCCCCCAAACCAGACATTTGTCTGTTCTGCGACTGACGAATTGAAGTACCACCTGGCACCATCTTCTCCAAGGAGATGTTCAAATGATGCAGGATTGCAGTTTTCCTGGCACCACCAGTCGGTAATTGCATGTTTGCAGTTGAAGTGGAAAACATCAACGGAAAGGCTGATGTCTTTGAAGTACACATCATCCCTGACAATCTTAGAGAGCATGCAGTTATTGTCATAGAATATGTGCTTTGGCTTGATGTCATCAGAATGGAATACATGTTTAATCATTTCCTGGATTATTTATATTAGCAGGCCATTTGTAGCGCTGACAATGCTCACATACCATGACACTTCCAACACCTTCCGGTCTCCCTTGCAAGTATCATCCTGCACGGGGCAACAATCAGTTGTTCATTATGCGTGCGCTAGCGCCCAAATTGTCCACGGAGTTTTCTACCACTGGCAGCAGTACTGTCCTGCGCTGTGGCAGCTTGCACAGTCCCATCAGCATCTACAGCAAGTGTGAAATCTTCCTCAAGTGGGGCATCATCGATGAGTTCATCCAATGGCACATCCTGTGCAATGGAATCTGTGGGATTTGCGAGTTGGGAATGCTGAAGACGCTGCTGAAGTTGGAAATGGCTTTGCCCCCAAAGTTGGTGCATGTTCTTGACCGCTTTGTACTCTGCAAGGTGGAAAACCTTGCTCTTGATGAGGATGTCATTGCTACAGCTGACAATAGCACATTTGTGGCCATGGGTGAGTGTATGAGTCAGGCAAAAGTGATGGTTGTTGTTGTTAAGGGGCACATGGCAGTTATGGATAGCGCAGCACAGATGGCCAACAGTGACCCCATCAATAACGACAACAGAAAAATTGCTTATGACTGCTCCTGCATCATCCCTAAAGAAGTGGGTGCATTTGTTGCAGTAGTGTCGAAGCTCTTCTTGGCTGTAAGTTCGGATGTGATTGTTGCAGTTAATGATGGTGTCCATGAAGCGGGCCTTCTGGTCTCCATCTTGGGGTACTAACAAGACTGCATGGTGCTCCATGGCATCCTCGATCAGGGTGAGTTGTACAAACCCATGCCAGACATGATCCCCAGCAAGCTTGAAGTTCCATGGAAAGCTGGGAGGTGGTATGGAATTCTGCATCAGCGCTGAGTTATACAGTCATGCACAATTTGACATGAATGTCCTGGATGAGGCAGAAATCAGAAATATGTCAAATTGTCAGCCTAGCGTACTTACCATGAGACAAGCATCATTGTGCACCACAGATGAACAACCTTTGTCTCCACAAATTGATGTCCACCCACTTGCAGGACATCCAGGATCCCAGGATAGAATGTTTAAACACCTGCCTTGACACTAAAGCCGTGGTGGTAGTTTGTATTGCAGTCTGAATGTGTCATGATGATGAGAAAAAGAAGATTCATGCTAGATACATACTGGCACAATAGAGGTGGACAGAATATGTCGCAATAGGCCCATTATCTAGTGTGTAGATAATGACTTGTTGTTGTTCTGCCTTCTTGAGGACAGAGCCTTGCACATGAGCAGGACAGTTGCGTGTCTGACATGTGTGATGAGGTGGAAAAAGAATGCATGGTGCTATCAGTCATATGTCATCCATGTCAGTAATCTTCATACTAGCAACACCACTCACTTATTCCATGCTGTCATCCGTGATGCGCAAAGAGTGACATGTCTACATGACTTGATACACCTTCATTGCCATGCCACACAATGTTCCTAAGAACCTTCCAATATATATCCACATCACTCTCCGAAATATTGCAGCTGCCAGCCAGGAAAAGTTTGATCATAGGAGAGAGAACTAGAGAGGTACTATCAGGGTGATGAGAAGTAGCTTGCACGAGTATGATGTCATCCTTGAGTCCTGATGCAAGTGTAATGAAGTGAAATACCATGCTGAATGTCAGAGGTGAGCAATTAGGGAGCTGATGATGCAGTGATTGCAACATCTCAAGGGCTGATGATGGTCCTTGCGCAGTCATTTTGAGCAGAGGCAGGAGGTAAATGTTGAGCGGAGGTAGGAGGCAAAGGTCTAAATATAGTATTCTTGATGCTGTGTGCAAGGTGGCTGACAGCGAGGACGTGTGGGAAACAGTGAGCTTGATACATGATATTATATTGACATTAAATCTAATATATAATATATGTGATATGTGTGAACAATAACTATGCAGACGCGGATGGGGGCAGGCAGTTGGATAGGGTCGGTGGGTCGAATTTTCCAGGATTAAGATATCCTCAGCGCAAGTGATCATGACACTGTGGACATGAGCTCGAAAGCAAATATGAACACTCAAGCTCAAGATGTGGAATGTATGACTCTCACTTGGCAAATAGAATGTGGAGGATAACTAGATGCAAATACGATAAACTCTGGCAAAACTGGCACAGCAAAGCGCAAGAACAAGCCAGGTCGTCCGAAGAAGAAGAAAGCCGCAAAGGAGACAGGTGTGTGCACAACATCATTTTTCAACTTGGTGTTTCACAGACAGTTTCTTTCTTTCCTACATACTTAAGTCTTGGTATGACTTGATCTTTGACATCTCTCTGCTGATCATTGTCTAGATGTACATATCTGCCCCACATGCTCCCACATGAGTGACATACTACCTCTCCATTTTCTTGGAGGCAGAGCTTCGCAAAGCCGAAAAACAAAGGAAATCACTCAATTCATTCTTGCAGCTAACAGCTGAATTGCCATTCGATACTTTGAAGGCACAGTTACTTGCTCAGATTTTGGCAAAACTCAACCCCAGCAAGATCTCATATGACGACTATGACATTGTCTGGACCGTACCACGGATCCAACCATCTCCTTTGGCTCTTGCTTTGGACAGCGATTACAAATTTTTGCTTCAGCACGCCATAAAACACAAAGAGCTGCAGACAAATATCACCATCAAGGCTCGCACGAACAAGGTCAGTTATCTTTCCTGGATATATGCACATATTATGCTTGACTGACAAATGTTGTAGAAGAAAAAAATGAGGAAAGGTGAACCATCACGACAGGGATACAGACACAAGCTCTGGAGAGGATGATGTAGGTTCTGAGAATGAGAGTGAAGATGACAAGCAGCTGAAAAAGAAGCCAAAGAAGACTGTAAATATATTTTGCCTTCTTACCAATGTTCTCATGCAGTGATTTACCTACAGTCAGCAAAAGAAAAAGCCAAGGTACTAGAGACTAACTTGAATATAAAGATCAACACAAAAATTCAACAACTTTGTGACCATTGGATGTGTTTAAAGCCTGGATGTATGAGTGAGCTCTGTGTCATCCATGTAGAGCATCCTGAACACTTCCTGCTCAGACATGAGCATCTTTCTGTATGGGTGGCTACATGGGTATTCTTGTAGACTATTGTGAAATGATAATTTGCTCACTTCACACTCAGAACAAAGACAAAGCACAAGCAAATCTTGAGACTCCTCCAAACCATGCCAAATTCAATACACTCCCAGGGCAGAAGGGCACTATCTCTCTTCTTCAGTGTCACCTCGCTGAACGTGCACAGCCTGCAAGTCAGCCTCATGGTACTGTCATCAATTTCAACATCCCATCAGAGCTTCTTGCTGTGTTTTTCCCTCCTGCAGCTCCAAACAACAACATACCTCAACCTGCACCTGCTGGATCATGCACTGAAGGTGGTCAATCAGACTCTCTGATTCCCTATGGTATGCTGCATGGACCAACACTTTCCCTCAATGATTTCTATAGCAACTATACCCTCAGCGATGATATCCACATGAAGCTACACCAGAACAGGTATACAGGCATGGAGACTATCTGTTACATCCTTGTCTCAGAGCTGAAGGAAATGGAGTTCAAGCTGGGAGAGATTGCTGTGATGCGTCCAGCTATGAAGTGTTGGTGCAGGTGAATGGTTTCTTGTTATATAATCTACTTTGTGCTCTTTGTTAGTCTACATCACTGTATTGTATTGAGAGAAATTGTGCTAGAAGTACCCTGCATGCATAACATACCCAAGTGCATCTGATTCTGTTATCTGATCCATTGTGATGATGTACATATCATAGATAATCTCATCCAATTCTGTTGAGAAGTAATTCTGGTTGTGACGAATGAAAGCCTTGATCTTGGAGAATGCTTCCTCAATTGGATTCAAATCAGATAAGTATGGATGGAGATATTCGAGCCATACACCTCAAAACTATGTTGTGTGTCAATAGGGCTTATTATGCATCACATGTGAACTCATCTGCTTCATATACAAGATCTGCAACACTGTGACCATAGTGACATGTTGCATTGTCCATGACGAGCACACTAAGCTTCTCAGGGTATGGAGAGCATAGTGGTAGCTGGTCGAACTAATGAGTTCATGTTTCAGAGGTTGAATAGCACTTACAATATCTTCCTGAAGAAAGACCTTAAACTTCTCCACAGTGAATGAACCTTCAATTACTGAACATATCATCATTCCATCAATGGTGAGCAGGCCCAATGCAGAAAGGTGGTGTCCTCGCACAAAGACTCCCTTCTTTGCTGCTCTTTTTCCCTTCTTTGATCTCTCAAACCTCCTTGAAGTTGTCCTCTCATCTTTGGATGTCTCATCTAAGAATCTAAGCTCCTCTGGGTCATACTATGCCATTCATCTAATGAAGTCAGCCCTTCGAGTCTCATTTCGTTCTTTTGCAATCTTCTTCAGCTTCATGCGAGAGATTCCTGCTTGGGAAAGTTCACAGTATTGTTGGAGTCAGATGGACATGGTCATGGTACAAGCACAGGAGTAAAAGTCTTAGTAATACATAGAAGGATGAGTAATGTAGGGAACAACTAATAACCGGTAATGTCCGAGATGGACAAGATTTGTCATTGACTCATGGACTATAGACAAGTCCATGCTTACATATACATAGACCGGGTACTTACATTTAGCGTACCTTAGTATATATACTGTAGTATTATTTCGAATAGGAATTCAGTCAATTTAATTATCTCAAAGTCTTCATTCAAATCTGCACTAAATTTTACAGGTTATGAGCCCTGCTACTACCATGGATATGATGCTCCCCAGCTCCTCATCGCTATATCATATCCCCCAGCTCTCTGATGATGGAAAGAACTAGATAATCTATAAGAAAAGGGCCCAAATGATGATACAAGCACAAGGTTTGATGTACTATCTTGATGGTAGGACGAAGGAGCCTGTACCTTTCAAGATCGATTCACAAGGACAAGCACTGAAGCCAACCAAATCAGTAGCTACCCAAATAGAGATTGAAGAACAGGAGAAGAAGGAAGACGAGTTTCAACAGAAGGACTCACTTGTCAAGTAACATATATTTAGTATGGTCTCGGACCAACTATTGTTGCACATCCAGAGCCTCTGGGAAGCCTCGAAGATCTGGGCAGAGATATGCCACATACACAAAGGAATGACAGAGATGGTGCAGATAGACCTGCGATGGAAACTGCAGGAGACCAGGTGCGAAGAAGGCGGAGATGTGAAGACACACTTCGGAGACCTATTGAAGATCCAAGAATCATTAGCAAAAATGGGAGCAAGTATAGATGAAAGAGACTATGCTATTGTTATGGGATCACTACCAGAATCCTACAGACCAATACTCTCATCAATCAACGCAGCTGCACGCATCACGAAACAGCCACTTACCTCATATGAGTTGATGAATGTCATCACCGAGGAGTATGAGCACCAGCAGATAGCCCATCCCAAAGCTCCTAGAAAAGGAGGAAACAATGTGTTCTCAGCAAAGACAAATGAAAGGAAGAACAGAAATGAGGACATTACCTGTTACAATTGCAACAGGAAAGGACATTACAAGTCTGATTGCTGGAGACCTGGAGGAGGGAAGGAAGGACAGGGACTGTGTCAAGGACAGAGGAAGGGAGGACACTTGAATCAGACTGCTAACACAGCAGAAAGCAATGATAACTATGCCTTTGCCTCATCAGACCTTGCCAATGTTGCAAAACAAATGAACATACCTATGGAACACTGAGGAGCAATCATTGACTCCAGTGCAATGTCCCACTTCTGCCCCGATCACTCGAAGTTTATAACCTACACCTCCATCAAAGCACAAGATGTGCACACTGCAGATGGTTCTACCATCAGCACTATAGGGAAAGGGGACATAAGGATAGACTTACCTTGTGGGATGAAGAAGACCACTGTAACCCTCAAAGACACTCTATATATGCCAAAGGTGATGTTCACGCTAATATCGGCCAACAGGATCGCTACAGCTGGTTTCACAGTACACTTCGAAAATAGAATGTGCAAAATACTCACCCCAGTACCAGAACGAAAGACCATAGCCGAAATTCTGCAGATCAACGGACTATATTGAATTGAGTCAGCAGTAGCTCGCAAATGTGAAAGACAAGCTTATGTCCACTCACCAGATAACAGGAAGCTCAAAGTACAAGCGGAGGAGGCATTGTTTGCTGGTATAGATGAGGAAAGGAGGAGATATTGAGCATATTGGCTGGAAGAAGAACAAATTTCTGTCAAATGAAACATTAGTTTTGTCCCGCCAGACATCAATTTTCATGATGACGTACTGGACGAGGGGGAGTCTAGCCAGGTGACACAAATCAATGCACCAAATATTGTCCAGCCCGTCGCACAAACTCCCCAGAGTGCACATTCCCTACCAATTCCAATGATAATCAAAGCATTAGAAGCTGCACATCGAGAGCCGACACTAGATGAGGCCTTGAGAAGCCAAGACGAAGGAGCAATACACACACCAGGTGAAACTGAAAGTGACATTCATATGATGGCATCTGCGCATCGAGAGCCAATACTGGAAGAGGCCTTGAGTGACAAAGATGATGCAGCAATAGAAAAGGAAGACATACCAGGCATTCATAGGCCATTGGCATCAGCCACGCATCAAGAACTGGCACTGGATGAGGCCTTCAGCAGCCCAGATGCTGCAGAATGGCAGAAGGTGTTGACCTACAAAATCAACGCATTTGTGGAAAGATTCCATCTCAAGGATGCGAAGATGTAGCAGACACTCATAGGAATAGGGATAGTTCTGATGAAAGAACAGTCAGACCATTCGCCAGGCACCAAACCTGAAATATCCGAACAACATGTACCGTATCAACAAGCAATTGGATCGCTAACACATGCAGCAAGCCAGCCACATAGGCATTTGATATCCAGACATGTTGTCCAATTGCATGGGTTCCCGATTGCATGGCGCACTCAAGAACAGAGTATTGTCGCACTATCAACTACTGAAGCAAAATACATAGTGTTAGAATCAGCAGCACGCAAAGCACTTTACCTGGAAAACTCAACAAATGAGTTGTATGAGCCAATGAAGACAACTGCAGAGGTATACTGTGACAATCAAGGAGTTATAGCATTGGCATCAAGCAAGAAATTTCACAGACACACCAAGCATATAGACCTCCACTACCACTTCATCTGCGGCCTTGTCCAAAATGATATCCTCCAACTCCAATACGAGCTGTCGGACCAGAATCTTGCAGACACATTTGCAAAGGCACTGCCAGTACCACATTTTCAAGAATTGAAAGAAACAATAGGAATAAGCTGTGCTCGAGGGGGAGTGTTGGAGTCAGATGGTCATGGTCATGGTACAAGCACAGGAGTAAAAGGCTTAGTAATATGTAGAAGGATGAGTAATGTAGAGAACAACTAATAACCGGTAATGTCCGAGACGGACAAGATTTGTCATTGACTCACGGACCACAGACAAGTCCGCGCTTACATATACACAGACCGGGTACTTACATTTAGTGTACCTTAGTATATATACTGTAGTATTATTTCTAATAGGAATTCAGTCAATTTAATTATCTCAAAGTCTTCATTCAAATCTACACTAAAGTTCACAGGCACACCATAGTGAAACGAACAGAAACAAGCTGGTTGTTGTCGAGTAGGTCAAGTAACTCATCCAGGAACCAGTCAGGTCTATGATGCACAAGTCAAAGGAGGTAGTGAACATCGTTGAAATGTAAAGTTTGCAGGCGACCAGAAATGCCATGAGTGTGATGGACAACATCACCAGTCTCTCTCCATAATTTGCAAATGCGCCAGAAAGTTCTTTTAGAGAAGCTGACAGACATGGATTAGTTTCCTTTTTTGGAGAAGTGTTTTTTTATTCTCATCATATTTACAAATGCGACAGTGCCAACCATTTTGCAAATAGTTGTAATACTACTAATGTCTATAACACTCATATTGTTTCGATGTACTTGTATTCAGCGACTCTAACTGCAATAAAATATGACTGTGTCCCCCGAGCATAGAGCTGGGGGACTCTGCTTGCCCTAAACATGACCTCTCACTCAAGTGTAGATTGATTCAACAAACCAACATAAATATCTGAATTTTAACAAGTATTCCTATCTTTTGCTAGTTAGTAAGGTGTGATTGGTGTTAGTATTAGTGTCAGAAACAAACTCTTCAAGATTGAGAGGCGCCTTCTCAAAAGATAGTGAATACTGCAAACTCATTATATCAAACAACTAACTATGAGCTCACTGTGTCCAACAACTAGCAAGCAAGATACAGCCTCAGTTGTACCAAAAAAATTTACTTTCACCAAATCTTGGTGTTTTTTTTTCCAAAACATATTTCAGAAATCTTCATATAGTCTTCATGTGCATCTAAGACTCACAGTAGCTTAGTGGGGAGACTTTGGAAATTAATAGTGACACTTGACCTCACTTATCTAAGTAGCAATACTAAGCCAAAGTCTTCTTTGGCTGATAGACTTTAGCTATTAATTAGGGGACTTAGCATTGAAATCCAAGGACATCTATTTCTAATTCTATTTAATACTCATAGTAGATTCCTTAACAACAGATTCAATAATAAGCTAAGAGTTCTACATAAGCATTAATTAGTCTTGACCTTTGATTCTACCTATTTGTGCTGAGGACTGCTTATTATAATTCCATACTATTCTTGATGAAGTATAATATATTACAAGGCATTATTATAAGAAAGCTGGAGGAAGAGTTCTCCATTTTTTTATCATCATACTATTAGAGTGACTAGACTTTGTTTTTCTGTCAAATTCCATATTATTATTGGATTAACCATAGTATTTACTGATCTTACAAAAGTACCTCTAGCTGAACATACCTTGGAAAGTCTAAATAAGCTACCCATAAATGATGATATTATCAGTCATTAGTATTTGTCTGAATCACTGATCATGGAGATATTTGGTTTTATAGGTATTCATTTATAGGTTATCTATCTAAAAAGACATTGCATCACTCTATTGTTATCATCTCATTGTTGTGAAAAAATTGTTACTGTGAAGTTGTGGTAATATCGTACTTAAGATAATCAATACATTTGTTTTTGGTTGTCAGTGAGATGTAATACTACTTATAAGGCTAATATTGTAAGCTGTATGTCTGTTGATTTTGAGCCTCATATATTCATAATGTATTCGTGATATTTTTAAGGTGCTATTATGGTAAATGATATAAGAAAGCCAAGGCATTATTCTGGACTGTTAAGGAAGCTTTTGCCTATTTCATCTATCTCATGTATTTCACTAAAGGCCATGTGGTATTGTCACATGTTTTCAAGCACCAACTCAATTGGTGTTGCACATTAGAGCAGTGCACTACATAACACAAGTATTTTCCCTTTTGTAATTATTTATGGTACATACATATAGTAAATATAATAAAATTAAAGTGGAACAACTGATGTTTGAGTAGGATATAATTGCAGACAGAGGGACAATAGATATGTGGTGATAGAAGATAAAAGAGATTAGAAGATGAATGACAGAAGGTTGTGAAAATTTTTTAAAAAGAAGGCAAAGACAATGTATGGGAGGACAAGAAAATGAGAAACTGAGGGAATGGGAGATGGGAGAATGTATATATTCAATGGTACTTTTACTTTTACTCTTGTCAAAACCATCCTCAAAAAACTGCAATATCTATTATTAAGATATCCAAAGAAGCCTTCACAAATATTGGGATGCACTTCCCTTGAGAATATTGACCACCCAAATGCCTCACCCACACACCGACAACCCACCACAAATTTGGTACTGATGCCTTTAACATGATTGTTGACTGTCATCCCAGGTCCTTCCAGGAACCTGCTTGCTGTCATGAAGCCAACAATGAGCTGCCAGCACCTATCTCCACCCCCACCAAAGAAATATCAACCACTGAGGAAGAAGAGGTCACATTATCTGCACTGTAGGATGTTGAACTCAACCATGGCATAGATAAAATCAGTGGTGGGCAAAAAAAAATTCACAAATTAAAGGATTTACTCTACGGAGTATGTATAGCTTCGTTGCAACCTCCTCCCCCCCTCAACATAGCACTATATACTTATCTTCATTTCACTTTAGGAAAGCTGTTGATGCGCTATGTAACCTTGCCGTAGTGATATTGACTCATGCCATTTTCAGCCATTCGCAGTGATATCATTGATGATCTTCCCATACACTAAGACCACAGGGAAGGAATAGAGCAGTACCTACTGCGAGAAATGCCATGGCGATCAAGAAGTAGTATATCAACCACGCATCATGCCCTTCCTGTATTGAATAAGAGAAGACCGAAGCTGCAGACGCCGGGCCAACGATCCTCGCCACTGAGGCAGCCATCTGCGCGACTCCATTGGTTGCTCCGAGCGAAGCACGATTGGGGGCGGCGGCTCTGATAAACAATGCTATGCAAGCTACGACTTCTTAGTAAAGTAAGACGTCGGAAGTGCTGAATTGACATACGGTAGCACATGTTCAAGCTCATCGTCAGCATAAGCTGAGCGGCAACACATAACCACACAGCCATACCTATCCCATGGGCTCGGGCCAGAGCGTTGATCACTGGGAATAAAATGATGGTGGGTATGCCGGAGCTAACACCAGTGATGTGGATGGCTCTTGCACCGAAGCGATCATGCAAACGAGCGTAGAAGAGTAACTGAGATATGCCATGTACGACGCCTTGCGCTGCAAGTAAGGCGCCAATGCAAGGAGGGTCAAGGGAAAGACCACCAAGTTCAATCGGTGTCGCATAGAAAACAGGTAGGACTAAACTAAACGCCATGTCAAATAGGCCTGTGGTGGCATAATTTGCTGTTACGATCGAAACTTTTGAGGTTAGCAAGGCACGCAGCGGAAGCGGCTTTGATTGGAATTCCCCGCGATTCGCTTCCCCAGGATTAACTATAAGATTGCTCGATGGCTGGCGAGGCTTTGAGTATGACTGTCCGAAGAATCCTCCTGTAATTAGCTCCCAAAGCGGTGCCTTGGTAGAAATGCTCTTGTAACCACACTTAGCGTGATCCAGAGATGGGTTTTCAGCATCGTGCTCACCTCTTGAAGACGGCAATACGTGACTAGCCAAGCTACTAATGCAAACAGTGCCGAAATAGAGCATGGCAGGAGATATGGGTAGGCTTTCAGGAGTTCTGATCGCCCAAAGATGTCAGGGAATCTGTCTGCTGGTCGGGAGAGCGAGCCGCCAATGAGTGGTCTAGATGTCGTGAACTTCAGTGAGATAAAATGGAATATGTATCTATATATGCCTACCCAACTGCATTTGCGATCATCCACGGAATTGGTACATAACTGTATGCCTCAGGCATATTGGTTATGTCAGTCATGTCCATCACCATGATCTTGAGGATACCATTGCTCGCATCAAATGCTCCGCAGACAACACGACTGGTCAAGAATATCAGTAGTCAGTCGCAAGTATAATTTTATATTTGATTGAACACACCGACCTAATCACAAGATCAAGGAAAGTCTTCGACAGCCCAAACGAAAACATCGAAACAGAAATTGCCAATAGAGCTATCAGTAATACAGGTTTCCGCCCAACGTGGTCGGACAGTTGACTCCAATGAAATATAGTCAGTGCATGAGCTGCATAGTATGATGATTGCTCGGGAGAATATCAGGAACGAATGAAGGGGAAGGAACAATGAAGACATGCTTACAAGAATGCCGGCATAGCGACCGACTTGAGACTCGTCTCCGTCAGTCACTCCAATGTCTCTAACGAGCTTGATAAAGTTCCAGTGGTGGTCAGATACGAGTCTAAGCAAAGGAAATATACACATATACTCACTTGGGGAATAAACGGAGCAAGGGTCTGAGAAGAAAGAGGATCTAACATTTCCAAGAACAGTATAACTGAAAATTGTTTCCAGGGTAGAGGCGTCCTAGTCATTGGCTGCTCTGGTCGTTGGAGAAGAGGCGTCTCCTCGTCATCCTGCCGTGCAATCATAGTGGTACGAGAAAATGACTCTGACGGAAGATGCAGCCCAACATGGGCATAAACTCGTTTTAAAGAGGCGGTGGATCTGATTGACAAGTCTCAACAACCTGCTTTTGACTTGGAATGATTAAAAGACGATTCAATACGTCACCTCCTAATATGCTATATTTAGCACTCACCTGTGGGTATCATTGTTGTCATATTGGTGGCTGGCTGACGCTCACCGCATCAGGCGCACAGTGCACTGCATGTGATGAAAGTCCCGTTGCATTAACTCAATACGTCCAGCTACGGATGGTCGCTGCAATATTATTATTAGTCGTATCCATGCCTATATATCGCACATGTACGTATTTATCATCCGCAGGCGATCAAAATGACCAAAAGGTTCGATGACTTTCGGCGGGTGGCTGCTAGCCTCTCGTCGATAAAGAGTAGGGCAGTCTTCATGTGAATAACTTGAATTTGAAGGTCAAAGTTTCTGACAGTGATAGGCTCGGAATTACAAACGTACCTCGATTCAATTTGCCCCGTATACTCAGGTAGTAGTACCTCAGCTATCCCACAGATACTCGCCCGGTGTAAACGTGTTTCGGGAAGAGAGCTGACTCGGAACGTGTAATGAAATGTCCGTTGCGCAAATTGCCGATTCAATGGCCGCGATGATCCCTCTGTTTCAAAGTCAACTGTTCGCCGTCGCATTTGATTTACCCGGTGACTCAATAATACAGCGTCGTGGTCTCCCTCTGCGGCTCCTGCAAGTTTTAGTCGGCATCGTTGCCCTACCGTTGGCGGATGTTGAAAAAGTCGTTCGTGCGTTGGATGTTGACGATGTTTACTCACTTCGAATATAGCGCTAGCGCTGGCGTCAAGCTGTCATGGATTGTCCAGGTTTAAAATCAGCCTCAAGGACCTAGTGGCAAGAACTGCTCAGGGAATAGATGACACGAATCCAACGTCACTCACCTCTGGAATTGCCATGACTTCTTCTTGAACTTCAACCCATGTCATGCGTACTCCCCGTTCTAGAATCGCCACGGAGAACCCCTCTTGTAATTATAGTCCAACTCGTGTGTATCTTTTCTCAATGATACCGTGACAAGAACTGTTGTGCGTGCGTCAAGCTCAAGCCTCGTCCCCACTGTGCTACACGGCCCCGGGCCTCATTCATGTCATACTAATCATCTTAGTGTAAAACCCCATACATGCCTCCGTCAGCACCGCGTTGAGCTTTGTCTCGTGGTTCAACCTGACCCATCTCCAGTCAAATATCATAATCTCTTCCCACAAATACTTCCCTGTTGCACTGGTAAGCTCGTTTCTCACTAATGGGCACTGCGCTGACATGTTTTACTCGTCCAGGTCGGCGTTTCTGCAGCTCATAAGTGGTCCCTATGGAATAAGCAACCTTGACTATCAATCGTTCCTCGACTTTTGGATGGACGAGTGCCAAGCCTATAAGAAAATACCAGAAGATAGATTCAGCATAGATGCGTGCGTTTGTCTTGCTTGAACCATGCTACCCGTTAATTGTTGACGAGGTGTTCAGCCTTGAAGGAGTGAACATCAGTGAAGTAGCTACCACACAAGGCACGTTCTTTAAAGATTTAGATTTATTCGATCCAGTCGAATTGGCAATGACGCTAGGTTGATGATAATTAGAACGCGAAAGCTCCTCGAACTGTCGTTCCTGCTTATGTTGGACTCCGGGATATATTCTCAAGGAAAGCAAATGGCACTTACGTGGCCAATGTAGCCCGGGACGCCTGGATAATTTCCGGCGAGGTTGGTGACACCTATCTTGCGTCTTGCGGGCTCATTTCTAGTTTCTCAGACGAAACTGAGGCTCGCAGTTCATTGTCATTCCCTCCTGCAACGATTGTCAAACATATACCATACCAGTGATGCCAACTGGACCTACACGGACCTTCCATCTCCACCGATACTGTTTGCAGCATTGATTTTTCGAATTTCTATTTGTCTATTCAGTCTAGGAGTGCGAAGTGGCGCTTATGGGGGCACAGGTAAGATTTAATGTTCATAGTATATCTGAAGATCAAATATTAAAGTACCTTGATATACTAGATTTATGAATTGGCTGGTGTACAGTCAAGCCGAGATTCTTGCACCAAGTGGTAAATGCAAACCTTTCGAAATTTGAGACCACCACAATAGGTTGTTTTAAAGCTCCGCTATGACGTTCAGATATAAGTGACTCCTATTGTGTGTACATTCAAACTCCAAACTACATGGACTGGTTCAAACAACACTTTCAGCAACGTGCTCGTCGGCACCCAGAGGTTCAGCCAGGTGCTCCTCCTGAGTGGGCACCTGCAGCAGAACAATCATCCACATACGGTCTTCAGAACGAAGCCTCAGACGAAAGTTACGAAACAGCCCTCGAGTTCTGTGAAAGACATCCCATTGAATCGTCAGCAATTCTACCCTCTCGAACCATCACGGACATTGACAGTAATGGGTGCTTAGAATGGCGAATGCAAGCTCACGACTCTTCCCCTGTCTCCGTGATCCATAATTCAGGTGGGAAGGGCGGACTCTCGCAGATACGCTCTAGAGTGGGCTGCCCAGACACATGTCTCCTCAGCAACCTGCCAATCGTCGCTGGTCAATATCACTTCCCGATCGATGGTGGAGTATACTTCGAGATCACTGTAAACAAAATGGCAGACCCATCCAAAGGTGGTGTAATCGCAATTGGTATGCATATTTTCGCTCCTTTCGCCTCACCTCATTTTTTGTCCGTTAGGAACTGCTTGCAGACCGTACCCATTATGGAGGCTTCCAGGCTGGAATCGATTGAGCGCAGGCCTTCACCTCGACGACTTCCACAAATTCTTTGAGGACCCAGAGGGCGGGCGTCCTTGCTTCCCACTGGGCTTTCCACCCATTACGTCCGTCGTTGGCCATACGATCGGTTGCGCATATTCTTTCTACACAGGTACAATGTTCTTCACAGTCGACGGTCAACGCCTGCCAGATGCGTTTACCGGTATATATTTGCAGAACCGCAGCGGGATTGATGTGTATGCTGCTGTGGGTGTGTCTGGGGAGTGTGACGTCTTGGTAAATTTTGGTAGTACATCTTTCAAGTGGCTGGAAGGAAATGAGTGGAGGTGGAGGGTGGATAGGCAGGTGAGGAAGCTCCGTGATGATGTTGGAGATCAGGAAGAACTGCCTGCGTACAGTGCACGTTAGTACATTTCTCGGACTGTCAGGCCACTTTCTAAACCTGCAGGTGGATAAAACGGACTGCTATTAAACGTAGTTACAGCCTTGATGAAACTTTGTCGATTGCGGTCAGAACTTGAAACTTCAGTTCGAAATGAAATCAAGTTTCAAATGTGGCACAACATATAAGTACTAGTGCAAAGTGCACTCCTCTACTCGCTTTAAATCCTTCATACTTCCTCGACGAGTCCTGCTCATCCGGCAAGCTTCCATCAAGTTTCATCCATCCAGAGTCTAAGTGCAGTGCACACAGACATTTTACTATCAAATATAGCAACACATCTTCGCAATCTGCCAAGCTGCAATCTTGCTGGCGTCTTACTCGCGTAATCAACCCTAAATATATAAGCGGTCGCACCCTGCAGCCAAAGATGGCCTCTGCCACCTACCGCGTATCAGATTTCTGGGCGGACAGGATGACCTATTTTGAGGACACGGAACAGGATATGGATGGCGTCGAGGTGGATTTGGATGCTGAGTATGATAAACGGACGCCGTTGGACAAAACTATTGATAGGATTGGAATGGGTGCGTCGCGTCCTCGCGTTCCTAACTTTATGGCACTAACATCGAGCAGGGAGCTATCAATGGACGTTGCTGTCATTATGCGGATTCGGTGAGCACCATGCTACAATTCCTCGCCATTCGACGATATTTTTGTCAATCATAACTAACTATGATATATTCCATCAGGATGGATGGCAGATAATGTGAGTAGCTCGCGAAAACATTCCCCGCTTCGCTGACATGTCGCTCAGATGTGGATTCAAGCTGTTGCAATAATTCTTCCTAGAGTACAACAACACTATTCAGGTAAATTCCCTTCATGCCCACAGTGGGTTATCATATAACCCCCGCCTAGTTCCTGACAACTACATCGGGACTCTTTCATCGTCCATGTTCGCCGGCATGATGTTCGGTGCTGTGGGCTGGGGAACCTGCTCTGACCTCCTGGGGCGCAGTGCCGCATTTAACGCAACACTCTTTTTCACTGCCCTATTCGGTATCCTCTCATCGTTTGCATGGTCGTTTTGGTCATTATGTGTTCTCCTATTCTTTCTTGGTAGCGCCGTTGGTGTACGTTAATCTCCGTCTGGTTGACCTATTCTTATCGGGCGTCAATTTAGGGTTCAATGCCAACTGATGGCACACTTCTTCTCGAGCATATGCCTAATGGGAAACAATATCTCGTCACGGCTCTTTCCGTCTTTTTCTCCCTTGGCTCCGTTCTATCTGCGGGCGTTGCGCTAATAGTCATCCCTTCCCGCTCCTGTCCCTTTAACGAGCCCTGCGATGTTGCTACTCAAAACACAGGCTGGAAATTCATGCTCGTATCCCTTGGTATTATCGTATGTTCGCCCCTCAGATGATAATAACTGTCTCCGACCTTGCTCATCACAGACACTTTCGATGTTCCTCGCACGCATGGTCTTCTTCCGATTACACGAGTCTCCGCGGTACCTTGTACACGCCGGTCGTCACCAAGAAGCACTAGAAAGTCTCCAGCTCATTTCTAGGTTTAATGGCTCTGAGCTACCGATAGAGCTAGAAGACGTCGATGATAGGCCTCCACCCACCACCGAAGCACACGTATCTGCAGGGGAGCGTGTACCATTCCTCCCTAACTCCAACTCCCAAGATCCTCGTGCAAATAACGAGACGTTCGATACAGGTGCGGATGGCAGTAGCACTTCGAGCGATCAGAATGGGACAAAAGTTTACCAGTCGATGGCCGAAGCTACTCATGATGCATTAGATGGACATACGTTCATAACTCCCGTTGGTGAGGTGCCTCCGCGCGGACAAAGCCTTGCACGCGGGCATCGCTCTCGCTCTTCTTCTCGAGACTCGCAGTCGGAGTCAAAAGTCCTTTTCTCCGTCCCCGAAGCGCGCCCGCGGCCTCGCCAAGGAACTATACACCCACGGACGTCATCCGTGATTTCTTTTGAAATGAAACAGCGTGTTGGAAGCGTGTTGCCTAGATGGGTGCGTCGGCCGCTGCTTGCATGGCTAGACCGTGTCGGCATGGTCTTGGCCCCCGAGTGGTTCCAGACGACGGTGCTCATGTGGGGCGTGTGGTTCTTTATGTCATTAGGTGGGTTTTCTATTTATCATTCGGAGCATCAGTATTTCATGTGGAGTACCTAGCGTACACGATGTTTAATGTCTACCTCCCCAAGCTGCTCGAAACTGGGTCGAGTGATGATACCTCGACCAAGTCTCTAGAACATAGCTTGTGGGATGTTTTAATATTTACTATGGGAGGATGTCCTGGTGCTATCGTATGTTTTCCATTGCTTTGTTTACATGATGTGTTAATGGTTGATGATCGACTGCAGCTCGGAGCCTATATGGTTGAAAGTCCTCTTGGCCGGCGAGGCTCGCTAGCTGCAACCACGTTCGTCACGGCATTCTTTTGTGTTGTGTTCGCGCTCGTCAGAAGCGCGCTTTTGGTGCGCGTGAGTTCGGTGGGGATCAGTCTTAGTGCGACGGTGGGTGGCTCTCCTCGAAATATGTCTGTTCCTTGTTCTTACAGAGCCTATTCAGACCATGTATGCTGTACTATATGGGTACGTTCCAGTAGTTTCTTGATACGAGTGCATAGTACTAATGCTTCCTAGTTGGACACCAGAAATATTTGGAACCAAGGTCCGGGGAACAGCATGCGGCATTGCATCTGCGCTATCACGAATGTATGTATCGTTGTCTGGTTATTGCAAAAACATTAACTCACTTATATGCATCGATCTCAGAGGCGGGATGATTGCCCCTTTACTCGGCGGTGCACTTCTCGTCTTGAATCGTGGGGTCCCAGTGTGGGCGAGCGTCGTCGTGTATATCATCACTGGCGTATTTGTGCTGCTCTTGCATGAGTCTGCCGGGCATATTAGGGGTGGAGAGCGGTCGTTTGTGCATTGACGAGAGTCTTTTGTCCTGACAGAAGTGTACAGCACCATTGGATTCATGTATTGCTGCTTGTGATCGATGGTTGTTGTGCTGTGATATATTGCGCGATGATCCCCGTTCATGTTGTATTTGCATCTTGTAAAATCAGATGATCTGTTTTTATACAGTGGAGGAAGTGCCTCGACATGCGTTCATTGAGGTTGCAATCGCCTGGCAGGGAAACTGAAGAACGAGGTACTTGACAACAATGACCCAAAAGCATGTGGTTTCGCGCTGCATACATTGAACAATAAGGTAAACCGCATGATAAATTAAAATCCCAGTTATTCCACAAGCTTGATACCCTACAGCACATAAAACCCCGTTGTATCCCAAGGTGAATAAAGCACTTGCGCATCATCTTTGGCAACTCTAATCACTGAACGCCATCATCTAAATATTGCTTTCCATTCTTCCATGCTAGCACACCCTTTGGTAAAAAGGACATTTGCGCCTTTCAACTTCTATTTTCCCAGTCAACGCCCCTCGTTAAGTACCTTGAGTTGTCTCCTCATAGACAGGGGGTGATGTTGTAGAAATCGCGCTGGCGTGGATTTGTGCCATGATAACGCTCGTAAAGATTGTGGAGGATTCAATTGTTTGGTCCGGATCAAGCGTCCTCTTCCAGCACACGCAGTATACCGAAGTGACGATCACCAGGAGGTTGCAGACGACGAGACTGAGGGCGGCCTAAGATCTGTCAGATGTTGCAGAGGAATGTAAGTAAGTGTGCGCATACCTTGACGTGAGCGATGGTGAGCGTCGTTTTTGAGGTGGAGTGGAAGAGCATTACAGAATGGGGGATTGTAATGGCAGTGATAAGAAGCGATGCGCAGAATGGGGAGAGGATCAATATTTTGTGGTTGCCTGGAAGCCTTGTATTTTTCCAGAACAGCAGAGGCGCAAGAATGAGGGAAACATCCGCGATGACATCCGCTGCAGGAACCCAAGAACTTGAGATCCATAAAAGGTATAGAAAGTAGAAAGGGGAACCAACTAATCAATTGCAAGAGCGCTACTGACATGGTCTTCTGGCATTTGAAGGCGCACGTGCCATCCTTCGATACCAGTACTACAGCCCACATACACGCGAAGGATACTGTGATGAGATAGGTGATCCATTTCTGGTACCTGTGACCTGAGGGGCGGGCAATTCGGATGATGGAGAAAATCATGCTCATACGCGCAGCCCTGGACTAGTGAGTTTGAAACATAAGCGAGTGAGCTACGATGCGCACCAGACAACGGAGGTGAAAGCCACAGAGAAGATCCAAGCAGGGACTGACATCAAAGTAAGGTAAATCTTGGAGCGCGAAGACGAACACTCACAACTTATCGAGGTATGGATCCAGATGCATAGTAGGCAGAGAACTGGGGGATACAGTAGTTAGTTATGGAATCATGCAGCATGCAACGAAATTTCTACCGTCTGAGATCAGTGAAAATGCTGCCCATGCATCCTCCCACCACAAGTGACGCATCCAACCTCTGTAAACAAGCCTAAAAATAGTACAGAGCATGGCAATCATATGAGGTATCGATATCAACTTCGGGACTTTGCAAAGGATGATCAACAAAAAGATGCATCATGCAACACCAGCTACATAGCTTCCACTCACCCGTTTGTTGGGAAACGTTGGTTGTCATTATTAGATGACGGGAAAGGATGATCTTGACATGTAAATGTTGAAGACCAGCTATATATGTGACGCAGGAAGACATTTCGTGTGTATCTATGTTATCTGATTATCGGGCGTTATGCTCACGGCATTTCTTGGCAGCGATGAAAATGTGCAGGGCTACGCAGACTAGCTGACTGAGAGTCCACAAATGTATGGCATCTGCTGGGACGTCATGAGTCACTCCGTGATTACGAAGTACATCATCTCGCACGCTAGCACTTGCACAGAAGATCACAGATGGCCTGGCATAAGTATATATGATCATGTTCGAACCTTGCGTGCGGATCTCTTGTGTGTACAACTTGAAAGGGTCGAGTGACAAGAGCTCCAATCCGAATATGGTTCTGTCACGGTAAACTGCTGACACAGCAATGTTCATCGATCACTGGGCCTATCGATAAAGCTGTCGTAATAATGATCAGGGTAAGGGTTGCTAGCCCCGAGTGAAGCTTGCCAAGTAACGCTGAACTTGCGTCGCTATGAGGAATCAGTACGGTCATTCGAGAAGACAATGGCAAGTGGCAGTAGTATGGTACATCATGGTACCACAATTTGATATTGTCGATCAGTAGTCGTGCGCTGCGAGAAGTTGCACATTGTCGCAGCTACGGTGGTGCCAAATGAGCAGCTTGCCATTCTGGGGTATATAACTCGCGCGAACAAACGGGACCTTTCTGTTTGTCGAGTTCCACAGGTGGTCACTGCACTCTGAGAGCTAATGTTGATGGGGGAATCTTATGTCAGGAAGATGTCAAATAATGGGCGCAATAAGAATGGATACTTGTGTACCAGCAGTTTATCGTGGTTCACGACAGCGAGCTGCGACGATTGTCCCCTGTGAAACTCTGAGACCCTGTAATCCGGAGGAGATCGATAAGAATTATCTCTTCGACACTAAGCGGTAGTACTAAGTTCAAAATCGGTACATACCGCTCAAGTCATGTGAGATCTGTTTCCGAGGAACTAACTCCAAAGACTGAGTACTGAGGACCGCTGTGGTGATGAGTCGCTGTCACCTGCCAGTGCCAGTGGACACAGGGTCTAAAGTTTGAACATTTGAAATATGTTAGTTAACGTTCAGAGGCAAGTTAATCAAGGGAAAACAAAGATTATTCACCGATTACATGATATTTCCCCAGAATCCCGGTCACTTTTATTTCATGCGAAAGTGCGGTGTAATTCAAATCGTCCACTCCCGCGCCTTCGACGTGAGCTTGTTACCTTCCTACTGGGACGACGATGCCTGCTACAACATTCAGACACGGATCTTGGGAGTCTTCCTCAATCCGATGGCTATGCTGATGTTCACAATACATGAAGTATGTTGCCCACTTAGACTCTCCAATCTCCTCTCACCAGGTAGATCGTAGCGAAGTAATCCTGTCGCATCTCGGCCGCTCTTAGGACATTTACATTTGCAAACAGATAGGTAATCCCTAGACTGATTGATCATGTTAAAAAGAAGGATATAAACCAAGTCATCTTGAATTCTGAGGGAAGGGAAGGTTGTTGTGTATTGTGAGTTTACCGAGAACGAAGTATCTGCCGAGTTCTAAACAAAATATTACATTGGAAATTGCAATGAGGAGTTTCGGGCGAGGACTCGCAGCATCTTCCGGCCTCGAGGGACTAATCTGAGACACAGAGATGAGCTGTGAGGGAGGGAGGGCCTCCTCGCTGCGACTGTACGTCATGAGTCCTTCGGGCCCTTGTGGTGGAGAGCGAGCAACTTGAACCGGGTGCAATGAAGGAAAGAGAGGAGAGTTGGGAAATAAAACGAGTACGACGAGGAATCCGAGTACGAACGGACGTTGTGTCACGGAGACAGGCCGAGGTGTAGTGCCACGTCCCGAAGACAAAACTCTATTCCTCCGCTCGTACCTCGTTACATAATAAACTAACAACCACCCCTTGAGACAGCTCCCACGCACACAGAAGAGTCGTGTGGTAAGTTACAGACAAGTCAGAATGGGTATATCGTGTGATGTTCTTGTAAGATGAATGTCCTATGTTCGGTGGCGAGAAGACCTGGCAATGGAAGTCATTGGAAGATACCGAAGGTGCGTTGTTATTTATGTAGCTGAGATGAGCATAATCAAATCTCATAATTATGTAGGTTCCTCACTCCACATCGTAACGAGTTGCAATAATGTATTTTTCATCTAGTCACCACAGGGCATGAGTCTGGGCAACACCCCGGATCTGAACAAACGCATTCTTCGGTCATGGTCCAGAAAGTGATGGCACTCACTGCCACGCCGAAAATGCACGAAGGCTATGTCCTACATAGGGTCTTCGACCCCGAAGGACAATGAATTTGATGTTTTTTAAAAAAAAAAATTGCACGAAACGGATTCCGAAAGGTACGGAACCTGACCAAGATGCAAAGTTGGAAAAATTCACAGCGATCAAGCAGGTGTCTTAGCCGGGACAATCATTCAAGCTGGTGCAGTACATCATGCATCACACGAAGTGACCAACTGACCGAGTATCCAGGGAACAGGTGCGTTCCACTTCTTCATACTGCAGGTGCGCTCCTGCGCTACTTCCTATAGAAGGAAGCACATCTTTTTTCCGGTCCTCTCGCTGCGACGCTTGTATTGTTCAGACCGACAATATTAATCCTTCTCTGACTCGGAAGCTTCATTCAGTGTGTACAAGAATACCTGGCTGATGATATTGTCCCGTCAGTTCTGCAACTATTTAAATTACATTCGAAACGAATGACTCGTGTCATGCCAGTCTGCGGCACTTTCATAAACAGGAGGGGCCTGGCCCCTTGTAACTAGGGTTCAGACTCGGGAGTGCTCAGAAACACCTGGGCACGCTCCGTCGGCAGGCCGATCAGAACTGTCCGTCGGTCCAAATCACGCATTTTCGAGAGACCCTGAGTAATCAGGGCGTGACATACGCTGATACACCTGATCTAAGTATCTTGGTCTTCTGCACAGATGCGTTTGACAGGTACCTGATGGCTAGGGGAGGATCGGAAGGCATGTCTTGTCACCTCAGTTCCATACAGGTGAGTATCGCGTTGATCATATTTACCCTAATACGAGGAATCCTGCTCACGAACAGATGCCGAAAATGTTCAGCAGTCACAAATTGGAAGTTGTCACCGGTCAGCTCCTGCGATGTGCCCACAAGCTTTGTACGAAGGTTCTGCAAGGAAACCATCCAGACCTGGATCTTGCTATCACACTATCGTGGAGCGCTGGGCGTAATCTCGGATCTGTCCTCCGATGGTTGTGGCAACAACCCCGGCGACGTCGTTCAGTTCCGCTTCAAGCAGTTTCACGAGCTAGACGACCTCGAATTGTTCATTCAATATTCTACTGCCGCGTTTCACCTTCTTCCAACATCTCACCCTGACCGACCACAAATTCTTCGCACACTTTCGGGTGGCTTGTTGGAGCGTTTTCATCAGAAAAGAGACGCGGATGATCTTGAGACAGTCGGAAGGTACTAGCAGGCTGTACTCGACCTGTGTTCTCAAGAACATCCCTACTATACTCTTGGACTTAACAACCTCGCCGATCCGCGCGTCTAAAACGGCCGGCGGGAACGGCGAACTGGTGGAGGCACGCCTCACACCAGGGCATTCGCGCACCCGGTACTATAAGGGACACAGGGGGTCCCAATAGATTAGACTAGACAGAATTGTCCTACATAGAGCTCCGCTCTGCAAAGGACAGAAATGGAATCAAAAAAAAAACCTCGCCGATGTTTTGCTCGCCTGCTCCAAACGTCAGGGGTCATTCATTTGACCTTGATCTTGCCATTCGCTACTATCGAACTGCTTGCATCCATTCGGAAGGACAGCCTGATCAAGGGTTGCATCTTGATCATCTAGGAAATGTGCAGTTACACCCGATTTCGATAATGTGGAGACATGGCTGATTTGCACAGCAACGATCAAGAACCGTAATCTAACTCTCGGGCTACAAGGAGAACTAGCAGATCACAAAACGGCTCTCAATTGCTACAACGACACATTAGCATTATTTTCTCAAGACTACCTACAGCCTGTCATACTAAGTAATATTACTTCTGCCTTGGAGATATGGATTGGTTGCTGGATGTTCCGGATAATGGGCAGGCACGTCACCGACTTCCGGTAGTGCCACAAGAAATGGGTTTGTCTATATCAAACTTGTCTTAAATATGCTTCAAAGCACTATAATGTAAATACTACGACGGATCCTCCACCGAATATTTCCTCCACTTCAGGCAGTATCATTGAAGACTCAACGAACTCAGCCGCTACATCGCATATTATCGAGAAGCGCCACACCGCGCTGGTCATCATTCACACCTTTCTTGACCAAATTTCTCAAAGGTAATCTTTGACGCCTTCCGTTCTAGTCCTTGCGCCTTTTGCATTCGCCGCTATTTACACTGAGGAGAGGATGGAAGACATCGACATGCTACGCAAATTGCTTCCTCTGACCTACACCATGACTTGTATCACAGGCATCAACGCAATGTACAAACATGTCATTCGCGCCATTCGCAAACAGCCGTGGATTCACTTTACCTCCAGAGTAAAGCCCAACTTCGAGACTCCCTATTCGAGTTGCATTTTCCCTTGCATGACAAGACGATGTCCCTGTTGGAGATAGCACAGACCCTGGCGAAAGTGGAGCGGCTGCCCGAGTTCGCGTCTGTATCTGTGAGCCATGGATCTAGTGGGATGGAAGGACATGACACCATGCACTTTCATGCGCTCCATATGGTAGTTCAAAGCGTGGTTGGCACTGTGGGCTATGGATGAAAAGGTCATGCGGCGAATAATGTCCGCATTCCATCATTGCGTCATTGTGGAGTCAAGGGATGTGGTGAATTGGGTAAAGGCTCTGAGCAAGCCCTCGAGACGGTCGAAGAAGGTATATCATTAGAGTAAAGGATTGAGTCGGTCGGAGAGCTACTGACAGCGCACCAGTTCACGCTGAGAATGTACTTTTGATACGTTTTGTAGCAATGCCACCATCGATCCATGCAATCATGGTGATGCACTAGGGACGTATAACGTGAAATCCTACCCCATCACATCGCTGTATACGCCGATCTAGCCAACCCAAGAGCAATGGTATGAAAATATACAGTTCTTGTCTTTGAGGAAAGTTACAATGAAATATGTAGGACGTTGTCTCACACACGTCCGCCATAAAAACCGCCAATTGCTTGATCATACAACGTTTTATACAGTTCCACCTCCTTGACCGCCTCAACAGACATGCCGCCAACCAGTCAAGAAACCGCAATTCACTTAGCCCAATCTTCCGGATATCGTCATATTGCTTATACTTCAGGTCTTGCTGAATACGAATAGATCAGCAGGACTGCGACAACTGCACCAGATATCACATACGCAGGCGGTGCTGTAAAATAACCTCAGCAATTGTCTCGATCAAGTCCCGCTTATTCTGAGAGCGCCTTGATGACCCTGCTATCCACCGAGAGAAGTTTGCTTCATATATGTGGACGGCAGAGCTCACGGCTTCCCTCACAGCAGCTGCATTGGGAGACGCCATGTACTGCTGAAGGGCAAGACGAACAGGGTGAACGGAATCTTGCCTAAGCCCAAGTTTATAGCGTTGCTGGTCCCAAAGATAGAAAACGTTTTCGAAGATAATAACGGCAGCTTATGATCAATAATCAGTATATTCATGGCGATGTGGCGTAAAAACTCACCAGAACCAAGCTGCATAATTTTCTCTAATGTCGATGACCCAGAGGGCTAGTAAGCCTTTGAGATGAGAGTTAGGCGGACGGGCTGTGAGCAATGGGACATGCCGAAAATCGTAACGTGGACCACATCTCATCTTCTTCCTGGCGGTGACGCTGATGAATTGTGATCAAAAGGCAGAGATGGCTGAGGATAAATCTACTTGCATACTGTCATTATCAACACATCAGTGCTTGCGCTAGACAGAGGATCAACACACTCACATGCTGTCAAGGGATCGGCGGCGTGTTCGGTCAGCGAGGCTCGAGCTCGACAGAGGATCAAAATACTCACCAACTGTCAAGGGATCAGGGACGTGCTCGGTCAGAAATGCCTGAGTTCGACAGATGATCAACACACTCACACCCTATCAAAGGATCAGTGTTCAGTCAGCGAGGCTTGGACTCGACAGATGATCAACACACTCACACCCTGTCAAGGAATCGGCGACGTGGTCAGTCAGCAAGGCTCGAGCTCGATACATGATCAACACACTCACATACTGTCAAGGGATCAGCGACGTGTTCGTTCAGCGAGGCTCGAGTTCAACAGATAATCAACACACTTACACCCTGTCAAGGGATTAGATATGTGTTTGGTCAGCGAGGTTTGAGCTTGACAGATGATCAACACACTCACGCCCTGTCACGGCGACGTGGTCGGTCAGCGAGGCTCGAGCTCAACAGAGGATCAACACACTCACATACTATCAAGGGATCGGCGACGTGTTCGGTCAGCGAGGCTCGAGCTCGACAGATGATCAACACACTTACACCCTGTCAAGGAATCATGTATGTACTCGATCAGCAAGGCTCAAACTCGACAGAGGATCAACACACTCACATCCTGTCAATGGATCAGCAATGCCTTAGGTCAGCATGCTGGCAGAGATGATCAGATGTTAGTACTGCCTAAAAGTAAGCGTCGAATATAAATGATTTTTCAAAAATTCCTACAATCTTACTGAGGTATATGGAAACCATAAACCTAAATCATTTATAATCTGGCGGCCGGATTTCCCAGGTATATGCGATGAGATTATCTGGGAGAAGTCGAGATGCCGTGCAAGTGTCCTTAATACACAGTTAATGATCTCTCGCTACAGATAAGTGAGGTTTGAGTTACATTTTGAGTGCATATCTCATGCACACCTCCAAGTTGGTCCGCTGAGTTGAGACAAACAGCTGTTTGAGAGTTTCATCGTCCAGAGCTTCAGCCGTTCGTTCGATAAGCATCCCGCAGTCTGCATCGTCTTTGTCCATATCTAAATGTCGGAGAGAAGATATAGACTATTAGCAGCTCGAAATTTAGTCAAACTTACCAGGCAGGCATATGTGACATCTTGGAGGACGTTGGTTGCCCTTGCGGCTGTACAAAAGTTGTACTTGTGGCCCATTGACAAATGCGTCTTTGACGTGCTGCGGGGCCAGCGTTTTAGCATCTTGTCTCGATACTCCCTTACTTGTTAGATCTGCAAATTCATCGTCGTAGAGAGCATCGAATTTAGTGAACAACACTATTACTGCAACTGAAGAATGGGAATAAGTCGATGATACACAACAGCAAATACAAGGGCTTACTGCTCCCAGTATCACACTGAGAAAAAAACTTGACTTCTCCTTCCGTGAAACACCTGCCATCCTCATCCATCGGGATGCAGTACCTATGCCAAAGATGTGAGATAGCGCACGCCAAAAAAATTGACCGATTACCATATGACATGGATTCGATCATTCAAACGTCCCTCCTTAGAACGACTTGCGATAAAAGCCTTCATCTCATCGAATTCGGACTGTCCTCCTGCCTCGAACCCACACGAATCATGAAAGACGAACCCTGGGTTATTTCGAAACATCATTTCATTCTCGATCTTGTGCACTCCCCGCTTAAAACTCGTCAAATGAGGTGATCAACAACAAAGAACATGCCCTACCTCTCTAGATCCCATCAACACGGCGGGTTCGATCTGATCTCCGATGTTCATCAGTTAATCTATAATCATCCTAGTAGTACAACTGGTATCATGGACCGCACCTTTTGCCCGGCGCTGTTATATATTTCTGGGTTCTCCTGTGTCTTACAAATCCTCTGGAGGATGGTGGTTTTTCCTGCATTCGCTCTTCCGATGATGAGAATTCGGAAGCGGTCGACAGTCTGTCTTATCTCTGAAACATCCATGATGGAGGAACTCGGTAACAGTGTGTGAATTATTTGAGCGCCCGAAGCACAATATATATTGAGTGCAAAGACACGAAAGAGATATTGTTGTATACTTAGTACTTCCGAGCACTCAGAAACCTGCACGGCGCCGGCGGCATGGCCATTCATTATATGACTTAGAAAAATCGTCTTGTCTTCTTCTAAGAGCTGGTGCCATTACTGCAGAACCAATGCCTCGGGAGCCTATCAAGCAAACCAACACATTCAAAATGAAACTATTGAGACCGGAATCAGCCGCGCGGGGTGATAGAAGCAGTGGCAAAGCACGTTGAAACGAGACAGCTTGAAGTACGCACAACACATGTTCATGTAACGTGTATCTGGTGTGTAGTCCGAAAAGATAACAGAGGTGACTGATCAAAAGGGATTTTGAGTTTGTATCTAATGCACGGCTGAGTCCTGAAGGCCTGACAGGCCAAAATTTCAGCTCCGTGTCTGCTTGCCACCGATGGCAAGCCAGAAATATTTTATGGCAACATAGTCAACTGGTTCTGGCACTATCTCTTTTGCTCCGCTGATCGAGTTCCGCAGGTTTTGGGTATGTAGGGCGTCTTGATCTTGAACGCTCACACAGGATCTGAAAGAAACGTGCCCACGTATGACAAATTCCAAGATGAAGACACACTGCAACCGCTTGCGCTGTGCTCACCGTGAGGTTTTCATACAATGTGACTCATGCCCCAAGTTACGGGACAAACTAACTAAGGATGTAAGGTGGTAAGCGGTGCCTGAAGAGGCGTTTGCCTACCTTCTTCCCTCGGGCAACCAAAATATTAAACTCTATCTCTCCACCCACAATATTCCCTCTGTACAAAATCAGCGTTGGCTTTCGCTGCTGACGGAGTACTAGTACGCGTTTACCTATGAGGTAGGAATGATTATGTAAATACATTAGGTAAAATAAAATCGATCAGTTCTTAACTAATCGTAATAGTGCACATCATCTGATCCTGTTAAGAACATCAACGGCAGAGGGGCGACGTCCTGTATCACCCCAGCATTTCTCGATTAAATCCCAAAAAGAATCCGCATCGTGCGGACTCGATGGTCTTGTAGGCTTCTTACCCTTGAGTATCAGGGCAATAACTTCATGATCGCGTTGCACATCTGCATAGGGTCGTCGACCTGTCATAACCTACGGGATCTTAGTCGCAAACCAACGCAACTACTATGGAATACCTCGGACCTGAAGCATAATACATCCGAAAGAATAAATATCGCTCGCTGGCAGTGGAATCAACGACTCTTCGTTTTCGGGCACCTCGATGAGTTCTGGTGCCGCCCACCGCACGTTGCTTCTGATGTATGAAGTCCCTGAGAGCTCAGAACACATTGTGAGAATTCCATGGTCTGCCACGTGGGCATTGCGGTCCGAATCTATCAGAATGTTATTCTGGCGTTCCAGGTCAGGACTTGAAGGCGGGTATCAGACAACTAGTACGTACGGCAGTAAGGTCGCCATGGACAACGCCCTTCGAGTGGACTGCAATGCCATTACTCGTTGTTTTCACAAACTACTGAATATTACACATACGGTAGCTGATAGCTGCAGCTACTTGCCGCAACTAAGGTTTCAATGAATACCATGATGTACGAGCGCTTCTGAAAGATAACTCACAATCCGGAGCTTTTGTTCGATAGTCAATTCTGTGAAATGACGTTCAAGATATGTTGTGAGTGAGCTGTTGTGTATCCAGGGGGAAACCATCGCTGGAAGTAACCCAAATCCGTGACTGAAACCGAGCAGAGGCAAAAGATTTTCGTGATGCAGTTGCCTCCGTGCATGGAAATCGCCCAAGAGTCTCTGTAATGTTATAAGGTTTGAGCACATGTATCACATACAAAGGGGAAGCTGAGAACGTACTTGAGTCAGAGTAAGCTTAGCCCTGGAATCGTCGCTTGCGACAGATATCTTTAGGGATTTGACTGCTACCTGTGATGGATTCAGATTACTGGGCAGCCATACGTGTAGTATGCTTGCCTTCATGCCTTGACGGTTGGATGCGATGTAGGTGCATTTCCACACAGTCCCGAAACTACCGTGCGCTGTTGGATGAGGCAACTCCTTGGATACGAATCCTGTAAGGTCGGGTAGGCTGCATTAGAAATCGCATCAGGACGTGCGTTGTCACAGGGTACTATGATCATGGACTTGCTGGTTGTCGGGGTCTATCTCACTACCACCGATGGTAGCAATCATGACAGACTGGCGGCTTCTCCACCACCACAACTTCCTCCCAACCTCCTCTAACCAAGACCTGCAGTGGGGTAAGAAAGACAGAATCATTTAGATTGGTAGACTCATGGGTTGTGCTCTTTTAACGAGGCAGGCCTACACTAGTACTGCCAGATAGTGACACGCAAAAACAATGGGTCAGTATTAAATATCGCGGACTCACGAATTCACTGACGTGGCTCCTTTCGGACTACACACCAAATACACGTTACCAATGAACATGCGTTGTGCACGTTGACGTTGAGGGCCGGCATCCAGAGAAATGGTCCAATGCAGCTTCGACAGCTGCAATCAATGGGTACTTGTCTTGTTTCAACGTGCTTCCATCACCGCGCGCGGCTGATTCCGTTTTCGATAGTTTCATTTCGAATGTATTGGTTTATTTGATAGGCTTCTAAGGCAAATTTATTCTGCAGTGACATGTGCGGTAGTGGCGCCAGCTCTCAGAAGAAGACAAAAAAAATCTAAAAGTCGTATACACGATGCCTAATGTTCACCACAAAATTACCAAATTTAGCATACCCCTAGGGTGTGTGAAATCCATACGGTGAGGTCTTAACGTGAGGTGGCCTCATGGTACATTTTTTCCTGAGTGTTTGCCTCCAATACTCTTCAGTTTGACCCTACGCAGCGTAATTATCGTGGGATAAATGTCTGATATTGTCGCATTAGTGCATATAAGAGGAACAGGACTATTTCCCACTGTAATTTCCCATCGACATGCTCGTCCGCCTCCAACAGTTCTTTAATCTTGTATGTTTGTTGACATTGTACGTGGAGCCATCCATCCATCTCACTTTAACAGGTCAGCCATGCACTACGTGGCCAATCATCTTCTGTTCAGCCTTCTGCCAGCACCCCCGCAAGCGTCGACTCGGACGTTCTCAGCAGAACTTCCGACGATCATATTTCCGCTGGGCGCCTCCTTACTTCTGATACAGAGTACTCGCATGTCATTTCTTTACCTCAGCGGGACTCTGTAACATGGAACAGTGGTAGTGCCTTCTGTATCAAACCAAGTGATATCCACAGGCAAAGCAGTTACCCAACCGCCTCAGGTGGTTTTGGAGACGTTTACAGGTGTATATGGAACCGCGGCGAAAGTTCGGATGAGGTATTCCATAGACTTACTTTTTCTGCATGTCCTGATTGTGACTTCAGGTGGCGGTTAAATCCCCACGATTCCCAAGTTTGAGTGATAGTGAAATTGCCAAAATCAACAAGGTATATTGCGGTCCAGTCTGACGGCCGCATATCTGAACTTTGAGCTGCAGAACCTTGACCGCGAGATCCGTATATGGGCCAAGTTGAAGCATCAATATGTACTGCCCTTGCATGGCACTGTAGAGCAGTTCGGCCCATTTCGCGCATTGGTTTCCCCCTGGATGCCGAATGGGGCTTTGGACTCTTACCTTCATCATGCACATGAGACTCTCTTAATGATAGATAGGCTTCGGCTCGTGAGTTTAATCCACGAAGCCGAGTACGAGAACTTACTACGTTTTCAATAGCTTGAACAAATTACCGAGGGGCTCCAGTATCGTGAGTGATGGATTCACTATGGACCTGACAAATGTAATTTTGTTTTCTGCAGTCCACGACCACGACGTGATACACGGCAACCTCACCAGCGTAAGTTCACACATGTCGTGCAACTGGAATCATCTCAAGGTAATTGTAGGATAATGTTCTGGTTGCTGCGGATGGATCCCCTCGTCTTGCAGATTTCGGTATCTCCAATATCATGGTACAATCCAATCCTACCTTTTCCTACCACACTGGTGCAGTACGTTGGGTCGCTCCAGAGCTCCTTGACCCCCCAGAAGATCAAGGCATGCAATGCGCAACGAGATCTACCGACATATATGCTCTCGGCGGTATCATGCTTCAGGTTCGTAGTCTCGCGTTGGCTGGCTAGTGACACTAACATCGCTGGCGTGCAGGTCCTATATGGGCAACGGCCTTACTGGTGGCTAAAGTCTCCCATACACGTTCTTTCTGCCAAGTTCAAACGCACAGAGCCCGTCAACGCCTCCATCGAGATTCAGCCTAATCACCTGGATTTAATGAGGCGGTGCTGGTCAGCGAAGAGCGAGTTTCGTCCGTCACTAGAAGAGGTAATAAATCACCTTAAAGAAGCACTGTTGAATGAGACTTCTTCTGTATGAGGTCTCGGTTTTGAAGCAATCCTCTTCCTGTGTCTGTGTTAACTCTGGGTGTGTCCCATTATATGTCATGTTGCTTCATGTATACTCTCATTTCTTAATGTCGTGTGATACACTAGCTGGATCTGTGTTTACGTAGGAGCAATACTAATGTAGGGCTTAGCCATGCCAGTCCATGAAATACTTGATTACCCTGTTCGTGAAATTCAGCACAGCATTCTCGCACATCTTGTTAGTGATGGGAATCCGTTTGCATTCGACAAAGCCCTCCCTCCACTAACGTGGGAGTCGGGGAACCAGTAGTTTGCTGATGACCTATTGTTTGTTTAGCTCCAGGAGTAAACAAAAGCGGTGAAGGAAACAAAATCTATCGATATGAAAGTAGCTGTTACACGATAATTATAGCCCGTGCCTCCATAACCGTAACAAGATCTGTGGCAGATGGACGAGACGCCGCATGTGGTGACCAACATTTCTGGATGAAATCCCAGTCGTCATCAATGATAACAGGTACAAGCGGCCTTCGAGGCGTGATCCCTTGTAATATTTGACCAACTATAGCAGTAGTATGGGTGATGTAGTGGTATGGGATCTTCCCCTCTAATACCTAGAGTTGTGAATGAGTGCATTAGACAAGAGTATGTTTATGCCATCAATTATTGGAGGCTGTGAATGCTAACACGCACATACCTGAAGCATGATTCCTCCGAAAGAGTATACATCACCTGCTTGAGAGAGCATGGATGGCACGTTACTGGCATCCGCCTTCAGATATTCGGGTGCTATCCAGTGCAGGGTGCCTCCAGGCGCGATAGGTAATAATGCTTGGCTTATTCTCGCTGGAATAAAAACAGATAAACCAAAATCGGTGAGGCATGCTTTTCCGTCGTCGTCGATAAGGACGTTGAACTAAAAGGTTTAAGTTGGGTAGTCACAAACTCGGTAAAGGTGTACACACGCCACTCAAGTCTCCATGGACAATCAGCTGCGAATGGACTGCCAGATCCGCGTCAGATATGCTTGATATAAATTGCAAACATTGGACCAACGATATTCAAGGCCGCGAGCTACATCCCTAAGCTAAAGCGTCCTTAGTGTGTACTGTTGTTATGATACAACGACTTTAGCGCACCAGTGCAAACTGTTGGCCACGAGAAAGTTCTTTGTGTCGATTCCGCAGATATTCGGTCAGGGTGCCATTCTTTAGCCACGGCGAAACCAGGGCGGGAAGAACACTGAATTGACGCGCAACTCCCCAGAGAGGTACAATATTTTCATGATTAAGTGTCGACGATATTTTGATCTCACGAAAAAATCGCTGGCAAACAACCGGTCACTAGAATGAGGAAGCAAAAAATTTTCACCAACATTGATCACTCTAGGTGCCTCCATCCCTCCCATCAGCCTGAACACTTTGACTGCAACCTAGACACCGTTAGAAAAGTGAAATTGCCTGTTTGACACTCACATCAACGCATCCACGAGAGACCTGGTAATGGGAAACAGTTTGCTGTACAAGCACGGTCGTCGAGTCCAGGGCAAGTCGGCATTTGTGGACATCCGCATATCCTCCGGAGTGCGCGGCGTATTTATTGATCCGACTAATAGAATTTGTCAAATCAACCGCACTATAGTCGCTAAGTACAGAAACAGGCGTGCATAGGAGATAACCCACCCAATGCTATGGACTACGAAAAAGCAAAAGACATCCTCAATCGTCGGACGGGCCTCGCTTTCAACTGACAGACATTGTTTCCCGAAGGTCAAATACATTTCATTTATCTCCGATTTGTCAATAACTTCAACCTTCCAACAGAACACATTTTTGAAACATACCTGTTCCATCTGGAAGGGCTGCGCACCTTTGATTCTTTCTGGTAGAACTTCGCCGGCATCGCGAATCCACCAATAAGGTACCTTTCCTAACCACATCTAGAGAATATCAGGTGATATGGGGGCTCAGTAGAGCAAGAACATACCTGGATCATGAGACAGCCAAATGAATAAATATCACCAGCCTTACTCGATTTCGAGGCTCCTGCATCTACAATGGGAGTGAGGAATTCGGGCGCAATGTACCTCACATGTGCTAAACCAGACATAGGGGTTTGTCCTCGCGCAAAAATCTCGGAGAGACGGCCAAAGTGAGCAAGGTAAACCCTGCCAGAGCCATCAAGGAACACGTTATCCTGTGAGTATCGTAAGCGCATGATAATTGGCGTCCACACAATTTACACTTGTCAAAGAACCATGAATGATGCCATCATCATGCACTTGAAACCAGCCGTAAGTCCAAGGTTGACATTCAAGAATGCCACTAACAATGCTTAAGCGCAGAAACCACCTGGTTTAGCTGCCATAGAGCTCAGACACGATTATGCTGCTCTAGTAATGGGCTTACAATATCAATTTTCCTGGTTGCTGACAAACAGGAGAACTCCCGTCGTAGATAGTCCGTCAGCGAGCCATTGGCCATCCACGGAGACATAAAGGCGGGAAGAGGTCTGAAGTGAGGGATTGTCCCATACAGGGGTAGGATGTTTTGGTGTGACGACTTGGCCCAGGCAGCAGCCTCTTGAGTAATTATCTATGATATAGGAGGCATGATAAATCCCGTTGTATCCAGCGCAACATGCCAAAAACTCGATACTGGCCTCAATTATTTGTTCGATTTCTGAATCATCTCGGTTGCCTGTATGAGGAACTCTGACTGATTTGACCGCAACCTGAAATGAATGAATTTTGGCTGTATACACACAAGAATACACTGACTTCAGTTTCCTCCGAGTTCTTGCGCCAATTACATTTCCAGATATCGCCCAGACCCCCTGCCACAGTGCCACGATGCTCATATGTTGTAATAACCTGGTCAGGTAGTTCTCGAAGGTTGTAGAACAAAGGCCAGTCATGAACATGTGAAAACATCTCATCAATAAACGCTAGAGTATCATCCACCGATGGGCGAGATTCAGGATTGATTAACCAACACCGTCGCATGTAAGTAAGATGATGTGCTTGAATTTGCAAGCTGTCGTTAATGGGCTCTTGAAAATGGGACTTGCATGGAACAACTTGCAAGGTAGTTTTGATCCACCAATAGGGCAGCTTCCCGTATAATACCTGCATCACCATGTCAATAACACGGACAAGCGAAATAAGAGACTTGCCTGGAGCATGAGACACCCGAGAGAATATATATCACTGGATTTGGTGGCGCATTGCACGGTGCCACCTTCGCAGGAGATAATAAGCTCTGGAGCAGCCCAACGAAGTGCGCCAGAATGGGAGGAGTATACCCGGTTAGACTCTATCATGATATTCGAGACACTGAAATCTGCGAGGCGTGGCGATCCATCGGCAGCAACCAGGATATTGTCCTACAATCATAATCAGAGGATCAGGGGTACACAGAATAATAAACTTACACTAGTTAGGTCACCATGAATCACGTCGCTGTCGTGAACTGGTCCGCAAGTACAACAATCAGTTACGTTGGTCGCTTCCACAGTCGATTCATTCCCGCTCACGATATTTGAGCCCTTCAACGACTTGCTTAAGCTGTTAAGAAAGTAATAAATTATGATCACAGGCCTTGAAAACAAGCTCACCAGGGAAAGTTTATCCATTGCTGTGAGATTAGCGTGATTTAGGTAAGAGTTCAAAGTCCCGTTTGGCATCCAGGGGGTGACGAAAGCACGGAATGGACCGAAACCTGTTACAGTGCCGTACAGGCGTATTACATACCGGTGCTCTAATATGGCCCAGATACTGAGTTTCCGGTCAAGATTCTGCGTTCGAATGACATGAATTTCGGATACTTGGTAGTTTCAGAAGCTACCCAAACATACACGGTTGATTTCGGCGGCTTCAGCTTCACTTATACTTGAGAATCGTGGGGATTTGACTGCAACCTGAAGATTATAGATCGAGTACATTCAGAGCAAGTAGATGTATGAAGTACTTCTTCCTGACTTGCGCCCCTGTTCAAGGTACATTTGTAAACATCTCCAAGACTACCCAAAGCGACCGGGTGATTGGTTCCCCTGATGACAATGCTTGGGTCAATTTCGAAAGAACTATCGGCTGGTGGCTGAAGAGACATCTTCTGAACTTCGCTTGCGGAAGGTGGGTCGACTGAAGCTCCAGCAGCAAACAGTTGGCCACGGCGCCGTAGGCGAATCTGTTATCAATGGTAAGTTGATTGAACGGTCATATATGGAGATAGACTGGAAGTACAGGCTCAAGAAACTTCCAGTTTACAAGAGTCGGCATACTGATACGAAAGACGCAAAACTGGTTGCAACGTTGATGAGTTATAGCTGGTTTAGAAGGTATGTGAACAGTGGTGAAGAGTCACCATCAACTTGCTTAGAGAGGGACCCCGGGCACCATATTCTGTTTCCCAAACCGTCGTCTCATCCGTTTCAAGCCAAATTTTTAAGCTTACAAGTATGTGATAAGACACACACCTTTATGCACAATGTGTTTGGTTCCTTGACAATTGTAGCTTGATGCTTCAAAGCTTCATGAAGCACAGACTAGCCTATCAGTAAAACCTCGACTTACTGAATCAGATTTTTTTGAGCTTTTAATTATTTTTAATAAGAATAATTATAATAACTAAGATTAATGCTAGCAGCAAGTCACATGACGTGTCGGAGAGAAGGAGAGCTGAAAAATGACCAACAATCCGCCCCAAACATGCACCCAGACATACCGTATCTTGCACATTCACATTTGGACGAGGGCTCAGCCAGTGACAGTGAGGAGGAGGTTGAGGAGGTTGAAGACCAGGAAAATCCTGTGGATGAGAGTGAAGTAGATTCAGATGGTTCAGAAGATGTGGTGGCACTTGATGATCTCGAAGATGGTCATGTTGATGAAGATGCAGTTCCAGAACAAAAAGTCGAAATCGACAATACCGTATGTGTTTATCCATTTATGAAGCGACATGCGAAACTTAATTACCTTCCATTGCAGGTTGCTCTTCGTCGCATAAGAGAGGCAATTCGACTCGACCCATCATTATCGTGGACAGAAACCCTCGTCATATCGTATCCTCAAGTAATAGAGGCCGATGTAGATGACGACCTCAATCGCGAGCTTGCGTTGTTAGTGCACTTTCCGCATTGCTTCGTTAACAAAAACTCATTTTACATCTAGCTATAAACAAGCACTACATGCCGCTAATACTGCCCGCACCCTTGCTGCCTCTCATTCTCTGCCTTTTACACGCCCCTCAGATTATTTTGCAGAGATGGTCAAGTCCGACGCGCACATGGAGCGTCTTCGTTCACGGTTACTCGATGAACGTGCCGGGATCAAGAAGTCGGAAGAGAAGAGAAGAGAGAGGGAGGGGAAGAAGTTTGGCAAGCAGGTGCAGATGGAGAAGCTCAAGGAAAGAGAACGTAGCAAGAAGGACATGGAAGAGCGACTTAAAGGGCTCAAAAGAAGTATGTCTATATTTCTGCTGAGACAATCAACTCACTAATGTTCTCGTAGAACGCAAAGGTGCCCTGGAAAATGCTGAGGCAGATGGCGCGGGTGGCGATGCATTTGATATCGCGGTTGAAGATGCCATTGCTGATAGGCCTGCTAAACATGCCAAAGGCCCTGGTGGGAAGAAAATAACGCGTAATGCACGCGATCAAAAATTCGGCTTTGGTAGTCAAGGCCGGAGGTCAAAACAAAACACTAAAGCCTCTACCGACAATTTTGATTCTGCACCAGGAAAAAGAGGACATGGGTCAAAGGCAGGACGAGGGGGAGCAGGAGGTAGTAAGAGGCCAGGAAAAAGCAAACGTGTCGCCTCTAGGAGTCGTAAATAATACAGCGTATCTGTATCTAGCCTTTCAGTTGGTATGTACGTTTTCCCTGAGTATCTTTCTCGTCATATTCCAATATGGATGAACACAATCCTTTGTTGCAGTGGAACAACACTTTTATCCACTCTCTTTGCGGCTGTATTTAAAGCCACTGCTGCATGCTCAGAATTTAGTCCGTCTGGTGATCTTTCGAGGAGGGCTTCGTAAAACGCCGAGACCATATTGACCACGACGGCGTCATCCACAGCCCACATAGTTCCAACAACTCCTCTAAAGCCAGCAAACTGCATCGCAGCAGTGAGATGCACAACTTCGTCGGGGCTTTATTATCTCCAGCGGCGGTGTGGCACGCCGACAAGAATGCAAATTCTGCGGGATCGGATGGTGCGCGAACAATGTCCAAGAGCGCCAGAGGTCCATCGCTCATGGCAAAGCATGACTTGAGAGGGCGAGTCACGTCTTGTTTCCCATGGCAGGCAAGGTGAACCCAAGGGCTTGAATGAATAGCGCGGAGGGACTCTGAACGTGTTGCGCTCTCGCCAGTCAGTCGTGTCATAGACATGACGGGCGGTAAGATGCTTTGAAGCGAATCGAGTTCTTCATCGACCGTCCCGAGTTTTGCAAAACCACCAGTGGGTGCTGCCTGTCCTACTGCCAAGATCCGTGGCGGGGTCTTATCGTTGGAAACGTGACGTGGTTTTTGGCACCGCAGAAGGGCAGAAAGGGTCGGTGTGTATGATGAAATATAGTAATTAGGCAGACCTTTCTCGCCTCTCCGGAACGGCGCTGCGGCATGGAGTGGGATGCTATTGAAACGACCAGTGGGATACCACCATATCCTTGAACCTTGGGGAAGGTGAAGAGAGGATTCTAGTGTTTTGACTACAGGAAAGACGACAGTGTCCCATGTTTGACGTAGTAACTCAGTAAGCTCCCTTTCTGCGGAGCGTCCTCTGCCGCGATTGGTAGCAAAGTACCTGAACTGTTCAGACAATCGAAGGATATCAGATGTGTTGATGTCGGGTAAGGGGATGTGGATTGGATCGTGCTCGTGATGGATGATCACTGCATCACAGGAGTATTGACTGGCATTGGTGATGATCACTGGTCCATTCTTTGCGGCTTTCTTAAGCTTAGAAAAGCTCTGTGCGAGAAGAAAGTCGCCAAACCCATCTACGAGCCGGATCTGATCTACCACACCGTCCCATTCCCGGAGGAGACTTCGGTAGTGCTGTAACCCCTCTTCAGTCACAGCACCACACGCTGCGTCTTCGAGAAGGGAGCTCAGCCTTACAAACTCAGGTGCTAGTTGACAGCCATGTTCACCAGCGTTCTGCAGGTCATCCAGTGGCGTCCGGAAACGCGCGAGGTATGTCCATAAAATACCTCGTCCGTGCTCCAGCATCTCCACGGCGAGTGTGGCCAACCCAAGTCTGAGAGCACACGATACGGCATCTACAGCCAAAGAGGGTGCGTATTCACGAACTATACGATGCCGTGATTCAACGGATGGCTTCGTCGTGACGTGGCGGTCGAACATGTTCAAAGCAATCTGGTGGGCGTCCAGTGCTGATGGGTGCTTGTGTACCTCCGCCTCTTTGACCCATAGTAACGCAACGCGGAATTTTGGCAGCGAGCCTCCGGATATGTGAGTTGATGCACTTCTGAAGTACCGAAATGCTTCCTCCAAGTTGTTTGTGGACTGCGGTGCCTTAGAGTAGGCATGAAGGTGGATACGAGAATACTCTTCCCAGATGTCAAGAAGGGACGGGTGGCCAGGAGTGCACATACCATGTGCCTTGTCAAGATGTTATAATGCAGCTTGAAGCATGGCAGGATCACCTTCAAGCTCGTATTTAAGACCCTTTGCGTTTGCTAGCATGACGTGAGAGGACAATCTGTACTCATGGCCTCTTTCACGTAGTTCCAATGCAGAAGCACCTAGCTCCAATGCCCGGTCCAGGTCCTTAGCATCATTGCGGTATATGAAACGCGTCGTAAGAGATGAAGCGAGATTGTGAAGCAACAACGACCGACGAAACCCTTCTGGGCTGAACTGGAGCGCTTCAGAGTAGTTCTCGATGGACAGGTCGAGATTACGAGGGTTTCTCTGTTCGTTAAACAGGTTGAAAGCGACGTTGGCAATGTTGTTTAACAAGTCAGCACGTTCTGGATATGATGGAGGTCGCAGGTGGAGAGCCTCACTGTAGCGGTCTACAGCTGCAACGAGATCACCAGGATCCCCCTGAAACGCAAATCGGGACTGGAGGGCGTTGCCAAGTGAGCATAATGTATCAGAGCGATGGGGATGAGACGGTGACAATGCATGTAGTGCTTCATAATGATTTTCGATGGATGTTTCCAAGTCAATTATGTCACCGGTGTGTTGAAAACGCTTGCGGAGAGTAGTCGCAAGGTTACCGAGCAATATGGGGCGATCTGGATGGTTTTTGGGGCAGATATCGAGCGCTTCGAGGAAATAACTTAGGGAGATTTCAAGGTCTACTAGAGACGCTTGGAGTTCGTAACGGGTCATTATTGCACTCGCAAGATTACTCAGGGCATGGAGACGCCCTTTATGCCCCGGTGGACATAGTTCAATGACAGAACCATAGGATTTGATGGCTTGCTCCAAGTCATCAGTGCCCCCGAGCTTTTTGAAGCGAAGAAGTAAGCCGTTCGCAAGGTTATTGAGCAAGACGGAACGGTTTTGATCCTCAGAGAATATCTTCTCGAGAGCTTCTGTAGAGTAGGCAATGGATGATGTGAGATCTGGAGCATCACCTTCCTGTTGGTAGCGAAAGAAATGCGCAAGGGATAGATTGCCAAGCACAGAAGTGAGTGAGTGCGTTGGAGGCATCGAAGTTGACTACAGATTCATATAAATGGATAGCTTGGCTAAGGTCTCTGACGTCCCCCCAGTGGGAAAAGCGAGTGACCAGTGCATCGGCGAGGGCAACCAGCCATGCTTCGTGTGCAGGATCGGTTTGATTGGAGATGCATGCGTATTGTTCAATTGCGAGATCAATGTCTGACTGGTTTACGTGGAGCGCAAAGCGTTTCATAAGCATTTGAGCATGCTTGACGTGCATGATGGGGACATCAAGACTATCCGGCGTTTGAAGTTCAATGGCCACACTGTGGCAATCGATGGCAACGTCCAAGTCGGCAGTATCACCAACGAGATCGAAACGTCGAGATAGTGCTGTGCCCAGCTTTAAAAGTTGGTCGCTTCTGCTGCATTGGGAATCAAGGACATCTTCAGTGAGGGCCGCGTTGTAATGACCAATAGCTAGCTGGAGGGCTTGCAGATCACCCTGATCCCTAAACAGGGCATACAGTTCGTCTCCGATGACGGTATAATCACGAGCAGACTGATGAAACATTGTTATCAGTTTACTGTTTATATCACGTCCACTCACTGTAACATCATCTTCGGTGTTCGTCATATCAGAGATGGTCGTCAGCTAACGTCGATGAATGATTCATTCACAGCGGCGGGTCCGGCCGGATTGAGCTCAGGGCAAAGTAGCACTATGATAGTGTCGCTGCTGGAGGATCGGACAGGGTGGACGCACATTCGAGTATATTACACATGATACTCAGACGTTGCATTCACTTTGTGGTCTATGACGGATCAGTCAAACCATCTTGGAGTCAGTGTTGTGGCAAGCTGATAGAGTTGGTATATATTACCGGCTCCGCTCCCGTCGGCCTTAATTCGGATCAGGACATAAGTATGTCCCTGAAATTCCCACGACTGCTTCCCTTGGACCGTCTGCTTTGTAGTCACTGCCTAGGGCGTCCAGCTTGCCTCATCACTAATTTCTGCTCGCTGTTCTCAACAGCGAGGACGCTATCAAGTTTCTTTTATTTCCCTTTGCGGTTGATGATTAGCCTTTCAGGCTGTGATGACGCCGCGCCCACTCATTTCTTCTTCGAGGCGTCCTTTATCCGCCATCTTCCTGGGATCGTTACCACCCAAGGAGCAGGTCATTCCTAACTTTTCTGAGCCTCCAGAAAGCCCAAGTGCAGTGTCAAGTTCATCTGGCCTTCCTTCACCACCCGCAACCAATTCAACGGGAAGTGGTTCAACAGGTGATAACAAGAGTACAACCGCGGGCAGTCTACGCCAGCGACCTGCCTCGTATGCCGGTAGCGTAAACATGACCCACCGTAATTATGACACACCCAGCATATCCGAAAAATCTTCCAGAAATATTGACGACGATGACGATGACGAAAACGACTATTCAAATGAAGAAGACGACACCGCTCGCCTTGACCGCAGTCATGCAATAAAGAGTCCAAACGAAAACCTCATGGCCTTGCAACGAGTTAAAAGCCTTGCTGAGCGCAACCGCATGGTGCGTGCTCCTCTGGTTCCTTGACGCTCATTCTAATTGGAGCCTGCCCTTGGTAACTTGCACGTGTCTCATGTTATTGTGAATTACAACAACTCTAACCTCACTTTTTTGTCCTGGCGATTTCCGCGTTTCGTACATGGAACTATACTATCTGACCTTACTACCTTTGTTTCATAACACAGGCATTGAACAAGCTCTCTTCCTTTTCCCGCACTCCGTCTCCTGCAAATTCCCGTATATCTCGATCCCCGCTTCCTCCTATTCATGCATCTTCGTCCTCATCTTCCTCTTCTGCAGCCTCCCGGATTTCTTCCCACTCGCGTTCTGCCCTTACGACAAGACAGTATGATGAAACACCGCAATATGATAGCGCACTTTCTGGCTCTGAAACAGAACGCGAGAGTCAGCGCGCTCCAACTCCCTCGTATTCTAATTCGCATTCCAACTCTCGCTCATATGGTTCTTCATCTCCAGAACGGTCGTTAACGCCTCCTCCAAGCACTAGTACAAGAGAACGCCGCATATCTGCTCCCGCTTCACCGGTTAGATCGCGACAGCCTTCTCCTGCCCCCTCGCACACTCCTCGGAAGCGAGTATCTATCGCCGGTGCACTATCTGTGTCTAGAGATAACGCATCTTACGATGTGACGAACGCCGCACTAGCTGCTGTAGCATCTTCACGACGAAGTCCAACAGGCACAGGAAGCGTTAATCGACGTTCGCGGCAGCCACTTCCAAGAGAATTTAGAGACGGTGATCGAGTCCGTACTTTGGATGGCAGGGTAACGCAATTTATTCTCGTCTCCTTGGCTTCTGCTGACAGACAAACTTCAGACTTCCATCGAGCCTATGACACCACATCACAACTCGCATCAAGATAGCTACACTTCTAATGCCAGCACTTCTCACAGAACCTCGTACGCAAATGCCAATCCTCAATATTCACCACGTGGCGCTCGTGCTAATCTTCCATCAACCGTTCGCGAACTAACGCGCCGTCACCAAACGCGTTGGCTATCGGACGATATTTCAAGCCTTCCGGATTCTGGCCGCAGACAAACACAGCGCGGCGGCAGTGCCGAAAGCACCCTGGGAGCTGGAGGACGCCTGGCTGGTGAAGGCCTACGTGCTGCTGGCATAGGTATGCGGAACGTGACACAGGCCAATGATGACGTCTTTGTACACAGCAATGGCTCGCACGTGTCTTTGCGTCGCGCACGGACAGCTGGCTCCAGCACCCATCGAACCGTCGAGTGGGAGGACGAAGATAGAGTGGCGGATGACAGGAGTCGGGCAAGCGGCTCCAGTGGCACACGACTCAGTGAAGGTGCAGGTCCCTCCGCAAGGTCACATCTATCTTCAGATCCGAGTAGGGCATCATCTACACTTTTAGTTGAACGAGATTCGAGAGGGGGGCGTGTAGCTTCTTCAAGGCCAGCAACCTCGATGGCAGAGTTCTATCATGGGGAGGATGGAGGTGCCGGAAGGGGAGCGGCATTTTTACTCCGATCCAGACGGCAATACTCGGGCATTGAGCGACAACCTTCGGGAGCATCGCCTGGTGTCCGTCCGCTTCCACCCCAACAAGTCCCAGCGGCACCAACACCACCAGACAGATCACGTAGCGGCACACTCACTCGACGTCACACCACAATGACACCTCTTGGGAATGGGTTGGTCTCTAGTCACCAACAGAGCGCGGAGCATACCCAGCTCATGCTAGAATCTCTGAAAATGTTCGAGAATATCTTGTCCCGTCTGCCGAATCAGTCTGCATCCGTACCAGAACTGTTCCGCAGCGCAGAAACCATCGTTCTTGCTTCCGAGAAGTTAAATGCGTTGTTGAGAACGGGTACAAATCGAGCGCTGGAACAGCAGATTGACGCCGAGATGGATGATGAGAGATCGGGCAAGATACCCACCGGTGAAATCTGGAGGAGAGTGGGAGGGGAGTACCGCGAGAGCCTGCGTGTGAGCGACGAAGTCGTCCGAACGATTACAGGGTTTTTGCTTGGAGTGGGCAAAATTGTGAAGGAAGCATCTGCTGGTCCTTTGAATGATCCCGAACCACAGCACTCAAGAAGCGGCCCTGGTAATGACGTTTCTCGCCGAACACCCGAAATAGATAGGAGCAGTAATAGAAGTCGACTGGATGGAAGGAGGAGTGTGGAGTCAAGACGGAGTTGGGAGCCTTCTGCCTCCACTGCTGACTCGTCCAGAAGGCTCACTGGTCGCGGTGAAGGAACTATCGCACGTCCACCTTCGTCAAGCGACTTTGATCCAGATCAGAATCAGCCTTCTTCGTCACGCAATTCCCTTCCTCTCCCTCCGCTGCCGCTGTCTGCCACGCGTAGGCTTTTCACACCGCGAGAACAACGTGATCGTCAAATGACGTCAAATGCACTCGCTTCTCATAATATCTCATCCGATATTGTTGATCTTTCCCTTGAGTATGAGCCTTCACCAACACCTGCCGCTCGGGGTGTACCTGCGGGCCGCCAAAAACCACTTCCGTCTCTTGCCATCCCCCCACCTCTTCCTACCTTACCTTCTGAATCGCTTATGGGCAGGTTGACAAGCAATTCGCTAGACAAAAGCAACAATCGCAAACCATCTACTACATCCGCCGCTACCATCCGAGGTATCCCCTTGCCATCCGCCAATCCGACAACCGCTGTAACTACCCATACGGTATCCAACTCCCCTGAAAACTCAACATTCCCTCTATCCCGCGTTGACTCCAAAGACTCCGTTCGTTCATCTGTAACCTTCTCGCGTCCTTCTGAAGTATCACTATCTGCGCTACAACAGCAGCACTCACGAGACGAGGCACGCAGGAAGGCCATTACGTCCTCTTCTAACACTGAAGAAGACACGAGTGTTCCTCCGGCACCTTCGCCTGCTCAAGTCCGTTCTCCACTTTCAGGCTCAGAGACGGAGCGAGATACTCGCCGGCGGACGTTTGGTTCACGAGCAGCTCGTATGTCACTGGACAGCATTCGTGACGAAAGGGATGGCAACAATGGGAGTTCTCAGTCACGCACCGTCGCTATACCTCCGCAAAGGCGGGAGAGGCGACGGACTGTGACTGAGGTATTTGCATAGCAATCATAGGGTCGTTGTGTGTGTTTCCCTGCCTCTTTCCAAAGTAAGTCCAATTGACAACTGTGGGTGACTACGCACTGATGACTGGAAAGAATTCCGAGTTGTAATTTGCCTTTTTCTTTTCTTTTCCGCCATTTGTGCATTATATCCCTGGCATTCATCTCGACTACATGGACTCTTTCGGCGAGCATTGGCCGATTCTTCCCCTCATTAACTTTATTCTTGGTCCCATAGTTGCCCTGGCTGGCTCTCCGATTGTTTTTTTGTCTGCTCTCTCTTCTCTCTTCTCGCTGTTTGTCTATCTTGTCTTGTTATACGATGTGTTTTGCATCGCACGTTAGGTATTTATGCCCGAGTATACCATGCACGAATATGATAGGTCCTCCGTCGAAATACTACTGGTATTCTTGAAGATTATCATAAAGCTTTCCTAATTCTATCCTGATTGGCCAACCGCATACTGTGAATGATTGAATGCGACACTTCCAATACTTAGAAAACGATAACGGCGTACTTAGATTATATCCCCAAGTTTGGCGAGACTCGTCCTGCATAAGGCGGTCACAATGAAAGCGTGTAGGTTAAGATGCTCGTTATGATTATTACGTACCGGGGGTCAGAGACTGAATACCGTGGTACTCGTATGAGGGGTGATGCATTGATGACTGACCCGCAGTCATGGGTTCAACAACTGGAGCGATCAACCTGTACTTAGACTGACATGTCATCGCATTCCATCTTTCCTTTACAAACACCAGATCATCTACTTTCCTTCCAATTTTCATCATGGTATCCGACATTTTCCTCCATTAGCATCAAAAGCACCATCATCCGTCCCTTGAGTCAAGCATTCAAGGAATACCTCGACTCGGACGGCATTTTCGTACCAGAAGGCTCGGAAAACGTGTCAGTTGGCTACAATCACCATCTGTTTCAGTCGTACTCACTTCCCACTGCCAGTCCCGCAGAAAGCTCTCCTTCGGACCAAGAGGATGAGGACGACGCTGCAGTTGGGCAATCCTTCTCCTTCCCCGATCTAGATGAGCGGATAAGACAAATCATCAAAGAATACGGCGCCATTTTCCCCAAGCTCAATTTTTCTTCACCAAAGGTCAGGTCGTTCCATCGAAATTGATCCCCGTTCACATCGAACGCAGGACGCATCATGGGTGCTACCACCATCCTCGCCTCTCAAATGCACATCTCCATCAGACGTCTACATTCTACTGAAATCCTCGGACTTCATATCACACGATCTAAGTATCGACGCGGTCTTTGAGGGATGCCAATGCGATCCCTCGAATCCGCCATTGTACCAACTCGAACTTGTCTTGAGGAAATGGTATCCTATAGACCGGAGTCGCGAGTTCAGGTGTTTTGTTCGCGAAGGCCGTCTCATAGGTACGTCCTGTTTTCTGACTATTGTTCCAGCAAGCCACGAACGACGCTCGTACAGGAATATCACAACGCGATACGAATTTCTATGACTTCATGAACGAGCTGCAAACACAAACCAAGATCGTAGAAACGCTTCAGGGTTTTTGGGAGGACAAGATCAAGTCAGAATGGCATGGACAACAAGACTGTATGTGTCACATTGTTTTTGTCGTAGTCCGCGCACTCATTACACTTCTGAAGACATCTTCGACGTGTTGATGACACGTGATCTGTCTCGGGGACATGTCCTAGACTTCAACCCATACGCACCCCGAACGGATCCCCTGCTATTCACGTACGAAGAGCTTTTGTCGGTCTTCACGCAGGGGTCAAGCGCACCCGAGCTCCGTATCATCGACTCGCCTTTACATCCGCTCGCATCGCGTAACGCACCAGCTTACCAACACAACATGTTGCCAATGGAAGCACTGGCGCTGAGTAGCGGTCGGGACATCAACGACTTCTCAGATTTGTGGAAGAATGAGATTCAGCAGTCCATAAATGACGACGACTAATAGACATAATCTTCTTTTGAAAGATCGAACGGATTTGTCCTATTCACGTACGGAGATCTTTTATCAGACCTGAGCCAAGTCACCTCTACATTCAGTGTTGCCTTCATCCTCGATGAACTAAACAATGCCTCAGAATATACACCAGACCGTATACTGACTTAGGCGCACAGTAAACTTTCAAACTCCGCTTGGTTGACGAGTTACACTTACGCTGCTTTGAACGACATTGAAATTCATTTAACGACCATGGATTTCGATTAGCGCATTGCGACACCGAGAAGCTCAGCCGTGTCCTGCGCATCAATCATACTCCAAACTCCAGCCAATTGCGAAGCTCAGCGGAAAGAGCTCCTTCGCCCCTGTCTACTCGTGGTAAGACAGCCGTCATGGGTGCTAGTTGCGTGCTGACGTATCGTGTCAGTAGCTTCCAGATCTGCCATTACTAGTAATTTCATGGTTATCGGACCGCGAGGGGTCAACTGGTTAGCGTTCTTGTTTATCATCGATTCAAAATGACTCAAGTGGAGCCCTTGTATCACTATCGTGGCGTTTTAGAAGTCCGAGTCGTGAAAAAAAACAATACATCCGCACTAGTGCGACAAATTTGCATTCGGTGAGGACATCTCGGACGTTATGTGGAGGTGAGGGTACTTCCATCACTCCATGATTCAAAGTTTCGATACATTTGATCCCCGTGTAATCACACTGAACTTCCGTGATAGGTCGAAGCTTGTCATGGTGGGACACAACGAGTATCTCTGCTCCTCAAGTGGCTTAGCGCTCAGCTATGTATAGTGGCCGCAACTTAGGGCTGCTCCTCGGTGATCCCCATGACATAATAACATCATTTTTGTTGTCCCCCAAAAAAATTGCCGTCCTTCTCAACGTCCAGGTATCACGCTCTGTTATGTATAGTCTTGAGGATGCCTGTGGTTTGAGACCTTGTGCCTTAACTCCACATATTCACCTTGATAATGACTGCAGTTACGCACAAGTTACGCGGACTCATGCACATGACCGGCCACCTAATACAACGGTAATAAGGTATGTTGGGTAATACAGTGCAAGTTGGTAGCACTTAGTACTGAATGAATACAGTACAGGTCAATAATATAAGAGTGAACCGTATACATTTACTATACTGACGCCTAGGTTCATCTATCTGGCTGGCTGGACTGTAAGCAGAAAGACCAGTGCAAGAATCAACTAGTTCTGGACAGCGAGTCAAATTCATTCCTGATCGTCACATCGGCTTCCTCCGTCGATGGACGGCCCTGAGGATCAGTAGACCAACATTGCTCGATAAATGGCCAATACTTTTCAGGGAGCTCAGGATAACGAGTTCGGGAGGGCGTTTCCGACTTAGCTATGTGCAGGACGATCATGTGGTTATCCCGGAGGTAATAATAAGGAATTTTATTGGTGAAGACCTTAGTAAAGGCAGCGCTCATGACATCATCAACAAGTTGAGAATATTCCGGGCGTACCTGCAACATGATACCGCCGAACGAAAAGACGTCGCTCTGCTTGCTTGGCCGTACTGGAGTTCTGCCAGCTGGAATCGTCTGACGAGAGTAAGAACCGCACCCTCACGCTCCAGATAGTCCACCAGGCTACCATTTTCTGCGAAAGGTGTGACTATCGCTGGAAGTGAGCTGAAGCTATACGTATAACCATAAATGGGTACAATATTTGCATGATTGAGGGCGGCACGTATCCCGAGTTCACGCTTTATCCTCCACGAAGTGGCGCCCGTGGTGTAAGCAATAGACTCAGTCCTTCGGTAGACACTCGCCTGGATTATTTTTGTCTTTGCTCCTTCAGGATAATAGGTGAACATTGGTATTGCTTTCACTGCGACCTGCAAAATCAAAATTTAGACAGATAAACAGACAAAAGACAGCAAACGAACTTTGACCGATATCCGATCGATATGAAAGGTGCATTTTCAGATATCCGCGAACACGCCGACAGGAATAGGATATTCTTCATCCTTGGTGATAGCATTTGAGATGTCTTTCAGCGTTGTTTCAGTGGGGAGATAATCAGGCTCGTCATTACGAGCAGAAAAAACTGTATCCATATGGGAAGAGGCAAGGAGTTTGCGGGGATCGGGGTGTAGCTGGAGGGCCTAGTAGACTGGTGACTAGCCCGTTCTGTCACGGTAGTATGAGGCAAGCCGTCGATAGACGGATTAGTTTGAATTTGGATGTCGAGCGGATTCTCACAATTAGGAATCGACCCAAAGGATAATTCTCCGCTATAATGGGAAAGGCTATGAACGCGTCTCACATGGAACGTGACACATCACGCTGATCATTGAGATCGTCTCGCCATGGCTAAATTCAACTCGAGTACTATCTCCTTCCACATAATTAAGAACTCCCCCAAAAAGTGCTCAACTTTTTGTTCGGCAGTTCACAGCGCCAGAATTGGCAGCAGAGCAAATTTGCCTTATTTCAGAAAGAAAGTTGACCGTGGCGCCAGAATGTACACTTGTAGACTGACACAGCGTGTTTCGTCTACGCACACCACACAAAGGCGCTGGACTTTGACAACACAGCAACCTCAGATATCGAGATGCTGTTATAATGCCTGAAACAATATCCTTTATTCTCGGTGAGTTTTGTCACTCTTGTACAACTTGAATTGTCACATGCTCACGCACATGTCATAAAGTGCCCGGGCTCCAGTCCCAGTCATTCTAAAACCTATGAGCAGACTGCAACACATTTCAGCTTCGCGCCCTCGGCCTGAGAAATGACGGTCGGGTACTATGCTAGTTACCTTCGTCGCGTTTCGCCAGTGCCGCCAGGTCAACCTCAACAAGGCAAAAATTACAAAGCTTTGAGACTGCAGGCATGGCATCGACTCGGAGTAGGACTTGTCATTTCTACAATACATGTTTGCGTGGTGCGACAAATTTGCATTCGACGAGGACACATTTCGGACATTATGTTTTTTTTACAGTAATTCCTCGTTTATGGCCCCCCAGGGCGTCAAATAGGCAAAAACGGACAAGGAAAACGCAAAATTTTGGCCGAACATTATAGGGAGCTTCCGGGGGCCTCGGCCAGTATTACGATCGTTCACGTTCTTTGGGTGGGGTGACGTCTCCAAACGTGGTCTGGAAGCGTTTGGTCTGTGCTACGAAGGTGAGCAGTTTACGAATGGCCTTTCCGTCATTGAGCAGTTCCTTCAGCGTGAGATTGCGGGTTCCCAGGGACTTTCTCAAGATGTTGCGTGGACGGATGAAGGCGGGGCATTCCAGTATGTAGTGATAGACTGACTCTTCCTTCTGATGGCACGAGGAGCAGATGGGGGATGGGAGTTTTGCGATACGATGAAGATGTTTGTTGAGAGGTACGTAACCTGTTCTGAGCTGGAGGAGAAGGGAGCTGTGGCGACGAGGGAGTTCCTCTGTGATGCGGGCGAAATGATTGGACGGAGCGGAAGCGTCTATGCTGCTGAGCTTTGGTTGCCGGGGGGACTTTCTCCATACTTCACGTGCTTCCTGTTTTATCTCTTCGTTGAACGTTTGCTTGAGAGCGGATTTGCTGATGGGGAGCGTGATGAGAGTGGGGGTGCGTCCTCTGCGTTGGAGTGATTCTGGGAGCTGGTTTTGGGCCGATGACTCTCCCCGAGCCGCTTTCTTTGCTAGAAGGTCCGCTTCCTCATTGCCTGGGATGCCTGTGTGGCCTGCAGCCCATCGTATAGTTAGCTTTCTGCCGTCGTCATCTGGGAGGATCTTTCGGAGGTCGTCGTGGAAGGTGTCGAGGAGGTAGTGTCCGGGTTTCCATTGGAGAATGGTTGCTCTGATTGCGGCTTGGTTGTCCACTCCCAATGCCATAGTGCGCGGGGTTCCTCCTCTCGCCTCTATCTCTTCCTTGATCAGCTGCACGGCTAAGACCATTCCTACCGCTTCTCCTTCATACGCCGTGTGTTCCTCTATGCTTCCTAGGTGGAATATCTTTTCCCTAGTCTTTCTTCCATCCGTCATCACCACCGCTGCTGCTCCTACGCCTCCGTCTACCGCTGATCCGTCTGAGTATACCCTTATCTCTTCTTCAGCTTCCGCGTCCTCGGTGAGTGCTTCCTGCGCTTTGTTGGCGATACTGAGGGTAACGTCAGGTTTCCATTCTGGATAGTGGCGCACGGGGTTGATGGTTTCTGTGAGTGAGGAGTCGATCTTGAACTCGTTAGCGAGGTTATGGAGAGGCGAAGGGTAACGTTTCTTCTTGTCGAAGTTGCGTTTTGCGCAGAAGTGGAAGGCTGCTGTGATGCCCTTGTGCAGGGGGTGGGATTGTGGGAGAGTGGCCATTCTGAGGGATGCTCTGTGGCAGGTTCTACGGAGGTTCTGTTGGAAGGGTAGTCGGACATTATGTGGAGGTGAGGGTACTGCCGTCGCTCCCTAAATCAAAGTTTTGATGCATTTGATCCCCGTGTAATCACACTGAACTTCCGTGATAGGTCGAAGTTTTTGGGACACAACGCTCCTCAAATGGTTCAGAGCTCAGCGCTCAGCTATGTATAGCGGCCGCAACTTAGGGCTGCTCCTCGGTGATCCCATGACATGATGACATCATTTCTGTTGTCTCCTAAAAAAAATTGCCGTCCTTCTCAACGTCCGGGTACCACGCTCTGCTATGTATAGTCTTGGGAATGCCTATGGTTTGAGACCTTATGCTTTGACTCCACATATTCACCTTGCTCCTGATTACAGTTACGCACAAGTTACGTGGAGCCATGACCGGCCGCCTTACAACGGCAGCAAGGTGTATGTGTAGTACTGAACGAATAGAATACAAGTCAATCTCCAACTTTGACTTAGACGGGTATGTGTGTGAACTACGCGTCTTACATAGAACGCGACACCGTGACATCGCGCTGATAATTAGGATTGTCTCGCTATGGCTCAATTCTGACTCCTTTCACATAAGGACCCCTCAAAAAAACATGCGCTCGGCAGTTCACAGCATTCGAATGGGCAGCAGAGTAAACTCGCCTTATTTCAGAAAGAAAGTTGACATCGCAGGATTCATATCGTCATAGTCTTGGTGGGACGTACCCTTATGGACTAACACAGTGCGTTTTCATCTACGCACAGCACGCGAAGGTGCTGACTGAATGCAGACTTTGAAAAAACAGCTCCTCGATATGTCTTTGATATCGCAATTTCCGGAGTTACTGTAATGATGCGTAACTTGCCTGAAACAATATCCTTTATTCTGGGTGAGTTTCGCCACTCTTGTACAACTTGAATTGTCGCATGCCCACGCACCTCGTAGAGTGCTTTGGCTGAATCTTAGTCGTTCTACTACATACCTGATCTGTCATTAAAGCTGTTGAAGGTCACACAACCACGGCAATACTTTCCGTCTCATCAACTGACAGCGGGAGGGAGAAGAAAACAGTCTTACCACTCCCAATACCAACATCTCCCTCGAGAAGTCCAACTGCTGCTTCAAGTTTCCTTGCAATTAAGTGTTTCTTTGTCACCAGGACAAAATTTAAGAGTGCAGGTATGTATGGTATCGAGCAGGACTTATCATTTCTACTATTGTACTACATGTATGCAGTCTTTTCGTCATGCAATTCGATGCTGGAATTCGTTCGTTTGCGATAGATTCTGCATTCGATACTCTCCTGTGGTTGTAAGCGGAGTTTGATCGCGCTCCCAGGCGCCTTGTCCGACGGTCCACCAACTGCCCTTTTCCCACGCCGACAAGGCAGCCGCTGTGGAGACTAGCTCAGTTCGTTCTCGAAGAAGTCTTTCCAGGCTAGACTCGTCACTATTCTGCCTACCTGCGCATTCACAATGAAGTGCTTCCAGACACCTTGTCCGACGAACCACCGCTCTTTTCCTACGCCAAGGCGGCTGGCGTCGACACTACCATACGAGTTACGCATATATTAAATATCCTCAAATACGAAATGATACACCACATTCGCAAGCAAACGTGCTTTGTTCTCCTATCCCAAGTTCTCGGGGCACAAGACCTGCCTCTGCGATCGCGCCTAGCACGGGAGAAGAGTGAAAAAAAATGTCGATCAGAACGGCAGAGATCATTTGATGTTGCCAAGCTTGTTGGTTTTCAGGGCTCGGTGAACGCCAGTTCTGGTTGTGCGGCTGATTCTTTGTCCAGCGCCCTACCCAGTGAAGCTTTCATTCCCTGCAGATCTGGTGCCAAAGACCCTGACGAGTTCCTTCGAGTTGTTGCATCAAGAACTTCATCGGTTTTAATGCGATTGCCGACATGCGGCGTTGTGATTGCTTTACGGGTGAGAGCGCGATTTTTTTTCAACTGTTCTTGGTCCAGGCTGGAAGATGATGACAATGCTAGCGCTTATCACTGATACATGAAGTTGACTGACAGTTTGACTTCTTTTGCGACTGGCTGTCGACAAAAAGCATTGCTTATCGGTACCTTCGAAGCCGATGGACGGTTTGACCGATTCATGGACAGCGCGTTTTTGCGGCTGGCTGAAAGACCCGGTCGATGCTTATCGCTGACATCCGCAGTTGATCAGGTTCGATTGTTTTTGGGGTGGAGAGAGCATATATGTGACTGGTTGGATGACAAGGTATACTTATCATCACTGCCACTTCGGCCTATATGATTAATAAACAAGCTCCAAGGGCTCCAACGAATTCACATGACGTCGATGGCGTTCCCGCTTCGGCGAGAGAGCCCACGGTATTTGTGATTGACAAAGGAAACGCCACAGCTCATGAATACATGAATGAATGGCGTCTACCGAGTGAATGGATACCATCATGTTGTACGGTGCAGGGTCTGATTGAACCTTCGCGAAACAGTTAACAGGAGCTGCTTGCCGAGAAGAGAGAAGCTAACTGGAACGCGTCTGATACAAGCAGAAGTACATATTGGACGAATTGCTCCCCCCTGACCGTGCGCGAATAGATGCGGCGTCAGGCACGAAGAAAGAGGTTGTGAACCTTGTGAACGAGGGTCTGCCAGGGGGCCAATCCGACCACATGGTTTTGGAATGACACATGAGAACCACTTGGCTGGATCAGGTTCTTGCGAACGAGAAAGTGGTGATGCCTGTAGCACTTTGAGCTTAGGGGATGTTGGCCTATACCATGATGGGAGCGAGCTTATCTATTTGCCACGGACGCGCCGCCGGATGAGGAGTGGTAAGGGGAGACACGGTCCGCACGGAAATAAGGGTGACTAAAATAGATAGACTTCGCGAAAATGCGCTGTCCCATAAATGTCAAATGATATGTTCCAGTAATGGTAACGATAACTACCAACATATTGACCTGTCTCACATATGTCACGCTATTTGCTCCAATTTAGGTATACAGATCCCGGCAAAAAGACCAAATTTTTGTAAAAACTAGTACCCGTTGTGCCGACGGGCACGTTGGTTTTTCAAGCCATCTCCTCGATTAGGCAATTCTTCAAGTTCATTGATCTCGCTTGTCGTCCTGCCCGGCACCCCAAGCCCTCCTGTTAAGTCGCCAATCCATGTCCGGGCTTCGGCAACTGTCACTGAACCTATCGACACTACCTGATGAAACGGATACAACCTGCCACGAAATTAATTGGTAACCTTCTCTGTCAAGGCAACTCCACTGGCAGCGGCATCTTCTAGCAATTTTTTATATCCCTTGACGTCACTAAACAAAACAAGGAGGTTTGTTAGACGCGAAAGTATATAAGATGAGCTCAGCAATTCACTAAAAGTCAGTTCCTTCATCCCCTCTCATCTCCAGCAGCCCCTCTTGTCTCGCACCCTTTCATATACACCCTCCTCACCACATCTTTCAACGAAATAATCATGATGTCCTCCCAGAACGCTCACACTTTCTATGCCGACGCTGTCCTATTCGACATGGTGTGTATTTTCTTCTCTTGGGATTCCAAATCTAACTCTGCCAGTGCTTTACAGGACGGCACCCTCACGGACTCCATCGCAGCTGTCGAGGCAGCCTGGGGTAAAGTCGCCAAAGACATTGGTCAAGACCCCGCTTACGTTATTGCTGCAACCCATGGCAAGCGCGCCGTCGACAATCTCGCCCAATTTAAGCCCCATATCAAGGCACATGAGATGGACGACGAGGTCCAAAATTTCGAGAAGAGCATCCTCTTCTTCGCCGATGCCTACAACAAGTACGGTCCCGGCTCGCAGCTCAACTCACCCGCGAGCTCGCCTGTCTTGAATTCCCCTCTTAGCTCCGGCTCCGCGACCCCTGATCTTTCCTTCTCGCCAAGCAATTCTGCCCCTTCTTCTCGTGCATCGTCATTCGTCTCACCTCGTCGACCATCATTTGCCAGCAAGCTAAATAATATGCTGACTATGTCCGTCGTACCCGAAGTTGCCGTCTACGGCCAGGGTCCCCAATTCGAAGACTCCATCATGGAAGAAGATCAGCAGGACATCGTTATGTTCGAGGCCAATCAGAAGAAACACGTTCTCGAGGCTTGGCAACAGGAAGCAACGAGTGTTGATCGCTCAGTGCGGATTTTGCCCGGTGTTAAAAGGATGATGAGCTCCATTCCTGAAGGTCGTTACGCTGTCGCCACCTCAGGTGCAAAAACATATGGTATGCGAATTTTTATTTACGATGAAGTATCATGCTAATTATCGTTGCAGCATATGGTTGCATGACTCGCGTTGGCATCACCCCGCCCAAGGTAACCATTACCGCAGACGACAAGCGTCTCAAGGCTGGCAAGCCTGCCCCAGACCCATTCCTCCTCGCTGCTCGCGAACTCGGTTTTTCTGCGAAAAACTGTGTCGTGTTCGAGGACTCCCCAAGTGGGATCCGCGCAGGCGTGGCTAGCGGTGCCATCGTAATTGCTGTGTGCACCAGCCATGAGAGGAAGCACATCGAGCACGTTGGCGCCCACTTTGTGGTGGAAAACATGGACAAAGTGAAGTGCGAGCCGTGTGCGGACGGCAGACTGAAGTTTACCGTGCAGCTATGATTGTTCCTAGAGTGTATGTATGTATCCCTATCTTAACCTTCCTCCAGTGGAAAGGCCGCGCTACATCCGTTGTCATCTTCCTTTTTTTATTTCCATTTGTACGACACGATTCTTGCTCAGATCTGCACTCTACTTAGGGATGCTTGTACACATACAGAGGACTTGAATACTCATGTAATTTCGAATAGCATTCTCAATCTAGCAGCGCCGCGCGTCTCATTCGATGACGAGATGGCGGTATAGACTCGAAAGACTGGTGAATTGTACTGGATGATAGCTGGCCCGATTTTGATCTCCCGTGACCCTTACAGGGTACAGTCCTCGGTGAAGAAGGGTAAGACTAGCGCCACTGTATAATACTGGGGGATGCGTTCTGAACTCAAATGCACTGGTTGGAAATCACCTGTTCCAAATTGTAAGTTACTACCAATAAGTAGAGTTCTTCTGTACCAACCCCATCATGGCGAAGACGAAGATCTCGATTCCGATTGATGAAGAAGACAAGAAGCCTTCCCGAAATCAAAGATCGCATAATAATGTTTGACAAAAACCGGAGAAGTCGGCATCAGGCTAGCGCTTGGAAGACGAAGCGCTCCATAATAATTTCAGATATTCCAAACTTGAGCATACCAAAAAAACAGGTATTATGGGGTATCTTCCATTCCTGCTCTATGACAACGAGTCCCATCCGTTGAATTGTCCCCATAACTCTTCTTCCCAGCGACCTCGTCCAAAAACGCGTTTGAAAGCTTCACGCACTGCTCGTAGACCTCTGTGAACCCATCCTGCGCACGTGCCATCAGAGTCCAATCCCGCGACACCAAAACGGACTCACCAGTCCCCCATAATACGGGTCCTGAATCGGCTTGTTATCCGGGAGGTAAGAGCCCCAAAGCCTCACTACCGCTTTCGATCCCTCCCTACGACCCACATGCCGTTCCAGCGCGCGGAGATTAGACCCATCAGCTGCGAGTATATAGTCAAAAGACGTGAAATCGGACGCGCGGACTTGTCGCGCAGAGTGGGATATAGGAACGCTTTTCTGCACGATCACGATAGTGCTCCTACGTACATATTAAGATGCTGGGCGAGGAAAGGAGCATGGCATACCGTGCCGCATACTTCGATAGTCCTGTGCCACGATGCCGTAGTAGCCTGAGTCTGGGAGTCATACGAGAGTATGAAGGGTGCTTACCGTTCGTCAGGATCTTCCCCGATATGTGCAGCAGCTGTGCCAGCGCTGTCGACGTGGATATTGGTGATGCCGCGCTTGAGGGCTTCGTTGCGGAGCACGGCTTCTCCCATGGGAGAGCGGCAGATGTTGCCGAGGCAGACGACGAGGACTGAGATCGTCATGTGTTGGCTTAACGAGGCTAGCGTGGTGAGTAAAGAGGTCTTATCGGATTGTTATCAGCAAGAAGCGAATCTTCATGCATGCATGTGGCGCCTAGGATTACCAGGCTCACACGGTTTCATGATTTCATTAGAGCAAGGAAGCGTCACTAGTACACATGTAGTTACCAGCAGAACTTGGCTTCAAGTCTACTCGGAGCAGTGCACTGATCATCATTTGCTCGTGTTCCTGACTAGGACTGGTGTGGTTCTCCGGAATGACTCATGATCATGATCAATTCCGAGTCGGAAACGTATTCGATCAATGTCTATATTACACCCGCCGCACAGACAGGTACCCTATGTGTCCCAAAAAAAAACCCGAATAACACATACTATGTACAACTTTTTTGTGACTGGTTTTGTTCGTAGCAGTCGTTCAGAATGACATTACGGTCATCAAAGGCGTTAGATGGTCGGAGGCGAGAACAATAGAGGTCAGTCTTCGATAGGATGCTGGCACTGCATCCAGAATGGACCTGCCAAGGCAGGGCGTTAGCCGCTGATGTGAGAAATCGACCTGAAAATATTTGCACATACCGATGGGATCCTGTGGGTCATGCAAGGTCGTAGACCAAGCCCCAAGAACTCCATATTGAGAACGGATGTTGCCCATAACAATCGCTTCCCCCCTGTTTTAGAGTATATGGTTACCAAATGATGAACAATGTAAGCACAAGGACCATACCACCACACTGGCTGATCTCCGTTACCAGCGACCTATACCCGATCTTGGCGTCAGCGAGAACAAATTGACTTGTCTGGTGTACTTACGAAGTGCCACCGTACCTGGTGGTCAGGCGTGAGTTTGACGTAGCCAACGATGGAGAAATTGCCATCCATCTCTCCTACGTAGTTGATTTTTGGTCGGGTCGGATGATCCGGGTCTCGCTCCACATTGATCACACGGAAAAATATGTCTACCGCGCTGAACGTCTCCTCTAACTCTCCATCTTCGAATATAGTGTGATCAAGTGGCTCGTCCTCTGGCAACTGTAAATGTCTGTCAGATGGCACAATAATCATAGGTAACAAGGGCAGTAGAACGTACATTGGGATCATTGTAAACTGGACGGGAGCAATGTGCCACGTCAGAGACAACTGAAGAACAAGAACATTGATGACTCACTTAATAATTCCCGGTGATCCATGAAACAATAAGAGATCCGCCACAAGCCTTCGACGCCAGCCCAATCAGTCTCTCGGCTCAGATCCAGACTGGGCGGTATGACGCCCTGACAGAAAGGCAGGCTCATGGAGCAAATTTCAAAAGCAAGTTCTTCATCCTCCTCCTTCTCCACCAACGCGCTAGCGAAGACATGTGCGAGCTTCTGCATATGCACCCAATTGACCACCCCACTCCCATCTCGCATAAAAGGCCCAAAGCTGTTTGACGGCAGGTAGTTGCGCTGGCTGTAAACATACGCTCGGGAAACCACTCTCTTCGTTGCCAAAGCGTCTCTGTCAGTCAACCCAAACCATGTGTGCAGGCGTGCGCGCAGCTGTTCTTCTTCATGGGAATGGCTCTCCAGATCAAGGAACTCGCCGTCCTGCAGGAGCGTCTGCATCCACACCACATTACGGGACGTCGGCTCGCTCTCAGGGAAAGGTAGAGGCGGTAAATTCGTCACCATGTCAAGCAGGGTTCGTAGTACCTGACATCTTTCATCTGGTCGACAGACAGTAACATCATTCACGACTGTCCTCGCGCGGATGATGTTTTGTAGTTCCTCCCTCCATTTGATGTCAGTCCGGCGATTGCCGAGGTATGTGACCGCTTGACGGGGGTCATCAAATGATTGCGCCAAGTAAAGAGCTCGCCAGAAATGCTCATCATCGGCAGAGTAGACGAGCCCGCGGAAGAGTTGACATACTTGGGCTGTACTTGCGACATCAAGAGGATCCAAAATCACCAGAATGTGCTCTAATACTTCAAGCGGCAGATCGGTTATACGAGCAGTGTCAGAAACCATTGGACAGCGTCAAGCCGAGGACGTCAAGAACGACCGGAGGCAAGGCTAGCTACGCTGGGGGACCGTTCAACTGGGTTAGGAAAGGAAGGGTTTCTGGGAGATGATAGCGGATCATGATATAGTTCAATAAACACTCGAAAAAATTCTTTCACTATCGGGTCGTGTGGGTAGCATGCTCTGAATCGAGCAACTTACTAAAACCAATAGAAATTATTTTCGATGTGGAAGTATGGCTGCCGGCGCAAAAAACCACGGTCCAGTCACGGACGGTCACGCAGTGACGGACAGTGACCAGGTGACCGTCGAAAGTTTGGACAAATCGCGATCGGCGCTAGAAGAGACACCGGACACCCCTCAGCGCTCAGCTAGAGGCACGCGAATTCAACGAGGCGCGAGATCCGACGCTGCCAAACGTCTCTTTTCTGAACTGCCCTCGTTGCAGCACCAGCCAAAACGATGAAGAATCCCAAGGCCCAGCAGGTGCCAAGTTCATCGCAGTGCAGTGATCATGATGGCCCTCACGTCACACCACACGGGCGTCTGAGTCTTGCGCACGAGAAAATGCGGAGGAAGTTTGGGTATGGGTAGTCCACTCACCGAAGGCATGGGGTCTGGAAACGAATGGGAGCACGAGTTTTCAAAAGGAGAGACGGTTTGTGAGAGTAGAGACAGTTTGGATTTGAAGATGTGTGCTGACTAGTGTAGTACCTGCAGGAATGCTCCATTGCCGGCATCGAGCTGCTACTGCCACATTGAGTTAGCAAAGGCTCCATGCGGTTCGGAAGATAGGTCCGCGATGTCACACCATTTGGGAGGGTCTTTTTTCGCCCAAGAAACTCTAGTGGGACGGGCAGGATTCTCTGCCAAAACCAAGGGACCCACGCTCATATCCACCATCCGGCAAAGAAAAAGACCGTCCTGGCGTGCTAAAGACAGTCGCACGCGCGCTAAAGACAGTCCCAAGTCTGATATATCTATTGTGGTGCTCGCTGGTTTGGCGTCTATTTCGGTGCTGTGTCTGTAGGTCCTAAATTCTGTGTTGATGCAAGACATGGTTGACCCTGATCATATCTCTGTCAACTAGCGTGCCCTCTCAACAGCGTCAATGGTGGCAATTCTGCTTTTGGTAGGCCGGTGGTAACTTAGTAAGTCCAGGATGCCAGAAGGCATGCGCACCATTATCTGATCCTCAACCTACAGCTTCTGCAGTGTCCTCTCGACGCCATCAATCCACTACCATGGCCACTCTGTCTCTCTGTAAGTGACACATCCGTCTTTTCATGTGTTTAAGTGACTCTTAGTACAGGCGCTAGATTATCAAAACTCACCATTCTTGCAAGACGCTGAGATCACTGTATCCCCCAACCCTATCTTAGTCATGCATGTCCTCAAAGCTCGCTGTTCTTGCAACATGCTGGGATCGCTCTACCTCCCGACCCTATCTTATTCATGCGTGTCCTTCCAACGAAGATGTACGATCAACATTATACGCAAAAACCTCCACTTGAGTTCTCATTCTTGATGATCAAACTCGTCCAAGAACCCCAGGATTGCCTGGCGCTTATCAGCGCTGGCATCAACAACCCGATTACGTCCGACCAACGCTCTGTAAGTGACACATTCATTTTTTCATGTGTTTAAGTGACTGTTAGTACAGGCGCTAGAGTATCAAACCTCGCTGTATCCCCCGACCCTACCTTAGTCACATGTGTCCTTCCAATGCCGAAAATCCACTATGGCAATCCTGCCTCTAGTAGAACGGTGGTAAGTCCAGGTTGCCAGAATGCTTATGACGCAATGATCTGATTCTTTACCTAAAGCAACCGCAAAATGGATCATGGAAGAATGTAACCGATCAGACCTTTCTGCCGCAAATTTTTACTGCTCAATGCAAAAGTCCCACCCAACATCGCATCCCTCCTCTGAAGGCAAACATAGGTAAACATGTGCGCATTTTTTAGGGGGCAGCACACTAACTTGTTCCTGCACACATCTGTGCACTAGCTTAGATACACCAGTGCGCAACAATAAACCAAAGGGATTACTTGTCATCATCATGGGCATAAATGGCCTGTGGGAGGTATGTGTGCCTGCCACTTAAACGATTTCGGACCTCATTGGCTTTACAGTTACTTGAGCCTGCCGCAAAAACGGTACCTGTTGTCTCTCTTGCCCTCCAGGGCCGCTACATAGGGCCTGCCCCTCACCTGCCCTATGTGGTGGGTGTTGATGCAAGGTCAGCGTTTGGACATCAGCTGCGTCCACATTTAACACTAATGTCTACTACCATCCAGCGGATGGTTCGAACAGTGCCAACAAGGCAAGTGGCACCGAGCGCATACTCAGACTGGGCAGAATCCCGCCCTACGAACATTTCTATTCCGACTCGCCCGACTCGCCCAGTATCCACTGCAACTTATCTTCTGCTATGATGGTAATCAGCGGCCTGGTGTCAAGCGAGGACATACAGTGTCTTTGAATGAACACTGGATGGTGAAGCCAACGCAGCGCATCTTGGATGCTTTCAACACTGAGTGGATTGTGGTGCGTTTAATTTTCTGTCCTCTATCCTTATGTTATTCAAGCCTGATATCCAGGCTGCGGGGGAAGCTGAGGCGCAGCTGGCCTTGATGAACAGGGCTGGTATCATCGACACTGTCATGACAGATGACAGTGATATCTTTGTATTTGGTGCCCAAACTGTCCTTCGAAAGTCAGTGTTCTTCTTCCACGTCCATGTCCTCCTGACCCTGTCCTCCTGCCTTAGCTCGACATTTTTGTCCGACACCATCAAGATTTATACTGTCAGCACCATCCAGGAACACGTCGACCATTCTCTTACTGGTGATGCTTTTGTTACCATTGCTATTTGCTGTGGGGGTGATTATGATAAGGTAAGCATCGAGCTGCCGTTCGGCGGAGATCAATTGCCACTAACATCTGTCTCAGAATGGTCTTCCAGGGTGCGGACGCGAGACTGCACTTGGTCTGGTCCGCTGCATGGACAATAATATGCTACGCAGTGCCATGCACAGTGGTAACCAGGACTTGTCCCTCCAACAGTGGCGGAACATTGCTGAATATCACCTTGCAAGCGATCCAACTGGCAAAATGGGCCGATCACATCCAGCCCTCGCTCGCTCACTTTCTGATTCCTTCCCTAATCCAGGAATCATCAATTTGTATGCACATCCTGCTGTGACTCCGCTCACTGAGCTGCCCAAACTGCGACCTCCAACCCCACCTAACCTCGCTCGGCTTGCAGCTCTTATTCAGCAGCTCCTGGGCTGGGACTCAAAGAAGCTTCTCAGCACTTTCCGCACTACTGTCTGGCCTGTTGTCATCTTGCATGAGCTTCTGGAGGACCTTGCCAATAACTCACCTATGAGCAATGAGGTCTGTGGACCGTGTCACTCTATCTGAATATACTAACTTGATGCAGATTGACCTTGCCTCGGGCTGCACAAGGGCTGTTTTTCTCAACCGTGCATCACGCCCAAAGAAGGCAATTGTAGGAATTTCGGGGCATAACAGTGACGTGCCCACTGATACACTTAAGAAAGCCACACTCCGGCTACTTGAAGAGTCAGCTGAAGGCTGTCAGGATGACTTGCATAAGTATGTTCGAGTATGGCTTGCTGACCGAATCTATGACTGTTGGGTGCAGACAATGTTCCTGTCGTCTTCAGGTGATCCTCAAATTGAGGTATGTCTATCAATAACACTGTCGTCGTTCATGCTGACAAATGGATAGAGTAGTTCATTGTCGACATCGCGTGTGGTTCCCCAACTTGAGGTATGTCTATCAACAACACCGTTGTCATTCATGCTGACAAATGGATAGAGTAGTTCATTGTCGACATCGTGCATGGTTCCCCAACTTGAGGTATGTCTATCAACAACACCGTTGTCGTTCATGCTGACAAATGGATAGAGTAGTTCATTGTCAACATCGCGTGTGGTTCCCCAACTTGAGGTATGTCTATCAACAACACTGTCGTTGTTCATGCTGACAAATGGATAGAGTAGTTCATTGTCAACATCGCGCGTGGTTCCCCAACTTGAGGTATGTCTATTAACAACATTGTCGTCGTTCATGCTGACAAATGGATAGAGTAGTTCACTGTCGACATCGCATGTGGTCCATGGATCATCTGCAGGTGTGGTCCCTGTGGGTGCTGCCTCTCCTGCGAGCATTATTGACCTCACACAAGAGGAAGATGAAGTAGTGCTTGCAGATGGTATTATAATTGATCTCACGGGTGACAACGAGGATGATTGTGAATTGATTGATCTCACCCTTTGATACAAAGCTTGACATATTGTACTTGTATCTCCTCTGAAGCTTTTCATCACATGTATAGTATTATGAACTAATGCTATTGGTTTGGTCTCGGGTACGACAGGAAATGAGGCCATTATTGTGATGTCAAAGTTCACCAGTACTTGTCACCCTACTACAATCAAGCACATAAGCAGCCTCGGCCACATTGTGGACACTTGATAGCTGGACGCTGGTTGGGATTGAAAAAATGGTCCCTTGGCTCTGCAGGGTCATCATTTGAAGATATGAGATACTTGACTATTGTCATGTTGGTGAATTCAGTGCTCCACCCCCCCCACTCACAAATCCTTCTCAAGGGCCAGCGCCTTTCTATATGCAAATATTGGCAGCCTCCCCGACGAAATGAGTGAGTGCCATAAGGGGCAGGGTCAATATTTATGTCAAGAAGGTTGTTTCGAAACAGCTCTAAGAACTGTTCTGAGGACTAGAGGGGTACCTTTAGCTGTTTTCATTGAGGTACACATCAATCACACACCATAGGGTTATTTGCCACTGCTATCCGGTCACCAGATGCCATTTTTCGGAAAACATAGCCTGTTGTTATCTGTGACTCATCAAGCCAAGCAGCAAGTGCTCTTGTAGGACAGAGATGGGCTTCATTAGATGAGAGGGTCCAGAGATGAAAGGGTTTAATATCTACAATCATATATTTCAATCATAGTTTGCAATTTAAATACAGATTGAACACAGACCTCCATTTTGGTGGGTTTTGCGAAAGGGGAGATACAGCACAACCTGATTGTTCTCCACATGAAGATCATGGACCTGTATCTTGAGGACCTCAGTCAAACCGCAACATACATAAGAATGCCACTGTATATGCAGCCTGCAGAAGCCTTCGGACACGCCCACCACCCCAGTGGTCCAAGCTTTCAGCAGTTTTAGAGCCTCCTGCAGGTTTTCGCTCGCCAGGTTGATATGGCTGGACAGTCCAGTTCTCAGGAAGGTGGTTGTGATGGTACAGTCGAAGTAATATTTCCTGTGAACAATTCCTACCAATGAGATATTGAAATATTCAACATGACTCACTGATGTTATAGCACGGGCACTGTTTGCAACCTCACCAGCTTGAACCTAGCATAGTTGGATCAGCCTCAAATCACCCAAAATCACAAAGCACTACCTTGCGTCTCCGAAGTGAACACATGAAAGATGAAACTTCAACTGAGATTGAAGGGTTGCCAACCATGGTGGCACCAACATCGGATTCATGCCATGGCATGTTCCCAAGACCATTGAGCTTACCAAAGGCATAGGTCATTGAGGCTCGCATTTTCTGAGCATGTCCATATGTCCCCCGTTCCTGGGCAGATGGCTTTGTAGTGCCATCAAGATTGATAGAGTCACAGCTTCCGTGTCAGACATGTCAGCATTAGAACGACAGATTGGCTCCATGGAGTGATGGCACTCACGTGTTCATAATCCATGCTACAATTATCAAAGGAGCATCAGCCCGTGGTCTCTTGCTGAAGAATTCTTCATCTGGCCCCAGAAGGTGGATCCCAATAGCAAACGAGACACATGAATTCATTAACCTGGAGCATAGTAGTAAGTGACCCATTGGCAAACGAGTTGCTGACTATTCACCTCTTGTATTCGGCATCTGTGCCATCTGTGACACCCTTGGAAGCTTCCATGAGAGTCTCCTGCAGTTTAGCAAAATCAGGAGCATGAATTGACCCAGTATTCATCGTTTCGAGACCAGTGCTGGGCTCAATTATAGTCTCCTGTTCTGCTGCAACGTCCTCTTCAATATCATCTGTCTCGAGGCCAGCAGCAGATCCTGAAAGCACCCCATACAGACCAGGAAAACATTGCACAGGGTTAACCATCGCAGCCATAGGTTGATGAAAATCTCCGTTGTCAGGGCTTGGACTGAGTGAAACATCGTGTTAGTTCAACTTTGGTGGGCCGGCGGCCCAGTATGTCTGTTGGCCATTAGGCACTGATACTCGTATTACTGGTTGCCATTCTCAAATATTGTACTGTGCAAAAGGAAATCCTATCTATGAAACTTCACACTGGACCTTTGCCTGTCAACTCGGTGTACCTTTTTGCAATAGCAGACGGCTTGGTCATGACATACTCTTTGCCCCCCCTCCGGTAAGTAAAATGAGCATTGAACGTGGCACCAAACTCTTCATATGCCTGTTGCATGATGTGGGAGTGGGTCTCCTTGCGCACATCGCGCAGCTTCTGAATAATAGTGGTGAAGGTCATGTGTTCTCCGTCAATACTGAATTTGGCCCAGAACTCCTCCGGGCTGCCTTGACGATAGCATTGAATGATGTCCTGGATGCCCAGAGAAGAGGAAGGTCAGTTAGATGCAATGGAGCAGCTCAATTTTGCACCCACACGCCAGTCCGTCCACTTATTCTTTGTCCCCTTCCACTGCTGGTCCCTGCCATAGCGATAGAGTACAGGCCAGTGCTCGATTGCAATTGGGTGGCCCTGGATGACAATAAACGATGCACCTTGCCAGTGCTCAGTGTGGTCATCCCACATGCTGTTGAGGCTTGAGATGTCGTTTGAGAAGCTGATGGCAGGAGGATCAGGAATATCGCTGTCGTCCAGTTGTAGCATAGTGCCATCTCCGAGCTTGAGCATGCGAGGCTTGTTTGTGTCAGGCTTGGCTGGTGTCTGGGATTCTCTCGCCACACTGTGTCCCGATGCGATGATATCAGTGGAGCAAGTAGCTACCACCCCATGTTCCTCGGCACCTAGTATAGGCAGGGATGCAGCAGTGCCCGGTTGATGGAGGGCATCTTGCACAAGGTTGACAAGCCTCGTACTCGCATTTTGGATGATAGTGTCCTGCAACTATGCACCTGTCAGCACATCGTGTCCATAGTAAGTGGGAGAGACAGCAGCAAGAAAGCTCACCTCATTGATGTAGCTGACAGAGAGTGCACTCGTGCCAGCAGGCATCCCACCCATAGGATAATGACTAGGTCCAGCGTCGGCGACTGGAGCCGTGCCATCTGTTGTCTGGTATGGATACTCCGTGCAGATCATCTTGGCCTGTCAGGCCAATGGTCAACCAGTCCAACATGACAGAGACGAATCAAAAAAAGAAGAGGAAAGAAACAGTGGCTCACCCATGGTAACAGTACAGCAACCTCAGCTGAGGTGCGCGTGTCCTTTGATCGATCAGTGACAGTCACAGTTCCATTGATAGCATTGGCGCCTGGAATGAGCTGTGCGCGGCGCTGCGTAGACTTTTTGGTACGGCTCATCCTGGGCTTGTCTACAGGCCTCCTCACTCGAGGTCCCTTATGAGACCTGTGGGCACCTGGGTGGGCACTCCAGTAACAGTTCAGCTCCCAGGTTGAATCAAGTCAAAATAGTCGCGCACCTGTTCCATGACTCAGGATTGCGGCTGAATGCCTCCAGTCGTTCAACTAGCACGGTCTTGTTGCCCGTCTGGGAGAGGCTGAATTCGATGCAGTGTTGCTTCAGCACTTTCGCAGTCATGTTATAGCTGTGGTACCATTATGAGTGTCACAAGGAGGCAGGCGAGCGACACATTGAAACTTACATGTGGAGGTATTGAACTGATGGCCCTCCGTCCTGCCTGAATCGCAGTGGAAAGGGAAGGGACTGCTCGTCAGAGGAGACTGACAGACAGTTGCTCCGAGGGCTGCCTTGAGTTTCACTAAGTTGAAGTGCACCTGGCACTCGGTCATGAGTACCAGCATCAGCATTCCAAAATGCCTCATTACCGTTACCATCTGAGGTGGGACACGATCCGGAAGTGCTGGCGGTGTTCATTTTCACGAAGCTGGGGATGTTGTTGATGCCTCTTTCAGTCACTGTTGCCAAGGAAGGCTCGTGCAATGCAGGATCTCCACCAGGGATATGTTCCGGCGAGAACGACGATGGATCTCCACCAGGGATATGTTCCGGCGAGAACGACGAAAGCTGAAACACCAAAGATGATGGCGAAAGAACTGGCCTCGTTGAGTTCGGCCGGTGCTAGTGCATCAGGGGTGCTCGGGTCTGCAGCCGAGCTGGAACCGTTCGAGAGAGTGATGAGTGAGCTGAAGGGGTTGGGCTGCTGGAGCACTGTATCATCAATGATGGAGGAAAGTATGTGCTCCACGACGTGCTTGGCAGCGAGCAATGGGATCTGGGGGACGGGCACGTCAGCATTGCAAACGCTATACTCACTTTCGAGCCTCAGCGCTCAGCAGGCAACTGACAAGACCGTCCGTGCTTAAGTCAGCATCTCTGGGACGGCGTTCGCCGAACTGTCACACCCCAAACAGGACGGTGGTTCTCTGTCGAGATGTGGAAGTGATCAGTGACTGTCCTCCCTGAGTGTGTGTACACTACTTTTACTCGGGGGCAGGGTGTGATTCCGGCATCAATTCCTCGGCACCAGCGGCTTAGGGGTGATTGATGGTGGTCACTGCCAGGGGCTGCGGTTAGCCATTCTCTATATATACCGTTGAAGTCGCACTTTCGGTATACATACTTTGACATCACAAACGTTATATGACACAAACCGGTGAGTAAAGCTACTGTACTGCGCCCTCAGTCTAATGAAATCTCTGAAATGGTTGAGTGGTGAGTACGTGAGGTGGTAGTAGCGTGGTCGACCCGACAAAGAAGTGTCACTAGCATGTCTGCAGCATCCGACACGTCATGCCTCAGTTCCCAGTACTCGGTATGCTGATGCGGTATATCATCTCGCACACATATCGGCGCTGAGTTAGGATGGACAGAGAGCCAGAATTCGCCCGCGCCGCGTTGCCTTGGTTGCAGAGCGCGTGGTTCGTACCGCAATGGGGGTTGAATGCGGCACGGCGACAGAGAGGGAACAAGTAAACAAGAGATCACAGAGAAGTATGCATGGACTGCTCACAGAATCTGACACGCAGCACGGCGAAATCGAGATTTCGGGTCGCTTGGTACCACCAAATTGTTCTTGCGTTCGTACGTCCATCTCTAGATCTGTCAGCATTCGGTTGAGCAACTGCCTGATGGGTGCACAGATCCATATATTTTTCAATCGAAAAAATAGATTCGCTACCGGTAGGTCGCTACCATTTTTAGAGGTGGAGGTTGAAAGGCGTCCTTGACAGCATGCAAAAATGCCTATTAGAGCCTAGCCTGCTAGTGCTCTTCATGGGCAGATAGCTGAAGAAAGCCTGCTAGTGTTCTTCGTGGGCGGAATGCTCGATGAGCAAAAGACCTTTCGCCAAAAATCAGACAATGGCTTTGGCAGTCATAGCTTTATTCTCTCAGATCGTGCGACGCGCTACGCAGCCAGGCGTGGGTAGCTTGAAGTAATAATGCGGTATGTATTTATGTACTCACAAGAAGAGCCTAGCCGGCTAACGAATGCGCGGTACATATAATTATGTGACGGCGAGATTTAGACTGGGGCTCAAAGCGGAAATTGAGTAAAGGTAATGTTCCAGACGTCGATGCGGATCGAAATTGGAGTCGAGAGAATGTGAGAACTTGAAGTTGAGACTTCCTGCCCCGGTGGCGAAAAGTTGGCGCGCCGAGGCCATTATAATGTGGTATTCGGAAGTGATGAATGAAGGTTGCGCGTCCATTGCTATACACGCCCGTGTTCGCGACCAGATCTAAACCTGTGCCAAGTTGCTACGTCGGCTAGTGGGATACAAGGTGAGTACGTTGCTGCTGCGCACCTGAATTAGCCATTTTATTCATTGTTCTCCGTCCGTGGGTGTGATATAGTCCATGTCCTCGACAGGCTTTTTTCTGCTGTCGCGCCAGCATCAACGATGGGAGTGATTGATTCCTACAGGACCTGAGCATCTCGATGTACCAGACCGGGGGGGATTGAACAACCGCACGTAAGCGTCTAAAACTGGTCTGCAGCAGCTCAACACGCTGCATAAACGTGCCTTGAACTTTGGTTTAATATTAGGTGCGGAAGAGGTTAATTTCGTCGCGAACCACCACATATATGGCTCAAGTGCCAAAGCGCCAAAGACTCGAGACAATCGGGAGTTTTAGATGTTAAACGCTCATGAAACGACTTGGAACGTTAATCTGCGTTTAGCTATAGCATATGAGACCCAGATTTGCACTGCAGGTAAGGTCAAACTTTATTTTGAGAAAAAGGGACACAGCTTCAATTGGCAACAGGGATGAAATCGAGAAACAAGAGAATCGTCAGATTGAGTTGGAGTTTATTGTCCCGAACAGTGATTATGTAACAGGACAAGAATGAAAAGCGCTTGAAGGAAACCGTGAACAAAATAATGCATGGCTAACACGTTTTTACCCTTCACAACATTCTTTTCTATATTTCCTCTCGTTGGCAGGCCCATCTAGGCTTCTACTCTCAAGAACGTCATAGACGCTCTCCAAGTCTAGGCACACAGAATTCGAAAGACGTACGATTATACTTATTAACGTTGTACTTCAGCGCCGTCCTGATTACTGCACCATCGCCGATGCCCGCAATGGTTTCTGCTAGAGGTCCACCGACTAGCCCACCCGCGCCCGCACGTCCACACAAACGATCGACAAATTATGGATACTACAACCCTATGGATGGTGGCGGGAGTATGCTTTCTGTACGTTTGTTCTGTCCCATTTGCCGTAGGGTGTTGATGTAAGAAATACGTTATGCAGCAAGTCCAGGACACCTATCCGCCGGGCCTTGGAGAACCCATAAACGTCATCATCTCTGCCTATTCTGATTCTCAGGTGCTGCAGGATACTACGGCAAACGGTGGTCTCATCAATTATTTTCAGTGAGCACAGTCCTCTGTTCTCGTGGAGCTGTTCTTACGTGCAGGCAGGTCATTTGGGTTCTCGACCGAGTGTTTGGGACAGACTGACCCTAGCGAGCAAACCGCTAATCTCGGCGACGGGAACGGTGACCGTACGTCTTCTATTTTGTAATTCGGCTCCGCTCAGAGCTCAATATTCCAGTAAACGAGACCGCTGTCATTCGGTGGGACTATGGCGATGCAAACCTTGGAACATGCCAAGAGACTGTCGAAGGAGGGAACCACTTTCGCTATTGGGTACAGGATGGGCAAAGCGCTGACTCGGGCGCGATATTCATGGCAACTTCATATGAAATGCCTATCGCTGGTGCGTCCGAGAAGTAACTTTGATAAGAATTTTCAATGACCATGTTGCAGACTCGCATAATATCATAGTTAATGGGTGCGTGCCTGTTGTTTCTCAACTGCCTTCGACTTATATTCCGTAGCTATAACCTAGGTCGAGACTGGCTCGTAGGGAATGTTACTTCTCAATCGACAATTCTTCCGACAGCAAACATCACCAACACATCGACGTACTCGGGGCAAACATCATTTAATAATTTCACCTATGCGACCACTGTGACGTACGTCTCTGGGCTGCTACAGAACACTAGCGAAGGCATCAACCACTATCAGAGTGTCGCTGTCGATGGGCTAAATGCGATTGATGGACTAGTGGCGGTATTAACTGTCAAGATGGTCCAGCAGCCCGGTGGCAGTAGTAGTTCGAGCGGGTGGGTTCCCATCTCGGTTGCGACTCATGTCCATCTGTGCTAACTTCGTGTAATATATTAGTGCGGAATGCACGTATCGTCCTAAAGGAATTTTGTGGACACTGCTTGCAATGTCATGCGCGATATTCGTGTCATTGCTCTAGATTTATAGGCCTCGTTATAGATATTCTCGAACAGTGGTTACACTGCACGATATTACCTCGGACGTAGTTCTCGGACAACGATCCTTTATTGCTAACCCTGTCTGGAGGTATGCCTCCCCATAGTATATTTCATCTTTTATCTTACCAGCTGATTGATACTCACATGTACATTTCTGGTATACCGCTACTTATGCCTTCACTTGTAAGTTCAGTACTCAGACCATAACTTCTGCGACTTAGACATTTTCACTTTGACGGATTGTCTGTATCTATACATATATTTCATCAGATGAGGCATATCATAAAGTCCTTAAAGGCTTGTATATAATGTTATGGTGACATTTATTTCATGTTACATGAGGATCAATGATGCTAAATATTGGTGGGTATTGGATTGCATGAGGTCGCTGCGGACGACTAATAGCCAGACCTTTCGTAGGCAGTTTCCTTCGCTGTAGAACAATCAGCTCGGGTGTCACGAGTAAGATCTGCGATACTTACCATGATGCTTGGCCTTTTGCCTGTCTAACATGTCCAACTAGAATAATAAGTCAGGTTATGTGTTGCACAGACAATCGACTGGGATAAAACGTACACCCTTCGTCTCGGCCATGTGGTCGATGAAGGCTCCGGCAAATCCGGCTCTGTGACCAAAGTCAGTTGCGATCATGTCTTTCGAGGCCGAGAGACTTACAAGAGCTCCTTGGCCTTCTCGTGGCTTACAGGCTTGCCGTTCTTCTCGCAGTGGTTATTGTAGGCTTTCATGGCCTACAATGATATTTTGAGGTTCGATGGGAGGATCGATTATAAGGATAACTCACCTCGTAAGAAGCCGCAGCAGCGATCAGCTCATGAGAGAGCTTTGCCTGATGGTGTGCATTAACGACCTGCGATGCTCACGGTTAGATATGATGTGTATTGAACAATTGGTATAAATTAGTATACCTGATCGTGTGCGTTAGCAAGGTCTTCGTGTCTGTTGTGATGGTGGGGCATTGTGATAAGGGTGGTGGTGATTGAGGGAAATTATGGTCGGAAGGATGAGGTACTTATACTGTTCGCGTTCCATTGGCTGACCAACTTTAGCACGGGTTTAGCAGTTTCTTTACATTTCTGGGGATCTTGTTGATGTTTCGGTCGGGTTTGAGGGTCACCGTGACGCCGACTCTCGCATAGCTAGCAGGGCATCATAGCATTATCTTATCTTAATCCCATTAGGAAAGTACAAGTGCATCCGACAAAATTACGTAATAAACTCTGTTTGACTCATGCTCCATTCCACTGTGTCAATGCGAGTCAACCTTCCGAGCAACTTCCGAGTCAGTCTAGGATTTGGACTGCCCGCAGGTGACTATATAATCCTGTCTGCTTGACCCTCCTAATTTACTTGCTCTCATGTCTCCAAACTTTTCCTTTGTGTTCCATTCTCCCTGAAATTGTGGCATCGCCTTGCCGCAGTCTGAGCAGACACTGCTCCTACTAAGTTCTGGCGCACTGCACTACTCGCTTGTGAAAAATTCCTATAGGTAATGCCGAGGACGCGAATATTCGAACTTTTCACCGCCCCCACATTGCTGCACAGCATTTGCCATCGAAACTTATGGAGACCGCAGTGTCAATCATGGCTTAATCCAGGTTCCGACCAGAATTTCACAAACGGTACATGGCGACACGATTTATCACGATACTAAAGATGCATAGCTTACTTACTAACCGTGCATCAGACTGTTAGCATCGAACGCACTTGCCGGCCACTTGGCGACGCTGGTGACAGGCAGACCTGCGTTCCTTGGTGCCATCACTGGCTTGGAATTTTTCCGTCACCTCATTTGAGGACACGGGATACAGAACAGAGATCAGAAACAATTCACTGGATCGGTTCTCCAAAAACAGGATTGATCATGTGCCTTGGTCCGTCACATGTAATCATTGCGATGGTAATCGCCTAATCAAGCGGACAATGGTGCTGGAGACAGTTCTGCGCCATTCCTGAACAATCGCCTCTCGCACAGAAGCTTCCGGCATCCACTAGCTTGCGGCAATCAGACAATATCGGAGCGTCACTTCTTCCGTGCATCTTATTGTTCCAGAAGCAACTACATCTGTGGGGTCGAGATTCGACTGCGGATTAATAACAATAGCTCTCGCAATCGGCGACGGTGTAGATCTATGCACTCGCAGGTATCGCAGTCGAACACTTTCACTCGCAGTAGCTGCGATCGCGCAGCCTCCTTGGTTCCCACGCATTACTCGCTAACACATTGTACGACGTGTACTCTGGTAGTGATGTGTCCGCAGCTGAGCATGATATTCACAAGGCTATGCAACTAGTTGCTCGGCAAGCCATCCGATTGGCACTCGTGATGGGACAGCGGGCCGCCATCCTGGTATGCCGCGCCCAATTTTCTCAGTCATGGTTGTCGAAGGCGTCTAAATGTGAGTCAGGATGCGGTAACGACGGCTTAGCCATTAATGGAGTCCCGATGCCACCGGAATGACTCAGACGGTGTTCCATGGTTTTCGAGTATTCTCCAACGTTTGAACTGCCATTTTTTTTGTGGCTTCTAGGGTACAGTAGGAATGTGAAGGCAGTTGTTGTCCAGCGGATGATTTTTCAGCCAGTAATACATGTTTTGTTGTCCCAATATTTGCCGGTGCCTTAGAAATTACCGGATTTGCTGTACCTGTCACACTATTTTGGGAAATGCGCGGCTCTGAGCTTGAAAAGCGGTGAAGAGACTCCCATATAAGCACATAGCGAGTCACAATTTTCCTCCATATCTCTTTCCCCTCAAACCACCAACTGGCACCCCAGGAGCGGCTTTTGCAGTGCTCAGGTGTCCAACGAGTCTAGAAGTACTCAAAGTTACCCGTGAGTGACTCAGTTCTGTCTGATTCATTCGATTGTGTTCTACGTGTGCTTTATTTGCATTGCTGCGCACGATCACATCACAATCATATTACCGATTTCTATCAAATCGATTGAAATCAAGAGTGCGCGTGGCTAAACGATGTCGTCGGCATATAATTATCCATCGACATCGAGGTCACCCGATGTGTCTCGTACATTGCCCCTCCCAGGGCCTTCACGAACATTTTCGGTGCATCCTTTGGGGTCAGGGGAGTCACCGCGATGCAACGCACACTCACCGCTCTTACCTCAATACCATACACAACGTGATATGAACCGGAAACTGACTGCATCGTCGTCCAGAGCTTCCAGGCAGCCAACGTTGCCGCCTGTGCCAGACCCGACCTTTAACACGTCCCCCTTTCCCGCAATTCTACACAAACCAACCCATTACATTAGTCAACATGTTCGCGACCCACAGCTTGTAGATCGTTCGTTGTTCTCGCACCAACCCGGCCCATCGCAATCACCTGGTCACCATGTCTCGCATAATTTCCTTGAAAGTTCCCAACTTTCAAGTTTCTCGTCCACTCGCCATGTCGCGATAAACAGTCACTCAAAACGTCCAACGACGTCTACCCCGGTCTTCAATAACATTTCTGATCTTGCTTCCCATTATGGGATACCTCAATCTTTGCCCAGTGCACCTCGTACAACTCCTAGTAGACCAGAACCAGGAGAACCTCCCTCTTCAACAGTGTCTGTTGAACCCTTCGCATTGCCAAACTCACCTGCTTTCGCCGACTTGTGCTCGAATTACTTGAAGATGTTGTCACAAAAACCAGGCAACAATGACGCGACCGGTGTCCACGTAGAGGACACGGCGCTATCGACGGCTACGCCGTCTGACGCAGAAGCCATTCAGACGCTTTTGGACGTTTTCGGTGGTAAGTTATTCACTTCCGCCGCACTGGCCTGGCTTACACAATCCCTACCAGCCACACCGGAACTCACCAACTCGAATGACTTAAATGAGTACCTCACTTCACCCCTCATCGACTCGCCTTTCGATGATGAGCTGCTCACTACGCCTGCATTCGGCTCTGCGGACATCAACGCGGACATCTTCACGAGTCCGCTTTTGGATGATTTCGGGGGTGACTCGTTCGGCGAACTCCCGTCTCTCTTTGATTCTATTTATCCCCCATGCAAGCCCACTGAATCATACCACCTTCCCACCAACTTCGATGAACTATATCAAATGTCTCCCGACACTCCAATGATCAACACTCCATTCGAATCGCCCCTCGACTCTCCTGCCAATCATCGTCCACCACAGCGCAAAGTGGCTGTGACTGGCACGCGTAAGAACATTACGCCAGAGGCTCTTGTCCCTGTCGATGCTCCCACACAGCAGCGCAAGTACCTTACCCCGTCAGTGACCTCTCGTAAGGAGGTACCTGCTGTCTTCGCTCGGAAGCGGGCGCGTACAGCTGCTTTCGGTGACGAGCAGGACGAGCTCAACGAGGATGTGCGCATTCTTCCTTCCATGACTGAGCAGGAGCAGATTGAGGCAAAGAGGCGCCAAAACACAGTCGCTGCTCGACGGAGTCGCAAGCGCAAGCTGGAGTACCAGCGCGAGTTGGAGGAGAGTGTTGAGCAATACAAGCGTGAAAGTGAGATCTGGAAATCGAAGGCTATGACTTACCAGGCCCTGCTGCGAAGTCATAACATCGACTATCCCGAGCTTCCAGACCCATGAATACCACTCAAGTAGTCTCGTCATTCCCTTTGTCGTTCTTTTGATACCATAGTTCTCGACTTCGATGCTCTGTGTATTCTTATTATGTTCATCATCCCCATTCCCCATCCACTGGCGAAGAGCATCGTCGTATCCCCTTTCCACATGTTCATGGTCGCTCTTGACCCCTTTTGACCTGCGTTCCTCGTGACCCACCCCCACCTTCGTCATTTTCTTGATTTTTATCTTGTTAATTTCATTACACCGCCATCTAGTAGTATTCACGTTCCCGCCTATATGTCCAAGGTTGATTACATGCAAATCAAAAGTATTGGTTTTTGCGTTATCATTAATTGCGTGAATTGAGGCTATGCGGCTAACTAAACTTCTCATTGAACGACCACGAGCGTCAGTGGACCACGTTTCACCTGAAAGACTCTTCCTCCAACTTTGGGCTTGTGCTTGAAGGGTTGACTCAATACTTAAGCGAGACCAACTCTTTGTCTCAGAAAGGCTGACAACTCGCCATTACGCGATTACATCCTTCAGAAGCTTCAAGTCACTCTACGTCCGTCGACCTTAGGCACGAGGCCCGCGCTCGCAGGCTCTTGACAACTGACATGGTCTTCACGTCAACGAGCAGCAACTATGAGCGTCTTGAGGGCGGCTTTGGTCCAGGTCGTGCGACTAGGATGCTAGCATGGAAGAAATTCGCAATTGGCGCTGCAGCGCTCATTTCCGTGGTCTGGTTTTTTGGACCAAGATCGAGGATAGATTTGACACCTGGTACGTCTTGCGATAGTTGTCGTGAAGGAATACATTTACATATCATGAAAAAAAGACTCGCCGATACCTGGAATAGACGATGCTCATCCTCCTGTTTTACATATACCCACAACAACAACTCCTTCGAATCCCTCAGAAGATAAAATTGACATTCCCAAGACTACTGCTGCCTCGCCACCCTCCAAAACCTCCTTCCCTACCTCTCCTGAAACAGATCCAGACCTGCTCAAAACCGTGCACTGCACTTCTCCACATTCTCCTTCCCTCCCTCTTGTGCAGTATGCTCTCATGATTGACGCCGGTTCTACTGGCTCACGCATCCACATCTACAAATTCCACAACTGCGGACCCTCGCCAACCTTCGAGTACGAGGTGTTCCGCATGATTCAACCTGGGCTCTCTTCGTATGCAGGGCTCCCAAGTGCGGCGGCAGGGAGCCTTAACCCTCTCCTCGACGAAGCCATGAGCGTGGTACCAGAATCTCTGCGCAGTTGTACGCCCGTCGCTGTTAAAGCCACCGCAGGGCTTCGACTTCTCGGCGCCCGCCAAAGCGAAGATATTCTCAAAGCAGTGCATGACCACATCCTCTCCAAATACCCCTTCCCGTTCCCCGATAAGGATGGAGTTGTCATTATGGATGGCAAAGACGAGGGCGTTTATGCGTGGATTACTGCGAACTATCTTCTCAATACCATTAGAGGTGATTCGCCTGAGGACGCGCCACCCTATGCTGTGCTCGATTTGGGTGGAGGGTCCACGCAGATTGTGTTCGAGCCACAGTTTGGCGATGAGAAAGCCGATGAAGGTCTCAAGGAGGGGGAGCACAAGTATGAGCTTGAATTCGGTGGGGCTAAGCGAGTGCTATATCAGCACTCGTATCTTGGATATGGCCTCAAGAGCGCTCGGGAGAGCGTGCATCGCCTCGTCCAATTCATGGACTCTCTGAGGTCTAGCAAGAATGGCGATAACGATCGGATAAAAATGATTCATAACCCTTGCTTGGCTCAAGGGTCAGTGAAGGAGGTGAAGCTTCCTACGGGGGATGGTGATGCTGTGACAGTGACGATGACGGGATCGGATATTGGCAGTTTTGAGGCTTGTAATCGTGTCTTGGAGCTTGTCATGGCAAAGGATGAGTAAGTCTTTGCTTTCTATCGACCTGCTTCGTGTTTATCGATCGTTTGCACTAGCGTATGTGAACTCAAACCCTGCTCCTTCAATGGTGTTTACCAGCCATCACTCCTGGACGCCTTTCCTAACGGAAAAATCCTTCTTCTCTCGTATTTCTTCGATCGGATCACCCCATTGCTTTTAGCAGACTCGTCACCAGATCATCCCCAGCCCCCCATGTCAATCTCAACATTCGCCACGCTTGCTAAACGGGTCTGCGCAGGACCTACCAGCTGGTCGCAGTACTGGGGTGCATATCCTGATATCATGGAGGAACTCGAAGGTCGACCGGAGTGGTGCCTTGATCTCACTTTCCAGCACGCCTTGCTGGTTCTTGGCTACGAGTTTGGCGATGATCGGGAGGTGCAGCTTGGGAAGCGTATTGAAGGCACAGAGCTCGGTTGGTGTCTCGGTGCTACGATAGCGATGGTGGGCGGAAATCTACGTTGTCGGGTGTAAACAAGGACAGTCGTTGTAGACGTAACGCAGCGAGCTTTCATTACACGTTCAGCTCTGCTACTGAAAGACATTTAATTTATTTGATTCAGGTCTTACATCTTGCTATGTCTGCTCTAGTCTCGCATGCGCAGACCATGCGCGTAAGGTTTAGCCCTTCCGGGCGAGTACTTGCGGAGTAGCTGAGACGTTACCCGTACAACGTGATCAAGTATATGGGGCAACGTGCGTAATAGGAGGTGCTTGCTTTTACGTTTATAATTCCGGCTGCTATATAGCCTATCATCATCAGAAAACTGAGTTTCTTCCGTAAACTGCCGTACTCTTTATCAACGAAGCGACCGCCGACTTTGTGGAACGACTTATCTAATGACTCAGGCCAAATTCGCGTTTGCACCAGCTTGTGTTTCATTTCACTTGTGTGCAGTGCAGACCATGAACATCAGGCCTGTGCTTGCGGATGCATAAATAGGTACGCGCGCAATGGTCACCAGTCACTAGTTGCCAGTCACTGACAGATACGGTAGACGTATTTATGTAATGCATCTATGTGCCTCATGCTGTAGCACGACGTCGTAACTGATGTTGCTGGAGTACTACGAATCATCAAGTCACGGGCCATATTTAGCATCTCATTTGGCAGTTCGTTCCTCGAGGTGTAAACGAATCGAGTTGCAACGAGCTGCCTCGTTTACGAACCGAATCGAACTCACCTCGCGGTCACCTCGATTCGACAACAACACTCATTACCGTTGTAGGCCTTTAGTAATGCCTCATTGGAGTAAATTCACGTAGTATAATAAGGTGCGTCTTTCATCTCAGTCGTTCTCTCACACCATCATGATTCCACCGCAGGATGATGAGGAAACACCTCTTCTGCAACGACCAGAGCAGCCAACGGCCAAGACATCTCTTCCCTGGGATCAATTTTGGATTATACTGCTCTTGGAGATGCCAGTTTTTCTTTCTGTTCGGACCCTTGCCCCATTTATTCCTCAAGTGAGTATTATATTCCCTTCGCTGGACTTATATCTGATCACAACTGGAACTTTGTCAAGCTCATTAGAGATATCGGAGTCACTCACGGAGACGAATCCCAGGTTAGCTACTATATCGGCATTCTTGTAAGTATGTCTTCATCGCTCTTGCCCCTTTATTCGTGGCTGATATTCTCTCGAGCAACTATCATCCTCTGTAGTGCATACCCTGACTGTTTTTCATTGGAGTCGACTGTCCGACTACATCGGGCGGAAACCTGTAATACTGACAGCTTTATTAGCACATGTTCTTTCGTTGTTTTCGTATGGGCTGTCGAAGACCTTCCTTGGTCTAGTGGTAGGGTTAGTGTGTTCAGTTAATATCAAATAGTAGTTGTGATCGTCAATTACTTGACCACAGTCGTGTCGTCTGCGCAGCATTTGATCCGGGCGATGCTGTCATCAACACCTTGCTGATGGACATTACTGACGCAACCAACATGCCCAAGGCATACAGTTATATGCCAATTCCGGTGATAATCGCAACCACGGTTGGGTAGGCATACAGTACATTTTTCCTCGCGCTGAGGTTCACGGCATCCACTAGATCACTCATTGGGGGATTGCTCTCCCGACCAGCAGACAGATTCCCCAACATCTTTGGCCGATCAGAACTGCTGAGAACCTACCCATATCTCCTGCCATGCTCTATCTCGGCATTTTTCATATCGATAATTTGGCTAGTCGTGTATATTTGTCTTAAAGAGGTAAGCGTGATGCTGAAAATCCATCTCTGGATCTGGCTAAGTGTGGTCACAAGAGCGTTTCCACCAGGACACCGCTTCGGGAGCTAGTTGAAGGAGGATTCTTCGGACAATCATATTCGAAGTCTCGCCAGTCATCCAGCAATGGTATAGCCAATCCTGCGAATCCTGGAGAAGCGCAATCAAAGCCGCTTCCGCTGCGTGCCTTGCTAACCTCAAAAGTGTTGAGCGTAATGGCAAGTTATACCACCATGGGCCTGTTTCACATGGCATTCAGTTCTATCTTACCTATTTTCTATGCGACACCGATTGAACTTGGTGGTCTTTCCCTTGACCCTCCTCGCATCGGTGCTTTACTTGCGGCATCAGGTATCATACAAGGCATATTCCAGCTGCTTTTATACGCTCGTTTACATCACCACTTCGGTGCAAGAACTATCTACATCACCGGCGTTAGCTCCGGCATACCCATCGTCATTTTATTCCCAGTGACCAATGCTCTGGCTCGAGCATATGGAATAGGCATGGCAGTGTGGCTGTGTGCTGCCATTCAGCTTACGCTGAAGACTAGCTTGATCATGTGCTTCCGTATGTTGATCCAGCCCTTCCTGCGTTTCGTTGAACTGACAAGAATTGATAGCCTGCCTGACATTATTCATCAGAGCAGCTGCTCCCAATCGCGCCTCGCTCGGAGCAACCACTGGAATCGCGCAGGTGGCTCTCGCAGTAGGAAGGATCGTTGGCCCGGCGTCTGCGGCTTCAGTCTTCTCCTATTCATTGCAGGAAGGGCATGATGCGTGGTTGATATACTACTTCTTGATCGCAATTGCACTTCTCGCTGTAGGTACTGGTCTATTGCTTCCCCGTGACCCCAGTGTATGGGAAGATTCCCAATAATATTATCGCGAATGACTTGTGTCTATTGACCTCCATCGTATTCATCGATCGCTTGCACTAGCATTTAAATTGTGAACTTAAACCATGCTCCATCGATGGTGTTTCCCAGCCATCACTTCTGGACGCCTTTCCTAACGGAACAATCTCGTATTTCTTCGATCAGGTCACCCCATTGCTTGTAGCAGACTCTTCAACAGATCATCCCCAGCCCCCATAGCAATTTTAACATTCGCCACGCTTGCTAAACGGGTTTGCGCAGGACCTACCAGCTGGACACCGTACTGGGGGCATCCTGATATCATGGAGGAACTCGAAAGTCGACCGGAGTGGTGCCTTGATCTCACTTTCCAGCACGCCTTGCTGGTTCTTGGCTACGAGTTTGGTGATGATCGGGACGTTGGAGTGGGGGACCCCTAGGCGAGGGGCGTAGTAGCAGCCGGGTAGCACCGTAGCTTAGTCAGCCACTCAGTGTCCGTCGTAGCATAGTGCTCTTTACCACTTCGCGACACGCAGGCACACAGTCGCGGATACACCACTCCAGCGTATTGAAGGCACAGAGCTCGATTGGTGTCTCGGTGCCACGATAGCGATGGTGGGCGGTAATCTACGTTGTCGGGTGTAAACAAGGACAGTCATCGTGGACGTAACGCAGCGAGCCATTACACAGTCAGCTCTGCTACTGAAAGACGTTTAATTTATCTGATTCAGGTCTTACATCTTGCTATGTCTGCTCTAGTCTCGCATGCGCAGACCATGCGCGTAAGGTTCAATGTGGAGTAATAGCGGAGGTACTACCCGCACAATGTGGTCAAGTATACGGGGCAACGTGCGTAATAGGAGGTGCTTGCTTTTACGTTTCTGACCCCGGCTGCTACATAGCCTATCATTATCAGAAATTTTGAGCTTGTTCCATCAACTGTCGTACTCTTTATGGACGAGCGGCGACTGCCAACTTCGTGGAACGACTTCTCATCTAATAAGCCCGAATTCCCGTTGCGTTAGCTTGTGTACAGTGCACCCCGGACTGGGTAGGCCGTAAGTAAACGAATAAGACATCGGACCTGTGGCGCCTGCGGATGATAAATAGGTACGCGCGCAATGGCATGGTCACCACATGTACTTACGGTCGACGTATTTATGTGCCTCATGCTGTAGCATGTCTTCACTGGAAATCGTTCAACGTCGTTGATTTGGGCTTTTTGTTGTTATGTCTCGTGCAGATCTTAGATCTAGCCTACTAAGGTCAGTCAGCCGCGCTTAAGCCTCTAGGTGACAGTACTACTAAGTAGTGCGAACCCCCTAAGGCCATGGCGGCTATACCCGGGTGCTACATAATAAGAAGTGCCGTGTGACTGATTCTATGTCGCAAAAGCGCTGCCATTAGGCAGCCAACAAGCCGGTCAGCAACCACCTCATTGGAATGACTTCATGTAATATAATGAGCTGCATTTATGATTCGAGCCGTTCCCTCGCACCACTATGATTGCGCAGCAGGACGACGAGGAGACACCTCTTCTGCAGCAACCAGAGCAACCAAAGGCCAAGACACCTCTACCCTGGGATCAATTTTGGATTATACTGCTCGTGGAGATGCCAGATTTTCTTTCTTCTGGGACCCTTGCGCCGTTTATTCCTCAAGTGAGTATATTCCCTTCGCTGGACTTATATCTGATGATTCTGATCACAACTGAAACTTTGTCAAGCTCATTAGAGACATCGGAGTCACTCACGGAGACGAATCCCAGGTTGGACACTATGCCGGCATCCTTGTAAGCATGTCTTCATCTTTTTTGCCCTTTCCTTCGTTCATGATACTCTCCAGCAATCATCGTACTATGCAGCTCATACCCTGACCATCTTTCATTGGGGTCAACTGTCCGACCACATCGGGCGGAGGCCCGTAGTTCTGACAGCTCTATTAGCACTTATTATTTCGATGTTTGCGTTTGGGCTGTCGAAGACATTCTTTGGTCTAGTGGTAAGGTCAGTGTGTTCAGTTAAACATCAAAGAGTAGTTGTGATCGCCAATTACTTGACCGCAGTCGTGTTGTCTGCGGCGCTTTTGATCCAAGCACTTCTATCATCAAGACCTTGCTGATGGACATAACTGACGCAACCAATATGCCCAAGGCATACAGTTATATGCCAATTCCGTGGATGATTGGAACCACAGTTGGGTAGGCATGCAGTACATTTCTCTCGCGTTGCAGTTCACAGAATCTATCAGACCACTCATTGGAGGATCGCTCTCCCGACCAGCAGACAGATTTCCTGGCATATTTGGGCGGTCGGAACTGCTGAAAACCTACCCATATCTCCTGCCATGCTCTATCTCGGCATCTTTCATATTCATAACTTGGCTAGTCGCGTATATCCGTCTTAAAGAGGTGAGCGCGATGCTAAAAATTCATCTCCGGATCAGACTAAGTGTGGTTACAAGAGCATTTCTACCAGGACAACGCTCTGGGAGCTAATCAAAGGAGGATTCTTCGGACAATCACACTCGAAGCCTCGCCAGCCATCGAGCGATATCATAGTTGATCCTAGGGAAACGAATCCCGGAGAAGTCCAAGCAAAGCCGCTTCCGCTGCGTGCTTTACTGACCTCGAAAGTGTTGAGCACAACAGCGAGTTATGCCACCCTGGGCCTGTTTCAGTTGGGTTTTAATTCGGTGTTACCGGTTTTCTATGGCACACCGATTGAACTCGGTGGTCTTTCCCTTGACCCTCCTCGCATCGGTGCCTTACTTGCGGCATCAAGTATCATACAAGGCATATTCCAGCTATTTTTCTACGCTCGTTTACATGATCGCTTCGGTGCAAGAGCTATCTACATCACCGGCGTTAGCTCCGGCATACCCATCGTCGTCTTATTCCCAGTGACCAATGCTCTGGCTCGAGCCTATGGAATAGGCATGGCGGTGTGGCTGTGTGCTGCCATTCAGCTTACGCTGAAGACTAGCTTGATCATGTGCTTCCGTATGTGGATCCAGCCCTTCCTGCGTTCTGTTGAACTGAGAAGAATTGATAGCCTGCCTGACATTATTCATCCGAGCAGCTGCTCCCAATCGCGCCTCGCTCGGAGCAACCAATGGAATCGCCCAGGTGGCTGTCGCAGTAGCAAGGATCGTTGGCCCGGCGTCTGCGGCTTCAGCCTTCTCTTATTCATTGCAGGAAGGGCATGATGCGTGGTTGATATACTACTTCTTGATCGCAATTGCACTTCTCGCTGTAGGTACTGGTCTATTACTTCCCCGTGATCCTAGTATATGGGAAGATTCCCAATAGTATCATCGCGAATGACCGTGTACATTATGATCTAGTGTAGGAGGCAGAACTAACAAAACTGTACTAACTTATACCCTTGCAAGTTCCTTGGAATAATCTTGCATCGCAGATGCAAATAATGTCTCGCAAGTATATGGAGCAACGTGCGTGATAGGAGCTGCTTACTTTTGCGTTTCTGACCCCGGCTGCTAACGTAGCCTATCATTGTCAGTAACTTTGAGCTTATTCTGTACACTGCCGTACTCTTTATCGACGAGCTAGCAGCGACCGCCGACTTCGTGGAACGACTTCTCATCTAATATGCCCGAATCCCTGTTAACCGTTTGCGTTAGCTTGTGTTTCGCCGGACTAGGCAGACCATAAGTGAACTAATAGGTCATCGGACCTGTGGCGCCTGAGGATGCATCAATAGGTACGCGCGCAATGGCATGGTCACCACACACATATACTTACGTGTGGAGGAACGATACACGCGGGAGGTTTTACGACACGCTAGAACAAAGGTACGAGTCTCAGTATTCGTTTCGAATCTCTATTAACAATTGTTTGTACCTAGAACAAAGGTACGACTAGATGTACGTCAGCGCTTGCGCTCGAACGTTACAGTGGGACTTGTACTTACGTCTCAGTATTCGTTTCGAATCTGAGACGCATCGACGAAAACAGTGTCCTCTTATACGGTGAGTCTGCCAGCAATAGCTTTGATGAAAAATATATACTTAAAGAACGAAAAGATTGCCGACGTTGACACGTCGTCGACGTTCTCCGTTTGGAGACGCTCGCACTCGATGTGCTCTATTCTTCGGCCGTATCGTCCTTTCCTTTCTCGGCTCTCTCTCTCTCGGCCTTACTTCCCTCGGACACATCGGCTCTCAACACTCCCCCTCGAGCGTTGTCCAAACGCATCAATGTCCTCAACCTCTGGAGTCGGGGACGTGCCAATGGCTTCGTGAACGCGTCCGCGACGTTGTCGTCACTGGGGCAGTAGATTATCTTGAAGGTACCGTCCTTCACGTGGCCGCGTACGAAGTGGTATCGCAGGTCTATGTGCTTGGTGCGCGATTGGAATTTTCCCGTCGAGACTAACGCTATAGCAGCTTGGTTGTCGCAGAAGATGGGTGTGGGGAGGTCTTGGACGTCGTAGAGCTCGCGGATGAGGAGTTGCAGGTAAAGTACTTCCCTTGCCACGCTGGTCAACGCTATGTACTCAGCTTCAGCCGTTGACAGGGCTATGATAGGCTGTTTGCGCGTGCTCCACGAAACGGGGCCTCCATGGAGCAGTACGATGTACCCGCTCATGGAGTGCCTATGTGGCTGCGATGCCCAATCGGCATCAACGAACGCCTCGATTCCCCCCTCGCTGGATCCCAACGTCAGCTCATAGTCTGCGGTGCCTTTCAGGTACCGCAGGGCGCGTTTGGTGGCCTCCCAATGGGGTCTCCCCGGATTCCTCATAAATTGCGACAGTGTTGCCACCGCAAAAGCGATATCTGGCCGGGTACTCGTAGCTGCGTACATTAACGAACCGATCGCGCGTTGATATGGTACGTCTCGCATAGCTTGGAGTTCGGCGTGTGTTGCAGGGGACTGATCTATGGAAAGGACAGTACCTGGTTCCATGGGTGTGTGCAGGACCTTCGCGTCCTCCAGGTGGAACCTTTCGAGGATCGTCTCGACGTATGCCTTCTGTGAAAGTGTCAAGGTGCGTGCTACGCGGTCCCTCGTCACCTTCAGCCCCAATAACCAGCTCAACTCCCCTAGGTCGCTAATCTCGAAGTGCGCGCGCAGCTCGGACTTAAACCGATGGATATGGGATATATGGTTGGCAGTGACGGCCATGTCGTCGACAGAGACAGTGATGACGACGTGTTCGCGCGAGGTGCGTTTGTAGAAAACGGCTTGATCTACTTTTGACCTGCTGAAGCCCATTTCATTGAAGGCTCCAGCTAGCTCCTGCGCCCACTCATATCCTGCTTGTTTGAGTCCAGGTAAGCTTCTTTTCAGCTTCAGTACCTTCCCTTCCTGACCATCCTTCAAGTATCCAGGGGGCGCTCGCATATATATGTCCTCCTGCAGACTCGCATATAGGTACGCACTTTTAATATCGACTTGGTGTATTTCCCAGTCGCGCTGAGCAGCCATCGTTAGGACTGCACGTATCGTGCTCATATTGGCCGTGGGGGCGAAGGTTTCGAAGAAATCGTGTTGAAAGATTATAGATAAGTGATAACTTTGATTCGGACAACAACAAACAACACTCGCTTACATAATACGCTATGCGCTCATTAGAAGTTTTATATTACTTAGCACCTCAGTCTTCGACTATTGAGACTGAGGTATGATATTATTTATTTAGACTCTTTACTACGATACTGACTACTACTCTAGTACTTACTACTTTCGTTTATAGGTCAGCTAGTAGTCTCCAAGTCTTCGACTATTGAGACTGAGTACTTACTACTTTCGTTTATAGAATTCTTTCTGTCATTCTTTCGTCCGTCGCATCCTCGAACAAAAGGTTATGAGCCCTGGTGCTTAGAATCAATCCAGTACCACAAAGGAACATCAACCGAAACAAGAATTAAATGTCGAACACACCCTCAGTGTCTGCAGCCCAGTCAGGTGCAGCTGCTTCATCCTCGAACATCCCTTCCATATCATCCAGTTCTACATCTACAAGCAGAACTGCACAAGCCTCAAATCGTCTATATGATATTCCATCCCTCGAAAACGACGGTTCAAACTTCCAACTATGGAAGTACCGTGTCGAGTTAATCCTTGACCTTCGAGGACTATGGGGAATTGTTGAAGGAAGTGAAAAGATGCCAGATAGCACAACGCACCCTGTTCAACACCAGGAATGGTTAGCAAGGAACAAGGAAGCACGAGCTCAGATAGCTCTCACGCTGAAAGATGATCCCTTGAATGGGATACTCTATGTGCCAATAGCTAAAGATGCCTGGAAGAAGCTCTGTGAGCGATACGAGGGTAGAGGAAAGCAAACAATTGCTCAACTCATTGGCGAATTGTTTCGAAGTACCTTGACGGACGAATCTCCTATGGAAACGCAGCTAAACACCATGCGACAGAAGGCATTCATACTGTCCTCGCTTGGTCAGCCGCTCGACGATTCACTGGTCGCAGTTGCGATGGTGATATCCTTACCTTCATCCTATGCCACCCTTCGAACGATCCTAATGTCCAGTAGTGACAAACTCACCACTGAAACTGTTATAGCCCAAGTGCTGGTAGAGGAAAGGCAACGACAGGCTAGCAATAGCCAATCTGCGCTCGTTGCGAAGGGACCTGCGCAAAAGAATAAGCCTAAGCGCAAGGATAAGGACAAGAAGAAGTCAAAGGAAAAGTGCACATACTGCCACATTCCTGGACATGAGGAGAAGGACTGTCGAAAGAAGAAAGCTGCTGAAGACGCTGAAAAGAGTGGGAAGCAGGTGGACAAAGACAAAGGAAAAACGGACCTATCTGCGAAGGTCGCACGCATTTCGTCGGACCATGACACACCGCTCCAATTATTCATGGCACATGGGCACTCTACATCCGCATCCAAAGATGATTGGATAGTGGACTCTGGCGCATCTGCAAACATGACGTGTCAGCGGGAAATTTTCATCAAATATCGCACACTGAACCCACCCGGAAAAGTAATCATCGGAGATGGACGCTCGATAGATGCGATAGGTATCGGACGTGCTGAAATAAACGTCTATGTTGGTGAAAATGAGTACATCCACTCCATCCTGCAGGAAGTCTATCACATACCAGACCTGAATGCGAACCTTCTGTCAGTTCCCCGCCTCACGAAACAAGGTCTCGAAGTCACCTTTGATGGTTCCCAATGCGAGATCCTTGCAAAGGGAAAGACCGTCGCTCTCGCACATAAGCGAAACTCGCTATACATCCTTCGAGTAAAGCCCTGCGAGAAAGCACATGCATACATTCTGCAAGGACCATCAGCTCCACTCGATCCAGATGTCCCCATAACAGCTCTCACCTCGCGCATGCTCCATTCGAGTGCAACTCTGGACACATGGCATCGACGACTTGGGCACGTAAATTTCGACTCCATATCTAAGTTAATTTCGAAAGATATGGTCAATGGGATCAACATAAAGGGTTCAAGTACTCACAATAAGGCAGTGTGTCAGCCTTGCCTTGAAGGCAAGCAACACCGCAACCCAATCCCAACGAAATCAAATGTCGAAAGCCCAGGAGTCCTGTATCGCACATACTCTGATGTATGCGGACCCATGGAAACAGTGTCGCGCGCCGGCTTCCGATACTTCGTTACATTCATAGATGCCTATTCACACCATCTCGTGGTTAAACTTGTGAAGACCAAGGATGAAACATTCGCACTCACCAAAGGATACTTTGAACGTGCAGAGACCGAGACTGGAGAACGCCCCAACTATTTTCGTAGTGATGGTGGGGGGGAATATGGATCAAAACAATTTGTATCCTATCTCGAGTCAAAAGGCATCCATCACGAGAAAACAAACGCATACACACCACAAGAGAACGGTGTCGCAGAGCGGATGAATCGGACCTTAGTTGAAATGGCACGCAGCTTGCTACGAGACGCCGGACTGCCAAACACATATTGGGGAGATGCGATCCTATATTCGGCGCACATATTGAACCGGGTTCCAACTCGTGCGATAGATGGAGACATTACACCACACGAAGCGTTCACTGGGAACAAACCATCAGTATCCCATCTCCGGGTATTTGGGTGCAAAGCCCATGTACACATACCTGATGAAAAACGCCAGAAGCTCGGTGTGAAATCGCTCGAATGCGTCAACCTTGGGTATGCCGAACATCGAAAGGCCTATGTATGCCTGCATCGTCCAACCGGTCGCATCCTCGAGTCGCGAGACGTCGTCTTCGATGAAGGAGATCCGCAAGGGCCTAGTCGTGTCAAGATAGACACATTTCTCCCAGAGAAACAGGTCACTGCTGCAAAGCACAACACAGACGACCTGCAAGGCCTGGAAGCTCCTCATAAGTCAACAATTATAGAAGAATTATCAGACGATGACGCACCAGAAGTGGGAAATCCAGC